TGTGTGAGTGAGTTTCGAAGATTTTGGGTCCCCCCCCCCTTCGCTCTGCCACTGCTAGCAGAATAAAAACTTGGAAAACAACTTATTTTTCCTCCAGTAAGAAGCGAAATGATTGGCAGATGCTCACAATCTCTATTTCCTGGATTCTCCTCGATACGCAATTTATATCTAAAGAGATTTTTTAGAAGGTCCTCGTGCATCTTCCTGCGCACTTGAAGAGTGTTCCCTAGTCTGTTGTCAACGTTTCGACTAGCGACAGTGAATTTTTTAGATGCCACCTTCTAGAAGTTTTGCAAATGTGTAGCTCTTTTTCTTTTTGGACTCATTTGAAGCTACCCGGTTGTTTTTTCATGGATCGCTTTCATGAGATAAACATTACATCTTTGGTAATAATACCTGACATTTTATAGATCGTGTTTGCTTTGACCTCGACTAGCCCCTTGTGCTACTACTATTTTTTAGTTCTCTGAGAACGAATCTGAATATCCAAGAACTCCTTGTGTTCAGTTTCCTTGGTCTTTATAATTTTACAGCACAACTAGGGGTGTGTTAAAGTAAAAAGATAGCAATTCCATCCCATTTTTTGTCATTCGCTATAGCAATATATCTTAAAAAGTCTAATTTACTTAGAGTAAACCTAAGATAGGAGTTAAAAACTTAATTTTTTTTTTGACTTTTGTGTCTTTTTACCTCTTGATTTTATTAGTGAGCTTAAACCACTGAACTTTTTTTTCCGAATTAGTTAAGATTCCTGCAAAATTCTGCGAAACGTTGGCTTTGCCTCTGTATGAATCTATCTATACATGTGGTTAAGGTGTCATCGTTCTCAATGCCACTGCGTTCTTGTGATTTTTTACCTAAACAAATATTATCAAACCAAGAGCGAAAAAAGTGTCTGTCGCAAAATATGGAGCTAATCACACTATAAATTGCCTTGCGTGCAACTTTTATTCTTCCAAGACAATATGAGGAGAACCAGGGAGTAGATTTTCTGCGCGGGGTTTCTTTGATACTTCAACAAGTATGCTCTAACTACGGAAGCCATGCTTTACAAAGACATTCAATTTCTAGAATATCCACGATCGGCTTCGCTTCCGAGTCGCAGCCACCTCGCCTCATGTGTCGACCTCATTTATACGATGTGCGTGTATTTGAACACAGCCTTTGAACCGGATGAGGGGGTTCGGATCGCGTTCGGCCGTCTTCGTTACCCTTTCGAATTGTGTTTGTTTGCATTTTCATCGTCCTCTCACTAGCCTAATTGTCGTCGGCTACCTGGCTTCGCTCGTCAATGACGAGAAGCGGCACTCCTCGCAGAGAGTTGCACCATTTCCTCGGCGAATGACTTGACTGCTACTTTCGGGCGACAATCTGACAGTCGAAGTGCGTTTGTCATTATGTAGCCTAGCAACGTCTGCATTTCGCTTCCGGACCCAACATCTTTCTCCTTTATTCTTTTTGAACTGCGTTTTTGCTAGCGATATGCTACTGCCAATGCCTAAAACAGCCATACTTTGCAACGCACATGTAGCGGAAACCAACTTCCTGTTTTTCTTTCTGCTTGTTATTCTTGAACAAAATTTCTACTTATACTTTATCCGATGTAAAGTATTGTGCAATGGACTACACCAACAAGTTATTCTGCGCAAGCAGTCCTGTTCAGTCATTTTCCAAATTTTTCTCGTACAGCTTTTTATACATTTTAAAAACGCTGAGCACCAATAATATCGAGCTTTCAGTGCTCAACGGTAGAAATGAAATAACTGTTTCCTTTTGCATTTTTACTCGATTTCCCTCACTAGTAAATTTTCCCTGGGGAAAGTAAAAAAAACGCGACAAACATGGACATTACAACAGCACTGGAAGATGCATCTTAGCAATTACTGAAAATATTTTTCAATTCCAAATCCAGTACAAGTTTATGTGCTTCAATAAAGGGAGAAGGGGGAGGGGGAGAAGCAATTTCAAATGACTAAGACCCTGTCACTTCATTTATTTGCATTATTCTTCGCCCTTTCATTGTGAGAAAGCCAATTTTTTACAAGCGGCTATGCAAGTCACTTTTGGCTATTGAATCCATAAATGCACCTAATTGCTCTGCAGCGAGAGTCATGCAATCTTCAAGTCAATCACGTCTTTGAAAGAAACTTTGATGGCTTCACCCCACTGAAACACATTTTCAGTCTGCCAAGAATGTATATAAGGGTAAAATCATTAGGTTGATGCAAAAATAATGACCGTTTTGCAATTCTTATTTTGGCGTGCTACAACTTTCTAGGAAAATCCTCCCGAATTCCGGTGGAGACCATTAGAAGCAACAAACTTTTCGCAATACAGCGCACATCCATCTATACTCATATCGAAAATAGGCAGAAAGATATGGATTGAGAAACAAAAACAATACTTATCTGAAACCTTGTTTTTGACAATTCATAACTCCTTTCAAATGTCAATATAGATGATGAGTTGCCTACCTTGTAGCCGCAAGTCAGTAGAACAAAAGGAGATGGAAATAGCCTTCTTTAACATTGCTAGCTTATACTAAATTATGGAGAGGATATAGAATGCGTCTTCAAAGATTCTTTGTAATGTTTGGAAAATAAATTTTTGGTTTGTTTAGAATATTCGGTTGTTTCAGACGAAAATATGTAGCTATTGATGTCCTATCCTGCATAAATCGGTTTATTCGATCGAATTGCAGAAAAACTCCCCAGTGAAAGCCAGCTGTCAAGTGGCATTGAATTCAATCTTTGTTGGTATGCTATCGTGCACATTTTCAAGTAACTGGACTTCATACCAATATTCATCTTTTTTGCGGTATATAGCAAATATTTTCCGCAGTCTTTCTTGAAACCTATGGAAAATATCACTTCTTTATTCTTGCCTTATTTTCACTGTTAATGTCGCAAATAGATTGCCTTTTTTGTTCCTAAAGAGAGAATTCCTCAGTACGAGCACACTTGACCCTATGAGTTCTTATATATGCTTGATTATCTTGCAAGTCTCCCCCGTTTTAACTCCATTTTGATACTTTTCCGCGAAAAATCATTTTTCTTTCTACTCAAAAAGATCCAGCTGCGAATAACCTCTGTATGATGGCTTCCATATATTTAGCAAAGTTTGTTCTACAAAAAAGTTGAAGCCGCTTATAATGTTTCAAACTGAGAAAAATCTCTAAAAAATCTGAATCTTTGTCCAAAAAACCCACAAATATCTAACTTGCCTAATGTATACAATTTTTCATCTAACATTCAGTACTCTTCTTGTCTTTCGTCCTTGATTGGAAACCGAGAAAACAAAAAGGTGGTTTATTTTTGCAGAGCTGGGCTATTCGCACATCACTAATTCTATTTTAGAAGGTTTTGGAAGTAAAACCCTAAGTTTTTAACCCTGTTTAAACTCTAGTCCGCGAGAAAAATCGAATTTTGCATTGAAAAGCTTTAAAAAAGGAGATTCTTCTTGGTATTTTTGACCTATCTTTTCTCATTTTATAATCATGCAAGAATTACAGCAATTGTTATAGATCGAGATGAGATAAAAACGAAGACATAAATGTCTGATAGGAAGGTATACATATGAGCAAGTTAGGCTCCATATTTTTTAGGCAGAGACCGTAAATTTTTTTCTATCTGTGCAGAAATTAGAACGTTTAGAATTTTGACTTCTCTATGCAGAATGAATCTGAGCAACTGTTTGAAGCTCTATCGAAAAGTATCTCAAAACTTATTCAAAAAATAAAATACGACTTGTAATGTAGAGGCAAAACAGAATAAAAAATATTGAGACTCCCGCCGAGCAAAATTGCTAATTGTTTTCATCGGCCAAAGTAAGCTTTTTGCTTTATCTTTTTGCATGTATGTTTATCACATTTTGGATTCATTTGTTTAATGAATAAATATATAGCTAAGAGATTTCCTCTAATTTTGAGTGGGAAGATTATTTCTCATAAATTTCTGATCAACATGAATTGTGAAGCAATTCAAATTTATTTCATCCTTGTACTCATAGATATCAGGAACTGCCATTGAAAAACTTCTCGAATAGGAAATTCAAGACGTGCCTGAGATATGTTAGATTACCGCGCACTGCCCTAACTGCCTTTGGAAACCAGTTGGTCTCAGGACAAGTCATCCGGACAAGCGTACTGGTGTGGGGCTTTCTTTGAAAAGGTTGCGATACCGGAACACACAGCCCCCCTGATCGCCCCTACCGCTCTCTGACTTTTCTCAACGGACTAGACCTTTGGTATTTGCCAACCGCTCTCTACTCATCTCACGCTCTATTTTTGCCATTTCCTTGATTTCTTCTCGTTTTGATCAAGCGAGTTATGGCAAAAACCTTTTTCTGTATTCTTCCATACTCCTCTAATTCATACTTTTGACGTGATTTCGGATACTAAATATTAGGTTGGCTAAAAAAATAATTTCGTTTTGGCATGCAAGCTTTTACAAGAACTTTTCTTGTCGCTTTTATCTAAGAAGTGATTCAAAATTCTACCATCACATATCAATTTCTCGGAAATTTCTACCATAATTAAAGGGCAATTATACCTTTACATGAAATTCCTAGAAGCTCAATTCTTTTACCTTCTAAGCTCGTTTTTATGCTGCGATTGGATACACAAAAGTTTTCTCTATTGCATTACATAAATACTGCGGCATGCCGTTTTGAAAAATTTTTATTATATCATTTCCAAATTTTTTTATCATCACAATAAGAAGTGTGGGACTTTTCAATTCTTTGCTCCCTCTTTTCACAGAGAATTAGGTGCTATTCAAATAAAGTTTAGATCTGAAAACTCCGTCTAAGGAAAGGGACGAAACGGAGTAACAAATTAAAAAACTATCTTTCTTATTATTACATTCTCACTGAAGTGTCCTTTCAGTGATGGAAACATTGAATAAAATTTTGTCCGCAGCATTTGTAGGAACCGAAAAGCGACGAAATCATTTATCAGTCAACCTAATAGATACTACAGTAATCTGATGATTGAAGAATTTAGATCTCTACATGTCATTAACGACATGGACATCACTATTAATAGTTCTCGGGCTTATTTATCGAGTCCGACCACAGTCACCCCAATGTCCAGAGAGCAAGACAGCGTCACAACTTGGTAAGGTTTTTTTTCAATATTAATTTCGTTGAAAAATGAGCCATTTTTGTTTCCAAATCTTCTACCTGAACTGAACTTAGTGTATACAGATTTTTTCGGTATGTAAATTTTCCAGTATATCTTGATTCTTCCACTATTTTTATTGAAAGACTTCCAATGGAATCTTGCTGTAAAGGGGGCTCAGCACAGATGGCACGGGGACAAGCTGAATATCGTTTTTGGGGCAAAGGAAATGTCCTTGTGGCCGAAAAAACACAAAAGTTGCGACGTATCTTCTTAGTAAACGTCTCCTTTTTATGTTCAGGGTTTAGGGTCAAAGGGCACTTTGCACGAAATTTTCAAGATCAGAGGAGACTTTGTTTTGGAATCTCTTTGATGCCAGCTCGCGCCGAGCCCTGTTCGTGAATGATCAAGTTACTAGTAACTTGAGTTACTTTCTTAAATTCTTTTGTTTTTCATCCATTACTTATAAGAGAACTTGCCAATTAGTCGCAAAACAACATAAATCATTTTAATTGGAATTTCCCTACCCTTTTTTCGCCACTCAAGCTACTTGGGGCCAATTACAAAATATCACAAATATCATGGCATTATTTCAAAAAATTTCTTGATTAGGCAAACCTTACCTAAGTGAACATCATGCACTTTGTTTCTGTTTCTTTATGAATATAAAGACAAAGCAGAGATAATTTCTTTCCGTTTCTTCCTCAAGATGGAATTTTGATTTTCAGACCCTTTCTGATACTCCCCATGTGGAAGAGAGGGTCTAGATCAATTCGCAGAAGAAAATTTTGAGCAAATTTGTGAAACTCATCATACATATTTTGCTTGCCTTCTTCTGGCGCGAGAGTTCTTTAGAACAAGAAGAAAAACTAACTGAAGTTGATTTGCAGAAAAATCAGAAAAAATGTAATTTGAGCTGTAATTCACTTCGACAGCAAACAACAAGAGAATGATAGTAATGTGCATTCATAGTCTGTTTCTTTTTTAACTAGCTGACACAACGGTTCTAGACAGAATGCCGGTACGAAATCCTTGTTCTACTACTTTGGATTTTTCTAGTTCATTTATATTTTTGCAGTGATAGAATGCCGCAGCAGAGAAAAGGAAAAAAATCATTCTACGTATATGTGCATTAAAGGCAAAAGTTATTCAATGGTCTCTAATTAGTGTTTGCATGAAAAACGTTTAAATAGTGAAGCATATATACTATACACAGAGTACTTTCTCTTCGCCCATCCAGCGAAGTATATAAGTTAATTTTCATGGCTAAAGAACCAATTTTGCAGTGGCAGTAGCAGTATGGGCACGTGAACGTAATACTGTCACAACATATCGAATATCTGACGAAGATCTCACAGACGAAGGCTATGAGCGGTAACCATCATTTTCTTCAGTCAGTTTCACCTGAAAATCTTGTCACAGAGGGTTGGCAGATCGCCAAGATTTCGTAGTCTTGCTATCGCGATCGCCTGGTGCCTGTACTCTTGGTCAATGTTCGCTCAAGCTGGATACATATGTTAGGGAAAGCGATGGTAATCCTTCTGATCAGCACTATACAAATTAGCATTTTCTCTAATGCGTAAAATTTTGAGGTGCCATCGCTCACTTCGAAAATGTTCGTGGAGCTCCAACAGAATTCACGGATATGCATGATTCATTTTATTGTGCTCGACGACTCGGCGACTGCGGAGCAGAGCTACCGATCTACAAATTTACGAAGGGAACTGGACCGTCAATGAGTGAGTATATGAATAAATTTTTTTGCGTTCTTCACATATATCACTGCTGCCCACGAGTACCGTGTGATACGCAAGAGTTTTTTCAAACATTAGACAATTGACAACTCAAGATTGGACTTAAGCAGTCTTAATCTTGGTTGGTACACAGTTCAGTGGATTTTTTCTGAATGCAAAATTCTATATTGACATATTTTGGAAAACTTTTGGTAGAGACCTTGAACTCTGATTTCAATTAACTCCTTAGAATATGTAGATACCAATGGCGGACCTGCCCCCCCCCCCCCCCGAGAATGGATCACGAAAATTCTGAAAATTACTCATGTGGGTTGTAAAAGTGCGCAAGTAACTTGTTTATTTTTGTAAACAATTAAAATTTTCAAAAAATTTCGAAAACTGAAATTAGCCCTGTAAAAAAAATTCATCCGGGGGCGTAGGGGGCCCGCGAGAATTTTGGGAAGCATCTTTAAAATATTTTCGGAGTGCGTGGCTAATGCCACGCACCTTCGTTGGAAAAATTTCTTGCAGCCCCTCCCCCCCACCCGGACGGAAATCCTGGGACCGCCACTGGTAGATACCACATAGATACGTGGAACAAAAGTACTAGAATTGGTAAAATATGGAAGATTTGAATTTTTTTTTGTTTTTTACTTACGCGACACTTGTAATATTATATCTGTTCATCTTTGAAAATCTACATTGATTCATCAATTTTTATAAAGGGCATATTGGCTTCTTTCATGCACACTGTTATTTCCTTGATGCTTGCAAATGAACCTATAATAATATTGGGATGTCCCATAATTTAACCGTTTTGACCATAAACATCCAATTCTCGAAAACCTGAGCACCTACAAAGAGTACAAGTATGTTATCGTACTCTCGTATGTATGAGCTATATGATCACGTGAGTGGGAGAAACTCAGGAGGTTTAAGGGGAATCTTGCCATTGTACTCCATTCATTTTTTCTTTATTTCTAGACATGAAAGAAATACCGAAAGTGTCCAGTTGAATGTGGGAAGCATATGCTAGGAACGGGGAATTTTTAGAACTTTTGGGGCGGAGATACGATTTTTGACGGGAAAGTTCGTTTTTGAGTGCTGTCAGATTTCAGCTCAAAACTTCAGGTGGAATACGATTTGTGCAGACTCCTGGTAGCCATCTTGTAGAGCTTGCTTTGCCCTGTCGAATGATTACTCAAGCAACATCAGAAGAAAGATACAAAAAGATGACGGTTGTAGTAAAAATGGTAAAAAATTAATGGGCACACTAATATAACTTTGATTGCATTGAAAAGCAGCAGATACATCGGCTAAGTCATAACTTTCATCTATCCCCAGGCACAAATGCTTGAGGAAACTTTGAGTATTTACTTAATTGTGACAAACAAAATTATGTCAAGCTGCAGGTGTTCGGACTTTTCTTTGTTCACATTGGGTGTTTTATTCTAATAATCTAACGTTCAGCCTTTGCGTATTCATTGGACCCAACAACACATTTTCCTGGTTATCCACGAGATGGTAAAATTCTTTGCTATGGTTGGAGCGATAATGGCTCGATAGTTCGACCAGTCTCACCAGATCATAAAGGTTGCCTTCGGTTGAATTCTATTGCAAATGGGCAGGTAAATGAAAAGAAACAACAGTTTGTGTTATTAAAGTACTTCTTCTCCTTTCATCTTATAGATCACCTATTCCGCCGTCAAATCCATGATCTACCCTATCGGGACCACCGCAACTCTTGTTTGTGATGAAGGCTATATGGGAGGTGGACAAAGCGCTGTGCTTTGCGTAAAGACTGGATGGTATCCAGCCACTGGACTTGGGCACTGCGTACCTCAAAATGGTAAGACTTGCCGGAAAATGTTACTGGATGAAACAATGAGAATAATTTGTTTGTTAGAAACACGAACGAATGTGACCACAAAGTCATCAGCATCACTAGCATGCGCAGCACTGGGTTCTATCCAGAATGGTCAAATGCTCTACAGTGGTTCTGCTGTCGGAGGTAGCATATCCGTTTTTGGAAGTTTTTGCAGGCCTTTCAATATTTTTATTTATTGCATTAATCATTCAGTTATATATATATATGATGCGTTTCGTTCGTTCATTCCGTCTATAAGACATCCCCCATCCTTCCCCGCCCACTTTAGGGCTTATCAAGTGTGGTGTCGGATGCATCAGCACCTCCGCTCCCGCGCGACCGCTTCGCCTAGGCTCTGCACCTCTTTAGCGACAATGCTCTTTAATCACTTTTCCACCGCAAGCGTGAGAAAGGCGGAGCCTCAATCGATTGGATATGATTAGAGAGCATGTTCGCGGAAGAGGTGCAAAGTCCCGCGCGGAAGTGGACATGCTGGTGCCCGACACTGCGATTGATAAGCCCTGGACTTGCTTCAGTAAGTTTTGGGATTGATGGCTGACTAGCGAAAGTTTTTGAATGCTTTTGTCTGATGATCATAACTTTGAAACCTTTACTTTTCTTATGGGACGTGATGATAAATTTTCGTGGAGAATTCAGCTTATGACTAGTGCTTTTGCTTTAACAAAGCAGTCTACACTTCTTCACTAATCGTGATTATTGACGAATACATTAGTCATTTGAAGATGTTTCACATACCAAATACCCAACATTTATCTGTTCAAGATTTTGAGGATAATTTTTTGCAAATTTCTAATTTTCCAATTTCCTGCTCTCTCTTTTCTCACAGTTTTTACTTTTTGAGATCAGCTCACTGATATGAAACAGTTCAAACTGCCGAACTGCATTTCAACAATTTTCCAAAAATCCATAGAATCCTAAGCAGTAGAAAAAATGAGAATTTTTAGAAGGTAAAGAAAGCACGGAGGTTTTCGGCCATTATAATTTAATGTCCAGGAAGTTGGAAATGATGTCGACATTGAATGATTTTGTTTCTAATGTTCAAATTTTTCAATTTTCACAAACTTACCCCTTGAGAACTGATGTGGGAAAGTTGAACTACTGGTCTAGTTCTCAGCCCCGAGACCGGCTTTGTATAAATCAAATATGAAAAAATCGGAAGTGCTTTTTTGGTTCACTTACGGGTTTCCCGCACCCTCATTTTTTCTCACAGTTTTTCACTTTTTGAAATCAGCTCACTGCACTTCCTCTCACGTAGCAGAAACAGGAATGTTCAAATTATTTTTGCAACCATCCAAATTTACTGATATGTAAGTTCAAATCTGACTTACGTTCAACCTCAATAGTTTGTTTTCTTTGGGAAGCAGATTAACAAATATCCGTTCATTTTGATTATGTATGTGCAATCGGTGTTGTGGCTGGAAGAGTGGTTGTTTCAATAAAGATGATCTGAGATCGGTAATGAGCAGCTGTCTCGAAAAATTGAGTTCTAAAGAAATTGAGCAAAAAATAAACTGACTCTCCGATTAACTGTGTGATTTCACTGAAAGAAATGCTGACCATGAGTGAGAGAATTGCCGGTTTTTAAGGTCGTTTTCCACAAGGAACTCGTGCCACAGCCTTGTGCAATCTTGGTTATGAACCGTTCGGTTCCGCTGACAACGTTTGTAAAGGTGGAGAATGGACTAAGAAAACAACTACCTGCCAATCCATTCTGCAGCCGAAATGTCCCGCTTTGGTGCCACCATTCGCCGGAAAGGTAAGCACCATGAATACGTATCTTGTGTTAGCATTGTAGATGATAGCTATCCTTTGATTCAACGAGATTGGCGTCTGGCGACCGCTCGCGCCCGTGGTGCAGTCTTCGTCTCTCTCGTGAGCGTACTCTCTGATCATTCTCTAGCCTTGATTAAACCTCGAAGCCCCTCCTCTTAGCCTCCAATCCTGTTGAATCAAAGGGTATTTGGCTTACCTTGCCCTACCGAAGGCTATGAATTCAAAAATTAAAATGTGTTGATTTCAGATAATATACAACTCCAGCGCTCCATATCCACCGACGACTACGGCCAAGCTTTCTTGCGATCTCGGTCTTTCAGTTGCAGGTCCTTCTGCGCTCGTTTGTGGTGAAGACGGGTGGTCACCGAAAAAACTTGGCAGCTGTAAGCACGTACGTCAATTACTGTATGCTTCAATGAATTTGACTACCAATATATGGGCTGTACCAACCAGCATCGGTCCCGCGCTGGTATGCCTTGCGATGGCGCATTGTCGCATGCGACGTGCCCTACAAGGGAAGGATACCAACATGAGTCGGCGATTGAAGATGAGATGTAAATATGTAAATGCGCCTTTGAACGCTGACTCCAAATCTGCTTTTCTTTATTGCGGAATAAGTTCTCGAAAGAAGTTGTTTGCGTTCAAATGTCTAAGTTTGTCAAGGTTTAGTTGGCCTAAAATTGCCGAAAGGCCGTACAAAAACACCGGAAAGTGGAAAATCATTTTTTTAACAAGTATATTGTTTGCAAGGAAGAAACAAAGCCGGCGGAAATCGCATAGGTGTTGTTTTAGGGCTTTTCGCTGATTTTAAGCCACTCAATGCTGGGCAAATCTGGACATTCAAACGCTCACAACTTCTTTCGGAAACTTATTCCGCAAAAAAGGAAAGCAGATTTGGAATCAGCGTTCAAAGGCGCATCTTATGATATACATCTCATCTTCAATTGCCAACTAATGTTGGTATCCTTCTCTTATTAGCGCATAGCAGAGTTCGCACGCGTCACACCGCCCCGTCGCAAGTTGCTTGCCGCAGGCGCGACGTCGCATAACCGATGCTGGTTGGTACAGCCTATAGCATCCTTGCGGTGCTGTCAACGTTTGGGGGCTCCACAAAAATTTTGCGTAAAATATGGGCAGAAAATACCACGCTCATTTTCCACGCGAAAGTTGTTCCCGAGAGCAAGAACACTATAAATCGTGGAATCTACGCTGTAGATCATCTATGTAAGCTGCGAAAAACGCCATTAAAAATGATTTCCTTTTTATCTTGTTCGGTTAGGTCGATCTAGGATGTCAAAAAAAAGTTTCAGTATATTGGTACGTATATTTCAATGTCATAGAGCTTGTATAAGCGCCTCCATATACTGCAACTCAAATCGCAAATATTTTTTTTTTCAGATCATTAGGACAAAGCGTCAGGTTTGTTCCCATATCATTCAATCTAACGTAGTTCTGTTAACTAACTCACCATTGCTATTATCAATAATACAATATAACACTGCTCAGCAATTCACTAATTTAGTGATCTACCAACCTATTGTATCTTTCTCCAATAAAACTTTTTCAGCTCCCAACAAGTGGACTTGGTTGTACTCCCGTCAGCGTTATAGGCGGTACAACAACTTACATCCAGTCCAACAGCGCCATTCCATACTCTTCTGGGACTTCTGTATTTGTTATGTGTAACGCGGGTTATACTCCCCAAGGTTCTATGTCGTCGCTTTGTCAAAATGGAGTTTGGACGCCGCCTTTGGGTAGGTAGAAATGAATGAGGGGAGGGTGAGAAGTGGTAACTTCATTGTTTAGGAACCTGTAATCCGTCAGCTGGAGGAGTCCTAAATCCGCTAACTCCAGGTAAGAGTAGATAAAAAAATTCAATCTTGAATGCTTCTTTTGGAAATGTGTAAAATTGCGTCCAAAGCAGCACGTTTCAACTCTGTTCCAGCGCCATGCTAGAGCTGGGCTAGCGCCGTGTCGGAATCAGCGAAATGATCCAGGACATATCCATGGGTTCCAGCACTGCGCTGGCGCGGCGCTGGCATGGCTCCGGCACAACTTTGGAGCTGCCTAATTGCCAAGATGGACTGACCTTTTCAGGCAGTACGATAGGAACCTGCCCAGCCTTACCTGCTCCTCTATCTGGCACCGTCAGCTACACTCCAAGCGGGAGCTGTGAGTCCCCACAATCTCTTCTCTATCTCTCATATCTAGACTTCAGTTGGTACTTATCCATCTGGGACCACCGCTTTACTCACCTGCAACCTTGGCTATACAGTCTCCGGTACATCAGCCAGTACCTGCTCTAATGGTGTATGGATTCCTGCGACTCTCGGGACATGCATACAAGGTAGGAACGTTCTCTGCCTGGGTAATGAAGTTTATTGCTCAGTTTCAGGTTTGGGAGGTCTTGGAACGAATAGCGTACTCGAATGTCCAAATCCGAGTGTTATCAATGGACAGGTTACTTACTCAGGAGGAACAGGGAATATGCTCGATGTAAGATATATTTTAGGTCTTTTTCTCAATCTTTGTTTGCTTGAAATGTAGATGAAAAAACTGGGTTTTTGAGTAACTGATTTGGAGGCTTCTATCAAATCGCTGCTCTAACAGCAGCTCATATGTTTCATTCGTGGTTGGAAAATGCAAATCTACTCTCGCCCAGGCCTTAAGCTCTCCAGGCGACCAATCAGGGGCGCCCTCAAGTACGGTACTGGGCGAGAACACAGAGTCGAATTTTTCGGTTTCAAGCGAATCAAACGAGCTGCCGTTTAGACGATGGCTTATTTAAAAGCTTACAATCAGTACCTGAAAAGTCTGAGTGGCATGGTTGTTTGCGAAGTGAATTCAAAATAAGCCAAGTTTCAAATTTTCAGTTCGATAAACCATCGGGCACTGTCGCGACGCTCTTGTGCAATGCCGGCTTCACACCGTCCGGTGCCACCACTGCGACATGCCAGGGTGGCACTTGGATCCCAACTTTGGGCATGTGCATGGCCTCTTCGGGTGGCTTGCTTCCAGGTATCTCTATGGATAATACATGGTTGTTACAGACTCCAAATGATAAGAGTGTCTCTTGATTTCTTCATTAATAATCTTTTGCAATTAAATGGATTAGATGCAATTGTTATAACATCTTTGAAGCTCATAGCTCAGCTCGCAGTTACATTTTCTGTTTCGTCAACCTGAACTGCTTGTTACCAGGTCGTAACATAAGTTTTGTTACACTTCCTTCGTCTTCCTCTGAAGGCTCTTGAAAGTTTAGTCTTATATTTGGCAAGTATGAGAAAATAAAAAAAGTCTACCTACTGGCTCAGTGTACTTTCACCATCACGTGCATGAGTTACAGTATTCTAAAGTCTTACAGATAAGTCCGCTTTTTCGACAAGAAAAACCGATGAAAATGCACTCTCGCACCGCCAAGAATCTTGCAGATAAGTCCTCCTATCAGATAGGTCCGGACTTATCTGACAGATTTCAGGGTAGTAATTATAATGAAAAGAAAGCGGAGTTATCTGAGGGCGGACTTATCTGTAGACGGACTCATCTGATGGGAGAACTTATCTGTGAGGTGTAAGGGTATTCAAAAAGACTTCCTAACGGCACCCAACATCCTTTTTTTTAATAAAGTTTTTCTTATATTTTGCATTTCTCATATTTCCCTTCAGATTTGTTATGAGTTTCGGGAGCATCAGGGCTGATAGAAGGCAGCCCGGTTATTTGGGCTGTTTATCAAAGCAAGTTGGAAAATTGCCGAAAATAATTCGAAGAATATTGAGAAAATATTGGTCATTCCAAATGTGACAGTGTATGGAAAGCTACGATCCCCCGCGTAAATTGAAGTTACTGGTAAATCTCTCAAGGCAGCTAAGAGAATTTTTTCTTCACGTGTAGCGAAATTATGTTACGACTTATTGTTATCTAGATTTCTATTAGCTAGTAAGCCTCAAATCATTCTTGATTGCGAGCTTTAGTATCTCAGCTGAAAGTGTTTAGTTTTGGACACTACACTTTTAATTCTGCCAAACACGTGACAAAATTCTCCTAGGTTGGCCAAGGAATAAATTCTTCTGACATATAGCCGCGAAACTTGAATTGCTGTCTGTGACTTAGAGGGTTTTTCTTCGCAGAATGCAGTTTTAGGCTTCAACCATTATATAAGAATTGTTTTTCTGTAAAGATACAAGCCCAATATGTCTAGCCTTCTGAGAATCAGGTTTTTGATCAAGCATGCTTTTTATGCCATAGGGATGTCACATTCACTATCTTGATCTCCTGAATCATAAAACCTTTTGTTCGCTTGCAAGGCATGCATACTTTAATTGAGAACTTTGTTACAAAAAAGAATTTTTTGGAAAAGGGACTGAAAGTCTGCTTTTGACGCATTCACAATCGGATAAATTCAGTCATGTGATTGTAAGAGCATGCGCATTGTTTAAAGTTCGCATCGTACATATATACCGACATCCATCTTGTAAATCCAGTTCACTGATTTCGAAACTGAGTTTTCGAAAATAAGGTGGAAAATATATCTTTTTACATTGCGCCATCTCGTTGCAAAAAAGCGTCTTTTATTTGTTATCATCTACTGTTTCCGATGTTAATTTGAATTTTGAGCTTAAGCCAGCCTAACAGCATCTACATGACATCTTACAAACTCTCTACGATCTCGGTAATGTTAGCTTTTGTTTCAATCTTTTCCTTTGAATATATTGTCACATCAGATATCTGTTTCTCAGTTCGTTTTGTAGATAAAATTTTGACCATGAGCAGCTACACAAAGAAGCCAAAGTACTACAGTCCTGAAAAAGTGCTTGCCGTTGTAGATACGCTGAAATGCTGTACGAAAAATATTGAAAACAAAAGCTTTGAATTGAGTGATAAGTCGCAAACGCCTTGTCCGCTTTTTTGTCTGTCATCAATCTCAAGATGCTGAACAACGAGCGGCATAGATAATGTCAGATTTTTTGTCTCAGCAATTCACGTTTCATTGTGATCTACGCAGTCTTTTCGATGTTACTGCCATGTTTATTTACACAATCTTACAAAAAAAGGTTGTTTGCCTAACTTAAAATTCTATTTAGCATTTTGAAAAGATTTGTGACTACCGCATAGGCTAAAGCTTTTGCTACATTTTACCTGTTTTAATTACTTAGTTTGATCCTTCCAACATTACATTAATCACTTATTCAAAGCATCTAGTACACGAAGGGCAGGGCTCACGAGCTGGCACCATGGAAATTTCAAAACGAAGTCCCCTTTATTCTTGAAAATTTCGCACAAAGTCCCCTTTTACCCTAAACCCTAAATGAAAAAAAAATCCCCAAAAACGAAACGTCGACTAGACAAACGTCGCAATTTTTATGTGTTTTTTTTGGTCACAAAAACGATAACTCCTTTGCCTCCCCAAAACGATACACAACTTGTTTCGGTCTTGATCCAGTGCCAGCTGCGCGGAGCCCTGATGAAAGGCCGTCCAAAGTCCAAAAGCCTTATTATTCAAAGCGAATCAAACTCGACTTACTGTACGAATAATGAAAAATCAAGGTTTTGAATAGCCAAAATTTGGAAAATATCATTTCTGTTGTAGTTAGCGATTGAATTTGAAGCTTAGACCTCTAAAGAAATAATATTGTAAAACACCACTAAACAGTCTTGTAAGAGTCGAAAAGCGGTGATGCATAGAACAAGATTCGTTGCATTTGTCTAATCTCCATTCTTTGGGAAGTCTACCACAAATGTGGAAGTTAACGAAATCTCAGGCAGAAAAAAAAAGACGAATGAAAACTTTCGCAATCATCTGGAGGAGTTTAGAAGAATTTGGCTTAGAAATGGCTCGAAATCATAGCCATTTTTAAGAGAAAATTCTAAATATCTCTAAATTGTTTTCCATTATCTTGCCAGGCTTCCGTCCAAATGGGACCAAACTTTTGTGTCAACCTAGTACTTGAAATTAGATGTTCTTGAGGAAACATCGATTCTGAATGCTTACAAATGTATTTCTGCCCAACCCTTTTGGAATCGTGATCGTTCTCTCCACGGGAAAGGTGTGTAGTTTATTCATGTAAAAAACAGCGAATCGCTTTTCTTTTAATTATTCTAACAAGTATAAAAGCCTACAAACCTCTGCTGTCCTATGCCTTTCTAAAAATTTCACTTCACAGACTTTATTTGTAGACCCTGTCATTGAAGCATTTTATGCCTTTCATTACCGGTTAGGATAGATGTCAAGCTTATCAGTATTTGCTGACTGCAATTTTACAGTGTTTTTCACATTTGGCCCCACAAGATCAAAGCAGTCGTTGCTACGATAAAGTATAATGATTCCAAAGTATAAATTCTCTTTATCAGTCATAATGTACAATTGCTTTGAATTACACATAACTTCTTGTTTTGCTGGAAAATGTTGCCCAAACATCCTAAAAACCAGCACATATTTTCATCGATAAGTGCACGCCTATCGTTACGAGAACAACCATTTACATTGGAAGCAATGTGGCAGATTCCACAGCCAAGATTGCCAAGATTTTGCTATGAAACTTTTTGAATGAGACACAAACCTTCAGTATGATTTTTTATTGAGATTTTTGATAATATTGCAATGAATGCATTCTACAGGAACGTCAGGACTGACTTGTCCGGCTTTACTTCCACCACTCGGTGGCACCATCAACTACTCCTCTGGTAACACTTTGGGTCCATTCAACTCTGGTACAGTAGCTACGCTTCGGTGCAACACCGGATTCCCGCAAGGTTTGTGCTCTAAACCACTATCAGTGGAACATTCTTGCTTAGTTCAAACAAAATTCAATAACTTTCCAGATGTCTTGAACTTTAACCTAATCCTTTTACTTAATTTTCAAAAATAGTGGGTGGATGCGCTTCATGATAGGTGATCGAAAGTAAGTTACTATCAGGGCTCGGCACAGATGGCTTATAAGCAAGGTTAATGGCGTTTTTGGGACAAAAAGCAAAGGGGATATCGTTTTTGTCTGAAAAAAAAACAAGGTAGGTTAGGTTTTTAGTCGAGTTTCCGATTTTGGGTCAAAGGGGACTTTGTAAAATTTTGCGTAAGTCAGAGGGGACTTTGTTTTTTTTGTTGCATATTCTGCCACTCTTGCCGAACCTTGGTTGTTATGAGCTAGCCACCGAGGACGGATTCGAAAAATGGTGCTATTGCCTTTTTGAGTTTTGTCGTAAAAAATGTGTACCAGACACCAAAAATTCCGTGGAAATTCACGTAGTAGTGGCCAATACATCATTGTGACATGCTCAATTCCACATAAAGATTCAAAAGTGAAAAGTTTGTTTTTTTGCAAAAAAAAGTCAGGTTTTTTCACAAAAATAGAAATTTGATCTAGTGCCTAGCCAAAATACTGTGAGATTTTCAGGCATTGAACTGTATTTGCAGAGATTGGGTAGCAACTAGGAAAATCTTTCTGTAGAATGACATTCGCTATTTTTTATTGCTCGAGGTGTGTATCAGTGGCGGTCCCAGGATTTCTGTCCGGGAGAGGGAGGGAGGAGGGGGGGGGGAGCAAAAAAAATTTTTAATGAAGGTGCGTAGCTTTAGCCACGCACTCCGAAAAAATGTTTGGGGTGCTTCTAAAAGTTCTTGCGGATCCCTAACCCCTAAAGTTGAATTGTTGAGAATTTTCAAAAATTATTTCGATTGTTTACAAAAATAAACAAGTCACTTGCCCCCGCACCCTCCCCTCGGTTCGCCACTGATATGTACTACTATTAAGTAAAATTTTCACATTGAGATTAGCTAGCGACTTCGCAATTTATGACACCAAACTCACTTTAGGCGCAAAATTTAAAATACCATATTCGAAAGCTTTAACGACTGCTTCCTAGAAAATCACGCTTGAACATCTATAATGGAGAACAAATCTTCTATTTTCAAATCGCCAAATAATGTTTTAGGATTGGGAAAGTCATTCATTTGTCTGAACTGCGCAAGAATTCTCGCCAACTCAATATTCGCTTATAATCTGCACTTTAGGCGCCTCATCGACCAGTTGTTTCAATGGCCAATGGACACCTGCAACTCTTGGGACGTGTTCAAGTGGCATAGGTGGCATCGGCGGTTAGTTATGGTTGAGCAGCTGCCTATCAGGAACTGAAATGCTTTAGGTACCGGACTGACGTGCCCATCTCTGCTTGCACCGCTTGGTGGGACGTTGACGTATTCCTCGGCCATTCCACCATACCCATCTGGAACCACAGTGACGTTGCAATGTTCAAATGGATTTCCTACAGGTAGGCCAAACACGTTATGGTCATATCTTGCCGCCTAGAAACTGTGTCCTTACCTTCAAGGCAATGGCTCTGAAAAATCACAGTTGCGAGCTTTCCATCCCTCCTTGGCTTTCTTGACGCGTTGAGTCCAGGGCCATGTCTGGAAGGTCAAAAAAAGCTTTTCATGGTGTTTTCCGATTTTGGAGTTTGCTGAAGGGGATGGGCGAGCGATCGTTAACTGAGTCGTGATTGGCTGCCTGAGCCCAGCCAATCGCCGCACAAATAATTGAAGTTAGATTTCCTGCAGCGCCAAGCTAATCGCCGGTTTTGGCGAGAATCGCTCGCCCAGCCCCCTTAGCAATCTCCAAGGCCAAAAAACGCCAAAAAAGCACTTTTTTGACTTTTCAAGCGCAGTCTCGGATTCAAAGGATCCAGAAGGCCATGTGGGTGTGAAAAGCCCGCAGTGTAATTTTTCCGAGCCACTGCCTTCAATGATAGGTTGTCAGACTCAAATCTGTCAATGGAACAAAAGCCAATTAGGAATAATCGACTGGGATTCAGGATGAAAGCCAAATAAATGATAAGGTTGAAACTTATTATTAGAAAAAAGTTGATTGGAGCTATATCAATGGAAATACCTTTGTTGCTCGAGAAAAACCTAGAGCGCGACTGTATTGCAATCTAGCCAAAAAATCGATAAATCGATTGAGAGTGACTGAGAGAGTGATGTGCTTACGAAATGCCTTGCTTGTGCTAAACTTTAATGTTACGCTCTTTTGACGTAAAATCTCTCCCACGGTTTCGATTTGATTGGATTGCGGATGGAATGGTATGAATGGTCACTACCATTCCTGAAGAAATAGAATAAAAATTTGGAGAAGCCACCGTAACCGGCAAGCGTCAGCTGACTTGGCTGAGTGGTACTTCGAAGAATTGTATGGAGACGGTGCCCTGAACGATTTGTCCCAATCCTTGACTAAAAGCCTTTACATGAAGTTATTAGCTTTTAATAATATATTAAGGCTCATCCTCTTCTACATGTCTAAATGGTCAATGGTCGCCGCCCATCGGCACTTGCTCATCTTCGACGTTGCCTGGCGTTGGAGGTGAGTTATGCTATAAGATTAGCGTTACAACACTCTTGATGCAGAATTTATGAGCGTTTTTCTTGGCCTTTTTTCAGGACAAATTTTTTCTACGAAAGTTTCTTCCTTGAAACCTCTAGCATACCACTGAAAAGTTTTCTCATGCTCTATCTAAAGATGGTTGAAAGGGGCTTCTAGCCTAGTCTGCTACAAAATTAACACATCTTCAAATAATCGCATTTTAAACTAAAAATATTGCATTTACTTGTCTGGCTTTTCAAACGCGAATGTTGGCTCTCTCTTTCTCTCTCTCTCTCTCTCTCTCTCTCTCTCTCTCCCTCGAACATTCAGCTTGTATGTAATCGAAATTGTCTACATTATGCATTAATTGTATTTTTTGAAGTTATCCAGAGTGAGATATCGGGGTCTCAATATGAATAATTTTTGTGTTTTTTTATTGCGAAACCTTCAGAAAAATTGCGGTACGAAACCTTTTGGTGATGATAGAATTTAAGTTCTATAACTTAAATTCTATCATCACACTTTGCACTGCGCACTTTGAATACTAACAATCGTATCAAAGGAAATTTTATCCTTTCGGTAAACAAATATGGGATTGCACACCGTGCGCGGCATTTCATGAACTCTTATTCAACGAAAAATAATTCTTTTAATGGAACAAGCTTTTTACTGGATGAAGCTCGAAACGAAAAACAAAACAATTAGAAATCTAGGAGAATCGGCATTTTTCATGCATCAAAGTCGTGTTTTGTCGTTGTTTTTTTTGAGTCTCAAGTAACAGCTATCAGAATTAGAATCAGAGCACTCTTCCTACAATTATTTTTCTCAGGATTAACCCAAACATGCCCTGCAATGATCGCTCCCCTCGGCGGTACACTGAGCTACAGTCAGGGAGGGTTATTTGGACCATTTAACTCGGGAACTACGGTGACGTTGACCTGCACCAGTGGTTTTCCGCAAGGTAAGCAGATTCAAATACAAATTCAACCCTTGCGTTGAGCAATAGTCTAAACAAATTTATATAGGCGCAACTATTTCCACTTGTTCGAATGGTCAGTGGTACCCACCAACGCTTGGCACCTGTTCAACTACTAATACTATCGGTGGACTCGGCGGTACACAATGCCCCGGTCTCATCGCTCCTTTAGGGGGCACAATTACCCAGACGAATGGGTTTCCGGGCAGTCCAGCCCCACAAGGAACTACTGCCACACTTAACTGCCCCTCAGGCGTTCAGGGTAAGTTCGGCGCGCAAGAGTTCCGAACTGAACAAAACTCTCTTTCTAGGCGCATCAAGCGTTTTCTGCTCCAATGGGGCGTGGTCACCTCCGGCCCTAGGAACTTGTAATCCTTCAACAGGAGGGCTTGGCATTGGCACTGCATCGGGAACATCCTGTCAGATCGCGCCAGCTCCTCCCTTGGGTGCAACCATATCATACTCAAACCTAGCGCTGTTTCCACCGGTCCCGTCAGGAACAGTCGCTACTGCAAGATGTATCAATGGTGCTTCTATCATAGGTTAGCATCGAAGTTTTTATTCAAGAGCATTAGGAAATCATTGAACTTCTAGGAACCTCCACATCAACGTGTACCAATGGACAATGGCAGCCACCCACATTTGGAACCTGTGGTACCCCAGGAGTTGGCGGGACTGGAACGGGAATTGGAGGTATGGGAACACCTGTAAGTGGTACAGGTACATTCACTGGAACGTTCACAGGTCTCTCACGTAGTAGTGCTACCCAGGAGGTGGCAACCCAAAGAATTCCAGAGAGAAACACTCACAATTCAGGTACATGGCAGCCTAACAACCTTGGATCTTCAGGTCTCACGTGCCCGTCAGTGCAGCAGATAGGCGGAACAGTAGATTACAGTGATGGTCCTTTCTCCGTTACACATCCATCTGGATCCACTGCCACATTGCTTTGCACCAATGGAACCCCTTTGGGTAAGACATTCGTGGTTGATTACAACTAGGATTAGGGGCATGACAACAAGAAGAGAGCCTAAAGACAAGGAGCAAGCGAGCACAAAACGTTGGGTAAAATTCTATAATTTTCATCAACTAGAAGTGTGTGCCTGTTCTATCAGTACTTCCTAGCATTGGCCTACGGTTCGAAGTTATTGAAGAGGTGCCTTCAATTCTAATACTACCTTCTCGTTATTTTCAAACGGAGGAACGATACACGAATCTAGATTATCGGTTAAACTTCTAATGTTCAATAGGTGAATGAACTTTACTAATGGAGTTTCTGGTGCTGATTCCAATGATACAGTCCGTACCTTCATTCAAAGCTATTCAATGAATTTCAAGATCCAAAAATTATTAGGAAAATTTTGAGGTCGCTATATAACATTATTGTGCTGGAATGTTACGAGGATCTTAGAATTCGACGCGTTACGTCGAATTTCAATCAAGCGACTCGGATTTCCTTAGTGACAAAAAGTATGCATTTATAAAGCATTGGAGGTTTTCCTGTGTACCTCTCGCAAAATTCTACCGTAATCCTACCGTAGTAGGGGGCAATCCTGACCTCCCTGATTTCAAAGGGTTCGAGACATGACATTTTGGAGTGAAGTATTGGCAATACTGGGTTATACCTCCCAGTTTTTGAGCATGAGATTTTATTACTTTCCACATTTCAAAAAACTTGCTTCAAGGATCTGCGCTGTCGACTTGTCAGAATGGTCAGTGGACGCCACCCATTGGGAGCTGCTCCACCACTGGAGTTGGAGGCATTGGAGGCACCGGAGTGCAGTGCACCATTGCTCCGACAGTGCCATTTGGTGCAACCGTCAACTACTCTAATGGAGCCATTTTCGGCCCCTGGAATAGCGGTAGGTCATTTTGCTTAACTTCACGTGGCAGTTGTCATTCATTTCCTTTTAGGAGCAACAGCCACACTGACATGTCCATTCGGACAGACTGTGATCGGTTCGCCTACAGCCACATGCAACAACGGAGTCTGGTCACCTTTAGGTACCTGCTCAGCCTCAGGTAACAATTCCATTGCTTACCTCCCCATTGTCGTCCGACCAGCATGGCTGATTCGCTTTATGTCCCACGTCTGTGTTTGCATGTTGGTACGGTCGCACTTTTAGGGACGACAAACGCTCTTGCACCCTTTGGCAACACATCGTTGCCGTGCTACTTCGGAGTTTTTGACCCATTAAATGGCAACATTTCCTACTCCAGCCCCTCAGTACCGTACCCCTCTGGAACTGTTGCTACCCTGATCTGTGACATCGGGTACCGGGTAACGGGCTCTTCCACGGCCACCTGCACAAACGGCTTCTTCTCTCCCATCGGCACTTGCGTAAAATAAGTCTACCTCAGTTCTACCTCGTCACTCGTGTCTCAAATCTCAGTGCAATTTTCCCGGTGTTTTGCATGTACCAGTGTTGTGTATTAAGTGTATTCTGTGAAGTATTTGTGAATCGTGCTTAGCATGGTTTAGTAAAGAATATGTTAGATGTTCTAGGATCATGATGCTAAGGTGAGATAAATTCTTTTGTTGAAACATGTTTAATTGAACGCTCGCACCTTTGTGGTTATAGTACATCCAAAAACGATAATTAATTGGTAAGCCTTTCCACACCAACTGTCCTTTGAGAAGCATGCTACAAGTGAATTTTATTGCTGTGTGTTTACCAACTTTACGTGGGATAATCACGTTTTTTGTAAATGGTGTGAGAAGTCGTACACCTCGCGATTATACTTCTCTTCATCAGTCAGCTTAAAAAACAGGCGTTGACAAACTATCTCCATTATGATACTGAGCTGAAAGCCCCTATAAACCACGTTTTCAAGACCTTTAAATCTACTCCTACAACATTTGACACGATAGTCTACAGTCAATATGACAGTAAAAATAAGATATCAGAATGAATTTCGGATGAGTAGCGCGGCAGTAGCGGTCCAGAAAATTTCCTTCGGGAGTGGTGCGCGACAGAAAATTGTTCAATATCAAGACATATTTATTGGTTATCAAAATATGAAAATTTCAACATTCTTTTCTCGGAATTCTGCGACCGAAACCTTCAGCAGTCAGGGAAAGGTTCTTTACAAGCCAAGCAAAATTTTCTGAGAATATCTCAATCGCTTACAAGTAAGAACAAGTCGTTGCGCAATTTCATGACCAGAGTTGAGCAAGAGGTCAGGCACAAATTTTTGGAACCCCCCCCCACGTCCCATGAACGCCCTCAAACGACACTTTTCTTCTCTTCTTGACCTCCGGAACTTCAGAGTGTGCATTCCAGAGGATATCATCCTTTTCTAGAGAGTTCTCAAATTTTTGAACTGTACATTCGATTTTCTGTGACTTCACTTTACAATCACACGTTAACGCTGATTTCGATCTGAATGGGCCTGTTGAAAAGGCTATAATTTTCCTAGAGGTGGGGCGTCCGGCTCCAAATTTCACTGGAGCAAGAAGAAGCTATGAGTTCAATACTTATTCCAAAAAAGGAGCGATTTCTGGATTTCGAAGGCAAGTCAAGATGGTCAGGCGCAATCACTCAAAAGCTCAGACAGCCTGACCTTTTGAGGAGTGCGCCTGACCCGGTTAACTTTATCACCGAAGAAGCTTTTCCACATTAGTTTCTTATGATTCGCTAGCATAAACCTCGAAGATTCTACAAGAGGGGATTGAGCTTGCCTCGACTTGTTTTGGCTTTGTGGTAATAGGTGGAGTTGAATCACCCGAGGTAGAAAACGCTGTGAGTAACATTCTGGAAGCACTTCTAAATCCATTATTTGGAAGCGATATGAAGTCCGATAGTAGTCATACAGAAAAGCTGACTTCTTTCACTTTTATGAACAAGTTAATCATGTTTGAAAATCGATTGTAACAGGTAATGGTTCTAGAGCTCGTTGAGGTGATTTGGCATGCTGATTATGAAAATCATACTCAATTTACATAAAAAGCTTCTTTGTTGACCTTGCTGTACATTTAAGATAGAAGAATTGGAAATTGGTTGAGACTTCGTTAGTCGAGTTAATCAGCATGCTGTTCACAAAAGTCATTCCTCTGGTAGAATTGTGAAGTTTACGGTTGGGGGCTTTTCTTTTTCACCTTACTCGTCCGTAGTATTTCCTCACTTTTATGAACAAATTCGCTTCTTGTTTACGACCCCTCTCCCTCTTGCTCTTATTCGACCCCTAGGTTGAGCGCGCCTGATCCCACGCTCAACCCTGTTCATGACGCATCTACGCAACATCCACAAATATCCGGTTTCGAAAGGCTTTGGCCTACTTTGCCCGTGTTGCCGGTTACCAGTGTTACCGGTGTTGCCGATGTTTCCAGTGTTACTCGTGTTACTCGTGTTGCCGATCTTCCCAGTGTTACTCGTGTTATCACCTTTATTGCTGTCGATTCTCGAAATGATCCAGTACAGTTTCATTCTTGAACGCAGTCTCACTGAGTGGTGAGTATACAGGACCTGAGGCGATTACTGCAATAATAATACCATGCTAGAAACTTGCTTCAAAAAGTTTTTATGGCACAAATATAATCATATTGTTTGATTTGTAGCACAATGAGCTCTAACGTACTGGCTAACGTTTTGGACGCCTTGATCGAACTTCAAGAAACCTTGTCTTCGGACGTGTCATCATTTTCGCGGCCGTATATGAGAAGGGAGCACATTCATTGCCTTCTTTGGAAAAAAAAACTTTTGAAACTGAAACTAAAAAAACTGGAAGAAGAAAAAGAACTTTTTTGAAGCAGGTTTCTAGCATGGTATTATTATTGCAGTATGATCGCCTCAGGCCCTGTATACTCACCACTCAGTGAGACTGCGTTCAAGAATGAAACTGTTTTTTTTTTTTATCCTTGCACTTTTCCCGTCATGCGGGGTCTGCCGCTCTTGTACGTTTTCTCCATTCTTCTCGGTCTAAGGCCTGCTCTTCGTTCAGTTCAAGTTCTTTCATATCTGCTCTGATTCTGTCCAGCCATCGCAACTTAGGCCTTCCTCTTGGCCGCTTTCCTGGGACCTCTATCGACATGGCAACTCTGGTTATGTGGCTTTCTTCTCTTCGCCTGACGTGCCCATACCATCGAAGGCGTTTTTCTTGCATCTTCTTGACAACCGGTGCGACGTTCATCATGCTTCGTATGGTGTCGTTCGAGATGTGGTCAAGCATCGTGACTCCTACAGTCCACCTCAGCATTCGTGTCTCCATCACACCGATCTTTCTTTCTTCGTAACGTGTGCAGGGCCAGCATTCGCTTCCGTACAGCGCTGTGGGTCGTACCACTGTACGGTATATCAGGGACTTCAGCTTCAGAGGCATTCGTCTATCGCATAGGACTCCTGTGACGCTCCTCCACTTCATCCATGCTGCATTCACTCTACTCGCTACTTCGTCTTCGAGACTACCATCTGCGGTGATACGGCTTCCAAGGTACTTGAAGGAGGTGGTCTTCTTGATTAGCGTACCTCCAATCTGGATTGTTCCAGGTGTCTGCGTTCCTAACTCCATGTATTCTGTTTTCGTCATGTTCAGCTTCAGCCCGTGAACCTCCAGCTGATCCTTCCATGTCTGCACATCTTTCTGGAGTTCATCTCTGCTTCTTGCCATTAGGATCACATCATCTGCGTACATGAGAGCCCACGGTGGTTGCCGTATGAAGTCCTTGACTATCGCATCCATGACGGTGATGAACAGGAGCGGCGAGAGTACGGATCCCTGATGTACACCGGCTTGTATCTTGAAGTCTTCTGATGGTCCTGCTGCTGTTTGGACGTAGCTCGTAGCTTCTTTGTAGATCATTTGTATCCATTGTATATAGTGCTCTGGTACCATGCGTCTACGTAACGCCCACCATATTATCTCGTGTGGTACTCTGTCGAACGCCTTCTCGAGATCTAGGAACGCGGCGTGTAATTCACATTGCTTCTCCCTGCTTCGTTCGATCATCACTCTGGTTGTGTGGATGGCGTCCGTCGTGCTACAGCCTTTCACGAATCCACATTGGTTGGGAACCAGCTCTATGATGCGTCGAAGTCTTGTTTCCAGTATTCTTTCGAAGACCTTCAACGTGTGGCTCATCAGACGTATGGGTCTGTACGTGGAGCAGTCAGCTATATCTCCTTTCTTCTTCCATATCGGTATTGTTGTGCTTCTACACCAGTCGCTCGGCATCTTCTTGAATTCTACTATCTGGTTTAGAAGTCGTGTTAGCCAAGTGACTCCAGCCTGCCCACATCCCTTCCAGAACTCGCTGGCGATGTCGTCTGGACCTGTTGCCTTTCCATTCTTCATCGTTGTTATGGCTATGCGGACTTCTTCTTTTGTGATGTTCTGTATCGGTCCTTGTACAGTTTCAGCTACTATCGTAGATGCCTTTTTGTAGCTTGTAGATGCCAATCCTTCGAAGTGCGCTCGCCATCGTTCACTTATGTCTTCTGGTCTTCTTAGAAGTCTTCCGTGCTCGTTCTTGATATTGTAGAAGTGATCCGTGTCATTTGTGGCTCTTGTTCGTCTTCTTGCGATTCGGTAGATTTCTCGCTCGCCTTCACGGGTGTGCAGCTTCCTGTAGAAATCTGCCATGTACGATTGCTTTGCTTCTCTGACACTTCTCTTTGCCGCTTTGCACTTAGATACTTCTGATGTGCATCTTCTTCTCTTGACTTCTGCCATGCTTTGTAGGCCATCTTCTTTTTCTTGATGACTTCTTGAACAGCCTCATTCCACCACCATGTCTCCTTGTCAAGCTTTGATCTTCCTGGTTTGGTGCTTCCAAGTAGATTACTTGCCATTTGGTGGACGTTGTTCTTCAGATGTATCCAGGAATCTTCTGGTTCGTCTCCCAAATCTGGTAAGGTCGACTCCATTGCTGCCTTGGTTTCTGAGTTGTTCTTCAGCTTCCACCATTTGATTCGCACCTTCCCTTCCGTCATTGCTCTCCTTCTCTTGCTAATCGGAATGCTCATGTCCAGAAGCAGCGGCCTATGTTGAGGTACGCAGTCTTCTCCAGGGATAACCTTGGTGTCCTTTACATGCTTGAATTCACGCTGTCGCAGCATCCAGAAGTCTATCTGCGATTGACGGCCTCCACTGGCATACGTAATTAGATGATTGGTCTTCTTGATGAAGTATGTGTTCGCTAATGCCAAGTCGTGAGCCGTGGCGAACTCCAGAATACGATCACCCTCGTCATTACGTGTGCCATATCCATGGTTTCCATGACATCTCTGTAGACCACTTCGCCGTTCTCCCACGTGACCGTTGAGGTCTGCGCCGATCAGTAACATCTCTTCTTCTGGTATCGAGCTGATGTAGTCGTCAAGCTTTTGCCAGAATTCTTCTTTCTCAGCTTCTCCGCATCCAACTTGAGGTGCATATGCTGTTACTACGCGAAGCTTCTTCTTCCCGGTAGTATCTAATCCTACGCTCATGAGACGGTCGCTTACTCGTTCTACGTCAATTATCCTGTCTCTTAGTGCTTCGGAGATAACTATGCCGACACCATTCCTGCTGTTGCTAGTACCTTTGTACAGAAGCTTGAAGCCGTCACCTATATCTCTTGCCTTCTCTCCTTTCCATCTGGTCTCTTGTATACAGGCGATATCAACTCTACGTCTTCTGAGAAGATCTGCCACTTCGCGATGTCGACCTGTAAGGGAACCCACGTTGAGGGTAGCTAGACGAAGCCTTTCTGATGACTTGAATCCATGCCTTTGGTGAGCTAGCTTCTTTAGCCGTCCCCGCCCACCTTGTTGAAACGGTAACCCTAGCCTACTGTTCGCATTCGTCGGGCCCAAATGCGCGTCGCCTCCGGGGAACGCCCTAGCTTTTACTCGAGTATTCTGATGAAACATAAAAGAGCATATTGATGCGACGGGTTGTCTTCCTCAGCCGGCTTGTCGCTTGCTTCCTTTGGATAAGCAGCCTGACGCTGGAATCGTGGGCAGAGCTTTTTGCCAAAGAAATTAGGCCCGCCGCGGATCCGAACCTGTGACCTTTCTCGCAGAAGTCAAGGGCACTAACCTCTCGGCCAGCTCTGCCCCCAAGAATGAAACTGTACTGGCGATCATTTCGAGAATCAACAGCAATAAAGGTGGTAACACGATTAACACTGGAAACATCGGCAACACCGGTAACACTGGTAACATCGGCAACACGGGCAAAGTATGGCCAAAACCAAAGGAAACATTCTGCAATGTCTATTTTAGCTGATCTGAACCTGAACAGTAAATGCTGCAGGGTACGAGTTTTTAAGCGGTGTGTTCATATCACTGACAACAATAGCAGAAATCTGCGATCGCTGCAACGAATTTCACGACAACAAGTTTCAGTGGCCAAAAAGAAGTAATCAAATAATTGGTAACAAGCGCGGAAAATTTAGAATGCATTCCGATTTGTATCTTCAGAACAGCATTGATCAACTATTTGCAAATCTTCAAGAAATATGGTATTTATCGAAACGGTAGCAGTGGCAAAATCGCAGGGTTTTCGTCCGAGGGGGGTTGGGACAAAAACCTTTTCGAATAAAAGTGCTTGGCGTTATCCGGAGATTTTTTGTGGTGCTTCCTAAGATTTTTGCTGTTCTGTAACTCAAGATTTTAGAAAGAGGTGTGGCTGCCGCCAAAAAACATTTTTAATACAATGTTAATTCAAATCTTCAAAAAATTCTAAAAATCTATAAGTAAATTAGTTTCACGTCTTCGTGACTCTCATATGAGTAATTTTTAATTTTGCGATCCATTCTCGGAAGAGACCCCCCCCCATCATCAGCGAGTGCCTGTATCTTAACTGATAGCCTGGAGTTTTAACAAATTTGATTGATGAATTTAGTCGGTTTCTTGAAGTCATACCATTGTATGCCTTATGCTAGTGCTTACATGATTATCACAAACATACATAAAAGCACAACAGACGGGAAAAACTGGAGTTGTAGACGTTATCGCCTTGATTCACCTCTAAAACTCGTACTTTTGAAGCAGCAATCGAAGTAAGCTTCCACTTTCGAAAAACATCGACGTACGCAAGTTTGACATCTTTTCAAAATCGCATTCATACGCTATGTAGTAGGTGCTATCGGTGCAAGACGTTGCTTTTACTATGATGGCCTAAATATTTGTTCTCGTTCATCGAAAAATGTTTTGACAAGGGGATTTTGGAGGATTTCATTCAAGGTGTCGCCACAAACGCTTCATGTCCAACGCTCAAAGAACCCGCGCATGGCAGAATAACATATTCCCAAGGCACCAGTACTTCTCCATTTGTATGTGCTTTCTTTTTTTTTTTCAAAAAAACCAAGGCTATTTTTCTGCTTGCGTCAGGAAACAAATGCCACACTGACCTGTAATACTGGATACTCTGCTATGGGCACTAAATTCGCTATTTGTAAGAAAGGATCATGGACACCTCCATCGGTTGGCGATTGCAATCCTGCAGCGGCTCATGGTAAAACTCGTAAAATTGCGCTTTTGATAAAAGAGGAGCTTTATTCAGCACCACCCAAATCGCCCACGCAGTGCTTTAACCCAGTTACGACTGTCAACAATGGAGTGATCAAATATAGCAATGTAAGACAAGAATATATTGAATAATCTAATCTGGTTTCATCTTTTTTCAGGACCAGCAGTCTGGTCCTTGGCCTCAAGGCTCGACGGCGTCACTCATGTGTAATGCTGGATATTTACCAAAAGGTACGTTACAGCAACAAAAAAAAATTAAAATGGCCCCATTGACATAGATTTCAGGCCCCACAATCAGCACATGCTCTGGCAACGGCCAATTCTTGCCTGAAGCACTTGGGCCTTGTGTGTCGACATTGCAAGGCGATGCTCCGGAACTTCCTTGTCCTGATCTTAATGTCGTAGGAGGAACTGTAACATACAGTAATGGTGGATCACTTCCACATCTAAGGGGTACAAGAGCGACATTGTTTTGTAATCTCGGTTACACTCTGTCGGGTTTGCCTACGGTCACTTGTCAGGAAGGCAAATGGTCCCCGTCTCCAGGTACGCATCCCCAAGGATGAGTTTAGAGTTGCCCGTACCGGCGCCGTTCCAAAGCAATGCCAGCGCTTACTAGCGGCGAGTCCATTATTTTTGATTACTCAATTAGTTATTACGGCGAGCATCCACAAATTACCGGCATGGTGGTGGAACGGTGTTGGAACAACGTTGGCATGAAGCCGGCACATGGGCGGCTCCCGCACCCTAAATGCGAAGCTTTATGATACTCTCAAATCGATACTACCTAGGTCTGGGAAGCTGTTTGATGAATACACTACAAGCTTTACCTGTAGCGCCAGTGTTGGTACAACACGGAGTTCCAGCAGTTGGGGAATCTTGCCCAACTCCTGTTGCGTCACCGTTTGGAGAGGTTTTTGCCCATACAGTTGTATTAGAAAATAGATATTGGATTTGACTACAGATTACATTCTCGAAAAGCTCCCAGGCGAGCGGATTCCCGCCGGGAACGACTGCAGCTCTGCGTTGTTTTATGGGAAGACACATCACGGGACCTTCGTTTGCCACCTGTCACCGAGGAGTTTTCCGGCCACCTTTGGGAAAATGCACTGACGATAGGGAGAATGGCCTTCCCGGTGTATGTCTTCCTTTGGTCCCCCCAGCCAACGGCAGGGTAAGTCAAGTCACTCCTTCCGGACTCCTTTTTCAGTAGATCAAAATTTTCATTTCAGATCACTTATATCCAATCTGGGAAGCTGGATAACTTTGAAGTGGGTACAACAGCACTGCTCTACTGCTTGGAATCGTACGCAGTTACGGGACAAGCAACAGCTGTTTGTACGAAGGACGGTTGGCAGCCTTCGAGTGGCTTGGGAGAATGTGACCCAGTGACAAGAACATTTTGACTCTAGCAACATCATTGCTCATTCTAATTGCTAGCCTATTCGTCTTTCAGTCACTGCATTCGATTCGAAATGCTTGTAAATAACTTGTCTCAGTTTGATTATGCGCCAACATTGAGTACCATTACTTGTAATAAAGATGATACATTCCAAATACCATAAATTCTAGACTACACTACCAGGCTACTACGGAAACAATCTACATATACATGGGAGAAATCAAACCCTCAATCTTATTTTTCACTGAAGGGTCACTAAAGGGAAGCAGCTGCTACTTTAGTTTGGAGGTTTTCGGGGCAAGTTTGGGTAGACCCAAACGAGCCTGCTAGAAAGGGGATTTTATGATATAAGGTTGGACCGAAGCTTCGTTCGCACATTTCCGAGAATTTGTCACTTTCTTCTATCTTCATAATTTTGCTTGCCTTTAAAAAAAAAAGTCGTGTTTTTTGAACAGCTTGCTGTTGGTTCTTTACCATGAGCACATTGCGGGGATAAAAATTGAAAAAAACGAACAATCGAGTTCCAAGGATTCCAAGCAAGATGTCGGGAAATCTAAAAACGTCAATTCATAACCGTATCTTTCTAAAGTGAAATTTGTGCTAATCGAGCCCTTTCATAAAAGTTGTGTTTTTCATGGAAGATGCGAAAAAAATTTATATTGACGTTTCATACTATTTCTCAAAAATCTTAACTTTTCATATAAATGCTATATCGGTCCAAAACTCAGTCAAAAAAGGTGGTTATAAAACTTGTATAAGTGACTGTTTCGAATTTTGGAAAGTTTATAAATTTTTGACAAGCTTAAGGGCCGGACATACTTCATGCGATTTCTGTCGCGACGCGATTTGTCAATATTCCAACTGTCCATATCTCACTGTGAGCACATTTAAAATGTGCAGAAGATAGGACATTTTTACATTCCACGTAAACACATACTATGCATGTGCAGTTTGCTAGTGTTGGATCTGAAGACTTTTGGCGAATTGCCAAATCGCGTGGCGACTGAAATTGCGTGAAGTATACCCGGCCCTTTAGTCAGCAACGAAGCATGACTGCTGCTTTTCTTTGCTTTTAATCTCCGCAATCAGCGCTTAGTAAAGAGATCCAAGAAGTCATTTTGGAAACATTTTCTTTTACCCAATGAAAACAATGATAAGCAAAAGCACGTAAATAGAAGAAAATCACAAATTTTTTTAATTGTGTGAACTAACCTTCGGTTCAACCTTATACCCAAAGCTATCCCGCGTCACTATCGTCAAGTCTGATTCACGCTCTAACATAAGCTTTTTTGCGGAGACCACCTTGGCCACAAAAGTGATTGTCTTGCGCAAAAGATGCTAGTCCTGCACTAGATTATACGGTAGTGGAGCCCTTCTGAGGGTACGGAGGCGTTCTAGGTTGTGGATAAACTATTTGCGTTGCCTCCTGGACAATAACTTGACTAGGAGTCTCCACCCGTCTCCTTTGCTTGGGCACTGTTTTAAACAGTACATCTAATCTCATAGTAATGACCAACATTTTCAAATTCACCAAATCTGATATGAAGCCTATCATTTTGCATCGCTTATGAAGCCTGAGACTATATAAGGATTCCAAATGATCGCTTCTTCCTCATTAACATACTCGCCTTCATCACTCAACATGCAGAGCCCAGTCGAAGCCTATAGAGATCGTCGGGGTAGGCATGTTCACCCAATGACGTCCATGGACGGGCTCGCTTCCAGATAATTGTGTTGCGCACGTCTACCTGTCCACAAGAGAAGTACTCATCCTAGCCACTATGTGTGGATTTGCTGCTTTCAACATGCACGGAACGGATGCGAAGGTTGCATTTGGCTTTCGGTTTGAAGAATTGTCGTAAAGCAGTACAATGCTAGAGTTTCTTCAACGTCTTCACCCTGGTTCCTGCACTTCTATTCAGCTTCAAGATTCTAGTTATGAACAAGGATAACACTACACTCAGCGTGGTAAGCTTTTTACAACACTCCGCAGCGTCCAGAGTTGCTCATGTGCCGGAGTGGTGCCAGCGCCGTGCCCTCGTCGTTCCAGTGCAGTGTCGGAGCTTATGGAGGCGCCCTGACAGATCGATTTTCCGGCATGGCGCTAGCACTACATGCTTGAACAGTCCTGAACTCTAGGTGACAGTCTTTTTAGGGTATCGTATCTATGTTCTGGATGTATTATGGAATGGGAGTCATTTGCGATGTATTCTTCAGTACAGGAGAAGGGTGAGTTTGCAGAACCACCGGTCCATACACAAAAAAACTTATGTTCAGTTACATGGCGGTACAGCTACTTTTGGTCGGAGCTTTGTGTATCAGCGCATATCGAGGGAGTCTGACCGCTGGAGCAGCTGCAGACAGCAGAAATGGTTCCAGCGCTTTGAATGCTTTATCACAATCGGAGATTTTGATATCAGAGCGGGTTAGCCGCCTTCGCATCTTAGCGATGTTTCATACAAGTCTCGGCGAGGGAGAATGAAAGAGACGGAGGAAAAAAAGGGAGGGGGGGGGGAGTGATGATGAGGAAGGGGATTGAGAGGTATAGAGATGAGGGTACAGTCGAGTAGATTTAGCGGTAAATATAGTGTGCTTGCACAGAAGGTGAAATGCGGTGAAATTTGCGCGTGAACAAGTAGCCACGCCAGTACTGCGGGTATTTTGCGCGCGCAATTGGCCGGCGTCACAGTCGAAGCTATTTCTTCACGCGCCAATTTTACCGCATTTCACCTTCTGTGCAAGCACACTATATTTACCGCTAAATCTACTCGACTGTAGCTTTGAGATGATGCATATTGTCGCTTTGTAAATTTGCTTTATTGCAACAGTCATTAATGAGATAAAAGCGAAAGAAAGTTTAGTTCAGTTTCCTTCTACTCTTGTTTTATTCAAAATATTATTATTTTTGTTCAGTGCATTGCACTTTTGTTTAGCTGCTTTCTGATTTTAGCTCCTCTCCTATTGTTGGAACGCATATTATAAGTATGAGATATGCTCAAGACCAGTGAAGACAGGAACCCTTGTTTATCCAATTCTGATTTGCGGATGGTGGGAGGGAGAGGAGGGGGGGGGGGGGCTTTGAGTCACTGACTCATTTCTCTATAAATAGAGGGGGACGGTCAGGAGGTACGATCGGCGCGAATTTTTCGCGAAACGACGCCGCAACGTAATTCAGCCCTTACAACAGCAGCGCTCCTGGAGCGGTCTTACTTATAGCATTAAATCATGTATCTGTCCCCATCCTCACCGCTCTGTTTTTGCCGCCGGGAATCTCTATTGGCGGAGAGTCTTGGAGGCCCCAAGATTTGAACGCGGCCTCTGCGGAAGAGCGGCCGCCGCGCGCGGCGTACCTCCTGACGTGCAGCCATAAATAGATAGTTGCGTCACAAGTTTCGCACATTTGGTCTTCACAGGATATGAACATTTTTGAGCAAAATTTTGAACTTATTATATGCAGAAATTGATAGGGGGGGGGCAAATCACCATAAGCAAAATAAAGGGAAAACAGTTTTTGAACTGTAGAATTGTAGTTATCAAAAGGCGACACTAAGCAGCACAATCAACGCATTCGTTTGAAGCAAAAATTTTGATATGACAAATCCTCAATTTTCGATTCAGATAAAATCCTCTCCACGACAAAAATACCATAGAGATGTAGCCTGTGGCGATTCGCAATTCCTCGATGAAGCCAGCACACCAACGTACAGTGAATGTGAATTAGTGAATGTTACTCAGACCACCGAAAATACATCGAGTGCGACAGCGATGCAAATCGACAACGAGACTGCCGCGGTTAGTTTGATGAGACGCTGAGAGGGAAATGCCGTACAGGAGGAATGCACCGAGAAGTGGCCCATAGGCTGCATCCAGAGTCATCCGTACCAGCGTCGTTCCAGCTAGTGGACGTCGCGAGCCAATGGGCACGCCCGTGTTGGTTCAAGCAGGCGGTAGCACGGCGCTGGCACGGCCTGGCACAAAAACAGCTCTAAAAGTCATCTCCTTCGTTATGATATGCTATAGCACATGAGCTGAGTATTTAATCGAGTTCATCCCGCCTTCTGGTGAAAGCCTGCCCCTTATTGATAAGATGATCGAAAATACACTGCCGAGGTTCAGGGAACGATGCTAACCGCTATCATGAGTGGAACTACGACAGCAGTGGAGCTATTTCCTGGTGAAGCCAAGACAGTAAGTTCGACATCCACTGCTCTTCATGGCCAGGTAAAGCGCTATAACTTTTTTTGAATTGCCATCCTTCTAAAAGCGACAATTACAGTCTCTCATAAGTGAAAGTTCCGTTCTAGTGCATTACGGCGATCTATTGGCCGAGCCTGCAAAGATGGTACTGCACATCTTTTTCGAGTGTATAAGCAATGTAGTACTTTTTTGAGTTCAGTTACAATTTCAAAATTATAACGATACTCAGAAAATCACAATCACAAATATCTCTAACCATACTCTAGTCTGGACGGTGAAGGTATAATCAAAGAGTCAGAATAGCCTACGAAAGATAACGCGACCTATTTAGACTAATGCTATCTATGAAATTGGAGCTTCTCCATCACAAGGAATACTTCAGAAAGGAGCCAAAGCCGAAATTATTGTTGTTCTCAACGCAGATGTTCCAGATGTTCCAGATGCAGTACGCCACAGCGACAAGGTGTGGCACTTTACCAATTAAGGAACGCATATGCAATATGGTGAAAAACAAATTGCCATTGACTTTGCTTGAATGTCAACTCAATAATCTACTAAGCAGCACTAGAAAGCTACTGGAAAAGTTGAGAATTACGACATGGGGACAAGCGAGGACAAGCTCCTGGGCAGTTACAATGCTCAAAGCATTTTCCGACATCATTCTCCGACTTTTTTCGTTTTATAAAAAATGCTTTTGAGCTTATTCTAATAACTGTATGGATGACTGACTGCACTTTAGATTTTTTTTTTGTAAAGATCAGTACTTCTAGCTTACAATTTTCAGCTTGCAATCGACTACTCCTATATAGAAGAGACAAGAGCCAAATACAAGAGAAGGCGCATGAAGCCAAGTGCAACTAAAAGATACCAATTTGACATTCTGTACAGATTCTAACCATACTGGCCACTACTCCTTAACATGTAACTAGAGCTTCTCACAAAATTTAGCAATTACTGACCAGTTTCTCTTCACACACTCGCTGCCTTCCTCTTTGTCAATGTCTTTCGTGGACGATAAATAAATGGGCTATTCAGCAATTTTTATACACAAAGCCGACCATTTGATCAGCAAAACGTCCATTATATGCTCATTTTGCATCGACGATAAATATTTGATCTGGGTGGGATGCGTTCCCGTTTCCCAGCTGCGCAAAGCACATCGACATGTCCACCACCTCTGGTCGCTTCCGAAGTACACTTGCAATGGTGTTAATTTTTACGGGACTGCAGGGTAAACCATTTTTATTCATCGTTTCCTAGCTTCTATACCGTTTATTGGCAAATTCCTCTTTACCTCTGTAATACGTCACCACCATCTTTTCTTAGCTATCAAAAAAAACTCTCCTTAGGCCCCGGTCAGACTTCACGCGACTTAATCGTCGCGATCTAATCGCCAAGATTTCCATTCATTTTCATTTCACATTCAAAAATTTCGGGCTGGAAGAGTATCACAACCGAATGCAAGTTGATCGGCATGGAATGATGTTGTAACGGTTGTCTCGTCGCGATTCAGTCGCGACGATCAAATCGCGTGAAGTCTGCCCGGGGCCTTAAACCTTCTTCCTAACTTGATTTTTTACATGAAATGGTTTCGCATACCCACAAAAAAACACCAGCCCCTTCAAATGTAGAAGCATTTCATCAGATACAACTCGATGTGTTGATTCTGACCGGGCAGTTTATGAGCTTTTGTGCAAAATTGGCAGGTAAATGGTAGCAAAAGTCATTGTGCTTGTTCAAATTGCTTGTTCCGTCTATGAAACAAAATAACAGTATTACAAAAGCATAAAGAACAGAATCTTCAAAAAATTCATTGTAGTCCACATATCGTTTTCATTTGTGGATTTCTTCCATACGATCTTACGCAAAATCGAAAAGGTAACAACTCGCAATGATGTTTAGCAGCTAGCAAATTTGGGAATTTGCATAAGTCTTACATCAAATTTTTGTAAACAAAACAATACTGGAAATTTCGTCATTTCTATATAATTTATCAAGAAACAAATTTTTTGATGGCGAGGTGATACTGATATCACATAAGTTCTAGCTTACGAATTGATGAAAAATTCAAATATGTCTAAAGTTGTTCTAATTTTGGTTTCAGTACCTAATCTTTCTATCCAAAAAAATTTTTTGACCCGGTTTCCTACGAATAATTTTGATTCCCGAGATTTTTTATTCACTCCGAACTTTGTGATTTCAAGTTTTGTGATTTCTCCAGATTACTTTTTTCACTAAGTACTATAAATCGTATTTATTATTCAAAGGCAACCCAAGCCCCCCCCCCCCGAGAGTGGGTCACGAAGTTTTTCAAACTTACTGAAGTGGTTAAAAAAATGTGCAAACGACTTATTTATACTTGTAAATTTTTTAAAAATATTTCAAGAAGAGTACAATATTTTTACTAAGAAAATCCAAATTAGCCTTGTAAACAATTTTTTTGAGGTGGTTGGCCGCCACGCCCCTTTCTCTAAATCAGAGCTATAGGGGCGCAAAAATTTTGCGAAGCATCTCAAAAAATTTTATGCATGGCTAACGTTACGCAACTTCAAAAAAAATTTTTGTCGCCTCCAGGACGGAAATCCTGAGCCCGCCACTGCTATAATTTCAACAAAAAGTGTAAGGATAAATTGACTAGTTTTTCTAAGAATCATTTTTTGGTGCCTGATATTTCTACCTCAAATCAGCGGCGTCCGAGAAACTTTTTGGAGGAGGGTGAAAAACATATAATTTATTTGGCGAACGGGTCACGCCTTTTGAAAAATTCGGATTCTCTTATTTGCTGCCCGAAAAAAAAAAGAATTAGGAAATTTGCGACTCCTCCTTGGATGAAGAGAGGCTTCCTTTCCCCTCTCATTTCATTGTCCGGGACTGTTCAGCACCTTTTCATTACTCGGAATAATGAAACACATGTTGTATCTTTCGTGTGCCTTCTTTGAGCGTCCTTTACTCGATGACATCGTAGAATACTCGCACAAAAATGCGATGTAATTTGCATTTCGGATATCCGGCCCGTTGAGACTTGAGTGTCAGCGTCCTAATCTAATAAGTAGAAAAGCGTACCAGTAATGATTGTTCAACCTCTTCTCCCTCTTAAATTGTATTAAAGGCACTATCCACCCTAATTTAGGGGTCTTGAGCTTTTGGCTGCATACAATAGTAGAACTGAAAGCTTGTTTTACATGCGCACGTTCAAGATTTCCAGATATTTCAAAAAAGTAGATAGATTTCCAAAAAAAATTTGTGCGAGCCCACCTTGGAAATTAACGCTACGGGCCATTAAAACTTTGGAAAGCATCATTTCCGAGGAGCGTGGCAACTGTACGAGTTTCGCGAAAATCCTTTTTGAAAATACTCTCACCTCATTGCCGAGAATCGGGCCGCTACTAGCACGTTCATCAAAAATTTTATGTGATCTAAAGAGAAGACGCAAAGTCTAAATGAAAGAAAAATAAAATTAAATTCATATAGAGAAAGATGCACTAGTGGCTTTATCATGAGTATCCTGATCAATAAGGGAAAACTGATAGGGTAAGAAGTTAGGGGGAGCGTCACAAAATGGTGACTTGTAGGAAAGAAACGGAAATTAGATAATTCATTTGTTTTTATTATTCCAAATTTCGAATATTACTTGATTCAGGGTCCGACAAGGTTTCAAGAAATTTCTTTTTTCTCAAAGTGCATAAGTTTTAGATCTAAAACTGCTTTTTAGAGCTTGCAAAACACTAAAAAATAAATTTTTTTTGGGATGACGGAAGACAGCACACCTCATCCACGCAAGTGGATGCCTACTTGCACGCGCCACGCCTTTCCCACAGTTTAGAAGATGGGACTTCGAAATTCTACAAGCTCTTGATGTAACGCATAGCGCATTCAGAAAATTTCCGAGTTTTTATAAGAAGTGAGAAAATCGAAAATTTGCTCAGATGCGTCATCTATCCAAATATTACAGTACTGTGCATCGATCTTCGATTCTTGAGAAAACAAACCGAAGGGACCACTATTGCGCTTACAACTACAACCTCCGCTCCTACTACCGCTACAAGTCCAGTTCCGAATTGCACAGTAGGAATATGGTCAGAGTGGAGCGAGGTAATCGAGACTCTTCATTGTCGTTATTATTTTTTCCTCGTATTGCATTATACATGGATCCTGATCAATTTTCTTCGTTAGTGTATTATTACACAGGTACTGAGCTGTAATGCTGAATGCGGATCCTGCGGTTCGCGTGTACTGCGCAGAAATTGCACCACTGCTGAGTGTCACTGCAAGTAAGTTCTACCTGGTGGACAGTAATCCTGTGTTATTCAATTGTGAATGTTACATCACACTTGCAGAGGCGAAACGCGAAGAGAAGAGCGTTGCAACATTCAGGTTTGCGATTATCCCAAACCAGCATGTTGTCCTCCTTTCAAGCTGATGCTAATCGAAGGAGAATTTGCCTGCGGGCCACAAGATAAGGTCGAACTTCACTTTACCTTTCTTGATTGTCATTTGCTTTGCGAGATAGTGGCCTTTATTGGGCCTTTATCTGCATCAACTTTCGAACCCGTGTAACCGTTAAATGTTAACCGCGACACAGCACACGGTGGCGAAACTATTCGCATCGCTTGTACGGGCTTTCAGATACAGACTTTTTCAACCCGGAGTAGGCGAAACATTCCAAGTGGAGCAGCGCGTCCGGAACACCCCTGGATCAGCGAGTAGACAGAATGAAGAGACGCAGACTGCAAAGCGGCGCGTATCGTTGCGAAGCGGACTCCCGCCAGTCCAATTTCCGCCTAAACTGGGTTGAAACTTACTTTAAGAAATTCTCATCAAAAGTCTATGACTGCGCAGCAACACAAGACGCTCGCTGAACAAACCAACTGAAACCCCGCCCCTTCAATTTTCTTCGCAAACTTTGAGCAATGGTGAGAACCCAAGATTTTCTGGCCACTACCAGCCATTATACTTATGGTCTAGTAAATATGATAGTCAGTTGTAAACATTCCTCCTTCGGCTGCGGCAATACTTGCGTGAAATAAATAAAGCATATTTGCATGCCGACGCTTGCTTGCAACTTGCGCTCAAGAAGTGAGCATAAAGCGCACACTTCTATTAATCGAAAAACCTGTGCCGACCGTGACTCCTGACCGTTCCCCTTGTGTGTAGTGTCTTGTGTCATGCTCCGTGCATGGCTCCTTATGAACACACCCACTAAAATTTCATACTGATGAGATTTTGATGCGGTACAATACCGGGCCTACTGAGACTTCACCCAGGTCCCGTTCCAGAATGGCTTCGAAGACATCAACTAGCGGCACAAGAAGCTTCCCCCCCCCCCCTCCCCTCCCCCTTCCCATCATAACACCTGGGAGTTTCGAAAGCACTTCCATCAAAATAACCAGATCCCCCACAGCTATAGGTACTTTGCACCCTCTATCTCGCATTAATTAGGTTTATGGGTGGAGCTACCGCAGTAGTTTTCAAACGCGATTTTCTGCTTCAGAATCACCTTACGCAGGAACTTGGGAGACTGCTTTAGAAGCTTTTGTGACTAGCTCCTTATTAGATTCAGGTATTTGTGTACAGCGCCTGAAACAGATTTTGCATGCAAAATCAAAGTAAAGTCGACCTTGCGTATTTATCTCACGGCTACTTTATTTGTGCTGTTGTCCATTTCTTCACCGTCCGAAACAACTCGGAGAACAGTAACCACAGGCTTTCTTTATGACTTAAAAAAAGATGTTTTTTCGTTCTCTGAACTGGGAAGGCTTGGTAGTTTCAAAAATGGAGAGATTTTCCTAGGGTTTCGAGCAAAAGTGAGAAACGTGGATCTTTTCAAGACTTTGCGACCTTGCTAGAAAAGGTACTCATACAGCGCACTCTTCCAGAACCAAATACGCATCTGATATTGTCGAAGCGCATTCGAAGTGGTTTCCTTAAGGGACCGGCCATACTATTCTTGCGATTCCTGCAATTCCTGCGATTCTTGTGATTCCTGTGGGTTCCGTAACAATGTATATTGCGAAAAAGCAATGTGTTGAATTTCGCAAAGGGCTCCGTAGTGTGGCACATCGGAAGTGGGAAAATCACAAGATTTGCAGGAAATACAGGAATCGCAGGAATCACCTCCTGGAATAGTATGGCCGGTCCCTAACTGCTGTCCTAAGACAGTTGAATCCCAGGGAGTGATAGAAACGACGTGATCCAGTTTTATCGCCATGTATGTAGCCCCGCTTCCCCTCCTCCATTCCTCAATCCATCACTATAAGTGCTACGCTTTTTTGCCCTCCTCAGAACCCGCGCGCTACACTCTTCATCTTTCTCATCAGAGACATTCAAATGATGCATAGGCCACAAGCACTAGTTATGTTGTTGAAAAGTAATAAGGAGATTTCAGAACAGTCTTACGGCGTTCACAACATATCTCAGCACGAAGCAAAATCAGAGTACGAGAAGATCCAGTCCTGCATCTACATATCCGGTACACTGATAGCTTCACCGATACACGGACTTGAGTTGTATGATCCTTCCAGGTAGAAATCCCTGATGCTCACTACACTTCTACGACCAGCATCGACGAATTGCTGCTGATAAGAGAACGGAAATAAATGATTTGCTGAAGCCGACATATTTGGGCGGCATGATTTATACCGAGGTCAAGTGTCTGATGGCGCATATAGAATTTCAAAACAGTAACAAGCAAGAAAGACGATACCTAAACTCCGAAAGAATCGTATAAATACAGCAGATAAATATTCTCAATCATTACATAATTATACTCGTACTTTCCATTTACAATTAAAAATTGTGACTTTATATATGTGCAACCTCCTCCTCTTCTTCTATAGCTTCCTCTTCGCTATCCTTAGCATAAGGAACAAGTTTTGGGTAGCTTTCAGCTAATAAGCGGGTTAGCACATCACTCGGATCGTCATCACAGTATAGAGTTGTTTCACAAAGCGGGAGCACCTGTACCCGCAGACCATGATATTGAACTACTCACAGTCAGATGCAGACATACCTGAGTAAGTATAAAAGTGGCTGTATAGGCGTAAACAGTACTATCGCAGATTGAGGAGGATAAATGTCGTAGATAATCGTTCCAGAGTTCGAACGTACATTGATCGCACTCTGCTCGTGCCGGAGATCTGCACCAGTTATAAAATGCCACACTTAGAAAAAGGAGAAAAAAACCCACGCTAACCTCCTAAGCGGCGCTAAGTCCCTGGCAAGCGAATGCGCGACGCGGGCAAAATGTATGGCATGTGGAGACAGTAGCACAGCAGCGCGACTATCACTGGCCACTGTCCAGTCGATGTTGAGACCAACATCTGAGAGTTCTTCTACTAGCCTTGTCAAAGCCGACTCCGATTCTAATACGTAAGGGCGCCAGCGTTCTTCCTAAATACCGAAAACATAAATTACAAAAAGAACAGAACCTGAAAGAATTGACCGTCATGCGCAATTTGATGCCTTGCATGATATTGCTGAAGTTTGTTTCGATAGCAGCTTCCAAAGCAGGAGCAAGGAGACGATGAACCTAATAGAACACTTTGAACAGCAACACTTTTTCCTTTGTAGGAAAACGAATACGCCATATTGGGCCTCCTCCGTGGACTATTAGCCTTAGAACGACATGCAGCAACATCGCACCAGGACTAATTCTGCGGAGGTGGTCCCAAATGGTGGAGATCGTTTCCTTTTCTTTTTCTCCTTGACAATAGTGATATCCAGAAAGTGCACAGTGTAAAAAGAAAAAAGTTACTGATAATGGATGAAAACCTCAAACGTTAACTGCACTCCCATTGCTGTCAACTCATCCATAGTTTTCATAAGAATACCCCAGGTGAACGCCAGCACGGTCATTGCAGGAGCAACCTCTGTAAATTTACTGTAAGCTTCAGATACAATTATTGCATTGAAAGCGTTTAGTACATAATTGTAAAAGATAGTATTCCAGTTCTGACCTATAACGTGACGACGAACAAGAGATAAGAGCATGCTGAGCTCACCAGAACACCATTGCAGCACCTAACAAGTATATAGAACATCAAAAAAATGATACGCATAAGAAATCACAAAAAAAGCTTCAATATCAAAGCATTCGAAAAAAAACATCAAATTTCCCAAAATATTCCTACGAACCTGGCAGTAATACTGAGGCTGGGAATGAAATTCGCTGGCCACATCTGTGACTGCACCCGAGAACAAGGTACATAACTGCCGGACATACGACAGTGGTTCTTCGGAGACTGCAATATCCTTGACAGCAGCGCGTTGGAGCGCACTCCTTCTTCGCAGATACAGATCCATTGCATAGGTCCCTGGAAATGATGCAAAGTGTGAGTATTTAGCATGTAAACACCATAAACGTCTAGGAAGTACACAATGATTTTTGCTTCTAATTTCAACATTATCCGGTTTCGGGGCTAAGAACTATACCGGTGATGCAGCTTTTTTGGTGCCCCTCATCAATAGTTCCCAAGGAAGCCTCATAACAAAGCCGTGCAATGCATGCAACTGCAAACAAACGACCAACCTCTTCCCAACTGGGTGAGCAATGTTCGCGCCTTCTTCATGGCACGTGGCCCTCCATGTATAGCTCCAGGTCGGCGCACATCATCGCTTAAGAGTTGTACTATCTAAAAGGATCCATTAACACATTTGACCAGCATTTACTGCGGGCTGGTGAAAAAAAAACATTGACGGTAAAAAAATGCACCTGGTTTTCGCGGATTTTCAGTTGCGCGTCAATATTAGAATCTTTCGTAGGACATTGCCTCCATTCATGGATGAGCTCCACAGCCTGATCAAGATCTCTGGAACTTAAAACTGACAAGACACCAAAATAGCAAAAATTCGAAATGCACCTATGAGCAATGCAGTCGTCCAGTTCAGCGGGTAGTTCTTGCAACCACGCCATTTCTTCTTGGTCTAAACAAAATTTAATGGAGGATAGAGCTGTAGCAGTTGACATCCAACCATAAAAAAACTCACTGACTTCTCCTTCGTCGTTTTCCTGAATTGTTTTTGAAGTTGCTGGAGTTTGCGGTGTTTTTTGAGCCTTTTCCTGTAATATGTAGTATTATTTTACTATTATAGATAAGTCGCGTTGAACGTTGGAGACAAGCTAAAATAATAATAAAAGTATGCAAATTGATTGAAAAGAAAAACTAACCTGAACGGTCATTCTCTTTCCGCGAATAGTGTTTTGACGCGCCAAGATACCCTCATGTAATAGCTCTCGCTTAGCTCTTTCAAATTCGTCAAGCCACATTTTCTTCACACGTGCGCTATCACATCGATAGTATCTGAACTCCACATTCAAAGAATGCGAAAGCCGCGATCAAACTCGAATAGGACTACTTGAGGTGACCAGATGGAAAGTCGAGCTGACAAAATGAACATTTATATTTTTCGAGATTATCTACAGAGCATAGAATGATTCCTATGTAACTTCACACCGGCAGCTCAGTTGTTTAATACAAGGAACTTATGCAGTAGTGTCTAACTCCCACCGAGTACTGCTCCTTACATGCTGTGCAACAGCATATGCAAAGTATCAGTAGTCCACAGAGATGGTGCACAGAGATAGCCTTTGAAGGCAGGTCCGGGCAATCTCATGTTTCTGTCGTTCTAGGGCCTTTCCGTGGCCCTTGTTACAGTTATAAAATTCAAATTGTCCAAAATCTCAAAAAACCCAATTTTTGGAAATCCTGTTCTTAAGGGTGCGGACGAGTTTTGGATTGTTTATCCCCCCGGCTCGCCACCGAGGAGGAGCTGCAAGTGCAAGGCTGCAGTTGCAATCCATGATCGATCGGTTCTTGAGCACACGTCCTCAGGGGGAGGTTTGTGATATGAGGGGCGGTTTGTGATGCGTATCACAAGCACACATCTCCTTTTAGAGGTCACGTCAAAGAATCGGACCAATGCAGATCGGATATTCATAGGGCCCGCTTTATAACTATGTGCTAATGTGGGTGGGTGAATCTTGCCCGGAGGTTGCCTTTGAACCCCTGGTCCAACTTAGGGCAATCTTTAAGATAAGCACATAAAGTGTGTAACACATTGTCTGATACGGCCAACAGTGTTACAGACTACCTCCCTATCAAGTCTGGATAACAAGGATCGTAACGTATTCATATGTGTTGTACCTGCCTAATAAATAAGATACCTCTGTTCCGGAAACATTAACAACTTCAACAGTTGGTCAGCAACAGCAGGCCCACTCTCACGATCCTTTACATTTACTACTGCCAGATTGCTCAGCGAAAATGAAGAATCTAAGCTGGAAAATTTCAATGTGATTATCACTTCCACACTGCCTTTTTGAAGATGCATACCTATATTTTCCAGATGGAGTGATATTTCCTATCACAAGCCTATCAGAAAGTAGCACCAACATCGCACGGTGTATGTCCTCTTTCGTTTCTGGGTCCAAAAACATCATTTCGCCGTAGAGCAGTACCTTATCAGTACTTCGCATATTGTTGAGAATAACCTGAAACGCCCAGATACATCAGCAGATTACCTCAGATGATATACAACCTACAGTACTAGTGAAATAACATGTTATAATCGGAACAAGATATTTTGAAGTCAGAATTTGATTGACTTCCATTACTACCACTGACCCTATTCGACCTCCCCACCCCTCCCCTCTCCCTCCCTCCCTCACTGGTGTCGCATGCATAACGCAGTCATGTGTTGATGATACTTGATAGCGTAGACAAGAACTGCAAAAGTACACACACTGTTATGGCATTTAACGTTGTCATAAAGGAAAGGTGATTAGTGCGAAAAAAGTGGGTGAAGACGTCAGAGGTCATAATGCGTTTAATCGTGATTGATTTGATTGCAACAACAGACACAACGTCCCGATCTTCACTTTTGATCCGCAACTGTACCAATATCAGTACTTGGTCTCATGCATGGATCAGCATCTGGCTTAAGAGCTTGGCTTGAGAATAGTGAATAGCGGCAAAACAAGGTCCCTGTAGTACTTATGCGTTGAGTATCACCGCACTGTGCAAACCTGTACACTGTGGTGATGCTCAATGCATCGTTAGTGTAACAAATCGCTAAGGATGCACAACCACTATTAGTGACATCTACTACACGAAACAGCCCATTCCAGAACTCTGACCTGTTTTAGGCAGCAAGGTCAAATTTTGAGCTAAAGACAGCACAATGGGTAAGTAAGGGGGTGCGCGGAGAAAATACGGAGAATCCTCAAGCTGCATCTGCAGACATTGTAACGTGTTCAAAAGGGTCGTACAACAGTAGCTAACCATTCATATAACACCGCTATCTAGCTGCGCTCGCCACTTGCATTAACTACAGACCAGTGACAGGAATGGGAAGTTCAGCAACCACACTATAAACGCTCTAGTTGAAGATGGACATGTACACCCAGATGATGTGACTTCCAGGCTCTATATACCATACAAACGTGAGTTACTGCCGTAAAACGTTGCAGTATTTATCTTTTGCATACTACCTGAAATAATCAGAATTACGAGGCTTCTTCCTATCATCTGCAGTTACTTCATAGTAGAAAAGTCATGATTCGAAAACAAAAACAGGCTATCTTTGAGTGTGTAATGACCCAAACACTGATGAAATAATGTGTGAGACAAAAAAACGTACAGCAATGCCATCCATTTTTTGCATGAGCACCTGGATAGGAGTTACGGAAGCAACAGATGCTGAATGGCTTGAAGCAGTCTGTACGGACGATTTGTCATCTCCTAAACTGCGCTTCAAATGGAAGTCAGATATGAAGCGCTACCCTACCAGTCATTTGCATCAAATTTTCAATCAACTGTTTCTGATCTAGCAACAAAGAAGACAGCTGGTAGATCTCCTGCTCAAGATCTGCAATGAAAGTCTTCATACTAAAGCAGTCTCTCCAATTTAGAAGTCTTGCCTACGTGAGATCTCCTTGGATGCGTCGATAAACTGTTGATAATTTTGAAACACATTCTGCTTGAGCATTTCTTGTGAAGCATTGTTTATGGCATTCATTTCAGTTCGTAACTTTTGCAGCTTATTTGTTTCATCTCCGGTTCGTACACCTTTTAGTCGTTCTCGTATATCTGAAGAATGCAGACTAAGCTTCACGACAACTGAGAATGAAAGACTGATTGAAAACATACACTCTGATGGGGAGAAATCATCAGCCATTAGGACTCCATCGGAGGAATCCTCAACGGCATCTCCAGGTTGCATAGCAAGCCGGAGTAAAAGATAGATCCAACAGACTATATTATCAAATGCCTGAAACCAAAATTCAGTGTCAATTCCACCAACAGCAAGCGAAAGCTCGATAGATTAGTCACTCATGCTGAAGAAGCAGCGCATGCAAACTAAACAAAACAAATATTTAAACACATTCTTGACACCAAAGAACAAAATAGCTTGCAGTTTAGCGCCTGCGTCATCCGCGCCGCATCGCTGGCAGACGTCCAGAAAATTGAGCAGTTGATATTGATTGATTTTCAGCTCAAATATTTAGCAGTTGTATCGCTTTGAAGCTGTTTTGCTTCTTGCTTAATTTTGCCTCAAAAGCATGGACACACAGTCTTCAAGCGATTCGTCGCTGCCCAAGCCAGGGGATTTGATATGGGCGAAGATGAAAGGTTTTCCGCCTTGGCCTGCTAAAGTAAGTAGTTACCAAGCGCACTTGTTCCATATGATTGTAACATTCACAATGCTTGGCATTACAATTAAGGTCTTGGAAAAAGATAAGGATACGCCATTGTCACGCATTCCTGTTATATTCTTCGGCACTGGTGAAAAAGCGTTTATGAAGCCATCAGATGTATCAGATTACTATGAAAACAAGGCACAGCATGAAGTTCCCAGAAAACATAAGGTGGGTGTCTGGTGTTTTTTCTTGAACTCGATAAGTCATGATGTTTAGATCTTTTTCTTGAAAGCAGGAAGAACTTGTGCTTCCTTTTGCATGACTGTTGTAGTAAATCTTGACACAAATTTTCGCTTTCGCGTCTTTGAGGTAGCGGTCTTGTTTCATTGTTAGGATGTGTTCGTTTTTTGTCTGCGTGGGTTGAAGACTGGTCTTTTGATTCCTTGCATGAGTGGGGAAGTGCAACTGCATTGGTAGCATGCGGACAAAAATCAGATTTGCAGCCAAGCCTAGAGTACCGCAAAATCGAAGTGGCCGACCACCAAATGATGCGTACTGTCAGTGAAGATGTTACGTAGAATCCAATCTAGTGAATTTAGAGCTTGAGGAAGAATAATTGGGCACCTGACATGAAATCATTCGTTGCAGTCTTTTTACCGCTTCAAGGGAGTTGCGACAACTGTGAGCATATTGCACATGATTGTTTAGTCTTCTAGCGCTCGTTACTACTCTAGTCAATCCCTACAAATGGTCTAATTGTAAGGAGTAATTTTACCGCGCGCGACCTCCTTTTTTGCTCCAATGCTTATCACTCTCCCAAAGCTTACAGAAAAGGTAAGCAGGTATAGAGCGTTGCAGACTCTAATTTGTTCCAAACTCTCGGCAACAGTATACATCTTGCCGGCCCTTCGACTTCATGACAGTTTACTGCTAGTTGACTGAAGCTCACAAGGGAATGGTCAGAAATCGAAGTGGCCAATTCAAGCAAGCTGCATATTATTCGATGCAGCATAGAATGCTGATTTCAAATGTGTCTTCCGTATCTGCAGAGCGCCTTTGTGGGCGAAGTTATGAGCAGCTTTACTGCGGAAAAATCGTCCACAAAAACTGCTAAATTAGGCAGATCACTGCTCTTTTAGCTCACCTTTAGGTACGAGCCATATGAACTGACCTAGGTACACGTTTTGGTCCAACACTGAGCCGAGAATGGCTTTGTATGGCAAAGTTTGACCTTTACACGCACAATTTCTTAGCAAAATGATGACATTTAACGGCTTATAACTTCGCCTACAAAAGCGCTCTGCAGATAAGGAAGACAGATCTGAAATCAGCATTCTATGCTGCATCGAATGGTATGCAGCTTGCTTGAATTGGCCACTTCGATTTCTGACCATTCCCTTGTCAGCATTCTAATGCTGGGAGTTAAATGGCAGGCAGGTCTGCTGCGGAGTTGATTAACAGCGTTGTTCTGCATACTTAGGACCTTAAATCAAATTGGGGGTGTGGCGCTTTTTCGCCATGGGGAGTATGCTTCATTGGCTGGAATTATCATCCAAATTGTTGTTTACCTTCTGTTGATCTCGAGTCCAAGTACGGTCCATCTCAGAAGATGAAATGGATAGTGAATGCTTTGGTTTAGACTTAGAAGACGTAAACTGTATGCTCAGCGGCAGATTCTCTCTTTAGCAAAGTAGGCAGTCAGAAAGAATGAATTTCGAGATCTCTCCAGTTCAGACACATTCAGAAACGAATAACCTACTATATACCTGACTGAATATAGAAGAAAACTATTGTATTACTTTTCAGGTCCCTGCGAGTAATCTTCTTTTTATTTTCAGGGTTTCAATGAGGCTATCCACGAAATACGTGTGGCAGCTGGTTTCGAAACAGCATTTGATGCTGATCCTCTTTTTGGAGCAAGTACGTCGAGCAAAGGCCCATCGCCCATGCTTTCGGGTACCCTTGAAGATAGGCTTCGCTCTGGTAACGGCAAATTACTGAATGATGCATTTCTATCGGGCTTCGAACGGCGTAGAGCGAATTCCGCGTCTACAAGGTACAGTTACCATTCGCATTTTTCCAGGGTTAGTTGTAATCTTTTGAATTTTAGGTCACGATCGAGAGCCAGCAGTTCGGCATCTGCTTTGAAGAAACTGCACAAAGCTATGCATCGTCGACGACTCGACAGCGGTAGTTCCGCTGGATCTCGCCTTGTCAAAGGGTTGCCAGGATTCGCTGATCGAGGTTTCGACCTTTTCGACAACTTTCAGGTGCTCTTTCAATTGGATTTTTCGATTTAAATGTGTCAGATTGGAACTTAATCATTGCATTCATTGAATTCTTGATTTTCATCATTCTGAGACAAAGTTTGTGTGGAAAGAAAAGTGCACTCTATGATAGCGAGTAAAACAAAATTTCATGGATGTTGAAGCATAGGTTGTCTAAATTCTGCATTTCTGGCGCAATCGTCCATCGTTGTTTGCACACCTGAAAATCGAGAATTTCGAGAATGCGGAACAGTCTGGAGGACGAGAGGGTCGTGAAAGTTTGATTTTCATCACCATGTTATCGAACTGGGCAATATTTGATTCATTTATAATTTGCTCTCTGGAAGTACCGTAACTTACTTGGAATTTCGTTGCAAAGCTATCTTTTAGAGGAGCTGAAGCGCGAATGCTTAGGAATGCTTCTTTGGTCCAATAAAAAGACGCCATAGACTCCCAATCTGATCTATGTAACATTCTTTCGCTCTTGATGTTATTTTTGGTAATTGTAGTCTTACGATGCGGCCGACTACGCTATAGATGAGAGCCTCAATCTGTTCGGCAATGATGAGGTGAAATCGAATCGATCAAAAAGGTCTCGTGCTTCGTCGAAGCTCTATGACGATTTTCTGTTGAATGGATTTGGTACAAGAACACGGCACCGTTCGGGAAGCGCCAGCGAGGTTGGCAGAAGGAGCAGGTGATTTTATTTTTATTTCATGTTGGCTGAAAATGTGTTTTATCAAGTAGTTGAGATAGGTTTGGTTTTTTCAAAGAGACTGTGTGTTGTTTCTTTTCAAGCAGCTGAGATGGATTTTGTAGGTTGATATCGGGCGTCTCTGATGTTTTCGACGAACTGATCTTTAACGGAGATCTGAGTATACAACAGGCTGCTGAGCAATTTCTGCATACGCTAGAAGAGATTCCGTCTGAAAGTAGCGAGGTACATCGAAATTCTTGCTTGACATTTATCGCTGACTATATACATGACTGTGAGTTTTTCAGGGAAGACCAGGTACACCAGAAGCACTTGCACCACTCCCGGAACCCGCAGTGTTCTGCACTGCTTGCGGATGCGAGTGTAAACCTTACGAGGGAAAGTTGCGGTAAAAAATTTTTGACCTTTATTCCAATGTTATTCTGCAACGTTTACATCAGGTGCACTTCGAAGTTTTGTAAGAAGTTCCATGACTCGCAGCCTGCTGAATCGAAAACATCTGTAGTGACAGCTTCTTCATCTAGGACAATTTCAACATTATCCAGAGGTCTTGACAAAACAGAGGACAAGACAAGCAAACCGGATGAAGGTGCTAGAAGTCCTCGGAAGGTGACACATATGCCGGTTACTTGGAATGATTTGAAATGCACATATTCAGAGCAAAACATCACATTTCGACATAAACAAAAGTGAGCTAGAGGCTGATCAGCTATCTGGATCGGAATCATTGCGCAGCCCAAGAACAAAACGTCGACGGCCCGACTCTCCACCGAATAAGAAAATGAAAAAAGAGGTTGTTTTTTTTTTGCTGGTATTCTTTGTTATTTATCTTTTACGAAATTATCTTGAATCTGCCTTTCACTAATCAGTTTACCATCATCAGGAGAAAACTAGCACTGAAACAGCAGTTGTAAAGGAAGAGAAAACGGAGAGATCACTCACGCCTCCAAGAGAAATGTCTTTATTTTCACCACCGAAAGAAAAATCAAGCACTAATGACACATGCAGTGCAGTGCAGAAGAGACCTGCCAGAGGGACAGGACGGCCAAAACAATAGTCAGAGTTTTTACTGCACGCATCTGAACTTTGAAAGAGGGTTTTCTTTCAGTAAAGTGGAAAAAACACCAGTGATGGGAGCAAATGGCCAGCGACAGTGCACATTCTGCAATGGGCAAGTGCGTCCTCAGATGTGTGGTAGCAACAAGCATAGGTATGTTGAATCTTCTACTAAAGAAACGTTTTTAAACGTCTTTACTTCAGATGGCGCTGTGTAGACAAGAAGTGTCGGAAATGGTATGGATGGGTGAAAAGTCATGAAGAGATCCCAAGAGACTTGGGAAGGAAGGGACGGTGGAATCGGGCTAATCGCACAAAGAAACTCGTGGTGTCGGCGGAAAAGAAAGAAGAAGAAGACACCGGTACGACGGCTGTGATTGTTGTTAATGATTACGATGAAACTATTGCAGGCCCTGCTTCACTTTCTTCGCAGGCTGAAGCGGCTTTGGCTGCTGCTGAGATCCAATCCATGCGAAGTGATAAGACTGACCCACTTGCTCTCATCGTGGAACAAAATGTACAGGTGCCTTTTTTGCACAAAAATTGCATATCTCCGAATACATTTTCTCAGCAGGAAGTCAAAAAGAGACTTGGACGCCCTCCGAAAGAACATGGGTTGAAAATCCGCTTGAAGACTGGCAAGGAAAAAAAGGAGGTTGTTTTCAGTTGCTTTGCTTGTTTTTTCAATAAAAAAAATATGCATTATCAGGAGACTAGGCAGAAGCGCAAATATGTGAGAAGAAAGGATAAGGTTGGTGCTGGAGTTCTTCCAGGTACAGCTGTTGCAAGTGAGGATGTTCGACCAGGTTAGTGAAAAGTGTTACATACGCTCCACATAAATCCCCACTTCTTCTTTACTTTTCTTCTTCACTAAGGGAGTGTTCCGCAGATTTTGGGTCTTGTAATCCTCGTATTCGTGATGTGCTCAGTCCAAGCTGTGCTTTACAATTTTTCAAAAATAATCTTTTCTTGGATTCTGGAAGTGTTGCACGATAGGGTCGAAAACCAATTGTCTTCCAGCATAGTTTTTAATTCTTGTCTATACAGTTGAGGCGACTGCAACATTCCACATGATGAAAAAGCGAATTTTTGGAGTTCTGAGGAGTTGTGAAGCACATTTTGGACTGAACTGGTAAAAAAAATTTGAGTTAGATTTCTGCCGAGCCACTACCTTCATCACATCAGAAATTACATGCTGTTTCATGCTCATTTTGTAACTTAGCTCCACCACCACTGACTGAAGCGGAGAGAAACTATGAGCCATGTGCCATTGAGAAGCGTGTCAGATGGTGGCTGAGCGAAAAGCGAAGAGTCGATGCTAGTCCCGAGAGGTAATCTACTTTTTATCATTCTGTTCGTATCATATACTTGTTCCTGTCTTCATTTTTGTATTCACTCTACGCCGTATACAGACCGTTCGAGACAAAGGCTATCGACTCATGCGCTGCATTCCGCATGCTCTCTAACGCCTTTCGAGCTGCAGCAGTCACACGGTAGTCTGAGTATTATTCTTTTCTTTGACCTAATTCATGCTTAGAATTCCAGTGCTGATGAAGCTCAGTCTGTAAATGGATCATTGGACATGCTCATGGATTCACTCATGGGATCACTTGGTCCGTTGCTAACCATCGCTTCTTCTGCGTTTGAAAATCTGGTGAGATTCACAGATATTTTCCTCTTCTTACAACTGAGCTGCGAAAATTGCATTTAATTGATTCTTGTAAATTAAGATTCCTGATGATCTATCACAAATGCTCTGGAAATCATCTTCGGTGCATTTACCTACATTTCAATAAGGGCTCATTGCTTCTGATTCTTATTGATAATTTTTTAACAACGTTGTACACTTTGTACAGTACTTTCGGCAGTGTTGACCGTTCCATAATTTGTATAGCTGTTTTTCTTTCTTCGAAGCATCGTTAACTAATTGTTGGACAGTCGCATTCTTCCATCTTGATTACTGACATCTTACAGCAATTTCAGGTTATTCCACTACACTCCCTACTAATGATCTCAGTTTGTTGTTGTTGCTTTTTAGATTTTATCGTTTGTTGCGTTGACATACTGATGCTTGTATAGCTATGAATTTTAGCACTGCCATAATAGTTCTAGTCCTTGTTACAATTACTAATGAACTTGTTATATCAGCTCCAGATGATTTTGACCTTTCTGTCCCGGGTTTTGCTTTGTAGTACCAAACATTCACCACTATAAGATCTACTAGTTATAGGGATGCGCCATAATTGATCCGCTTAGTCCACTTGATCCACTTCGTCATTGGAAATTTCACTGATTCGATCAGTAGCGAAGTGGATGAAGTGATGTTTTGACAAAGCTCTACTCGCTATGCTTTTCCTTCATCAGACTGCCCGTACAGGACATAATGGGTGGATTGTAGACAAGTTCTAAGAATCACAGTCCAGCTGATTTTGAAAAAATCGATTTTTGGAATTTGGGCATATCAAATGCGAATGACCACAACTGAATATTGGTTTGCTCTATCCTTCGCTTTATCAATTTTTAAGTCTGTTATCGTACCTCTATCGTATGGTGACAGCGATCGTGTGCCTATCAGTAATTAGGTTCTTCGCTCCCTCCCCTCCCCCATCAACCTTATCTCAAGTTTGCAAACTCTTCAAATTAACTGTGCTAAAGAACGCTGAGGAATCTTACTCATTTTGCTAGAGTGAGTCAAACGGTATTAGAATTTTTATCACCAACTTGAACTTCACAGCAATCCGGGTGGAACACTTTATCAGTAGTTATGACTTCAGATAGTTCAGCAGTTCAAATACTAAGATGATTTCTTTCTTTCAAATTTGTTGAAATAATTTGCAAAAGTTTTGAACCCATTTTTGGTAGCTTTTTTGACCCTAACTTTTTCTCAGTACTTCTGGTTTTGTAAGGCTGGCTCCTGGCTCTCTTGATCTTCTCCAATAAGTCTCTGAATTCCGGATACTTCAAAAAATACGCGGGTAATAGCATAAACCTTCAAAATTTCTTTAAATCTAAAGAGCTCGAAATTGTTATGAGCCAAGTCACCAAGCTTTGTTTTTATTAGGTTGTCCGGAAATTAATGCAGGTTTTGAATTCCAACCGCGATAAGTCATACACTTCTCATTTTTAAGCAGGTTGCAAGATATCATTCGATAGAGCAAAGCAAGCTCTACAAGATGGCAGCCTTGCTTTAGCAACATCTCTATCCACCACGAATTTCGAGCCAAAAACTAAGAAGATTCAACTGCCCGAAAAATTAAGAAAAATCGTAACTCAGTTCATAAAATACCTACAAAAATTCTAACTTGCTCACATAAACACAATCCACATAAGGCATCTATATACGCCTTTGCCGTATTTTTTTTCCCTGTTGAGAATCAAGGAAACGGAAATTTTCGTGCATTTGCGAAAGTGGTGCTGTGCCGTTCTCACATGAGCAGTTGTATATTACAAACCTGTAGAAGTACAAACGTAAATTTCCAGCTCTCTACAGGCTTTAGTTCTCGAGAAACATCGAATACAGTTTTCCCTAGCCATGTGGTCCAAACTAAAATTCAAATTTCTCGAGAACTAAAGCTTGTAGAGAGCTGGAAATTTACGTTTGTACTTCTACAGGTTTGTAATATACAACTGCTCATGTGAGAACGGCACAGCACCACTTTCGCAAATGCACGAAAATTTCCGTTTCCTTGATTCTCAACAGGGAAAAAAATACGGCAGTGGCGTATATAGATGCCTCATGTGGATTGTGTTTATGTGAGCAAGTTAGAATTGTTGTAGGTTTATTATGAACTGAGTAACGATTTTTCTTAATTTTTCGGGCAGTTGAATCTTTTTAGTTTCTGGCTCGAAATTCGTGGTGGATCAGAGATGTTGCTAAAGCAAGGTCGCCATCTTGTAGAGCTTGCTTTGCTCTATCGAATGATATCTTGCAACCTGCTTAAAAATGAGAAATGTATGACTTATCGCGGTTGGAATTCAAAACCTGCATTAATTTCCGGACAACCTAATACAAAGTAGGTGAGCGTCCACCTCTCCAGCAAATCATGGTTTTTTGTTTCTTAGTACAGTATGCACGTGGAAATGAGTCATAAAAACGTTGGGAATCTAATATATTCCAGTATGCAAAATTTTTTGCTCTTTCTTAGCAGTCGTAAAGAAATTCGGTCAAGAATTCTTAGCTGTAAGAAAAGCTGCTTTGGACTGCTTTTACCTGTCTATCATATTTGGTTTGAGAGTAGGTCCGAAATGGAATGAAAGATTCCCCTTTTTTCGCTTACGCTAGTATCGTGAACTGGATGGAACTGAAGAAACGTTGACAGTGTGAATAAGCTATTGCTTGCACGGAGAAGAGCAAAGGTAATGCGCGGTCCGTACTAGATAAACAGTTGGCTTGTTTACAAATTATAACTATGACGACACTAAATTTGGCGCGTTTGTGCGCATAAGGGATCTCGCATTACTTGCAGAAAGCTTATGAAAGCTCGTATAGAGAGAAGACGTGACGAATTTCCTCTAGCTGGCTGAGTTGGACGCCCAGCTGAGAAAAGAAAGCGGATCCGGAAAAAGTCATGGTTAATGATTACCTTTATTATGATTTTTCGCTTCATGCTTATACTTTCTCTTCATTTCATAGCCATCATTCTGTCGGGCATGGTTCACACGATTTCATCGCCTCGCAATTCTCTCAATAGGACAACTGTTACCAGTTCAATGCATGCCAATCCTCGTGCATACTGGCTGTGATAGTTTTCCGACACCACTACTATTAACTATCACAACCGAAATGCAAGGTGATCGACGTGCAATTGACTCGCAACAATTGTTCTGTTGGAAGAATCGCGAGGGATGAAATTGCGTGAACTATGCACGAGGCCTGACAGATTCTCTCTCTTTCCTTTGCTGTGGTCGTGGATGATAGCAGAATGCTACTTTTATCTATTTCCACTGTTTTCTTTAAGTCTTTGCTTTATCTCACTTACCTTCTCACTATTTATTCTGCCACAGACTTCATTGAAGCCATGTGAAGCTTACAAATATACAACCAGAGCATCGGCAGTTCGGTATCAGCTACAGCGTTAGGTATGTGTCTATGACGGAGATTTATCGTATAGAGTGCCCTGACAATGAATAATTCAGGCAAACCTGCATCTCCCATGCAGGGTGGGGCAAAAGTCTGGGAGCCGATTTTGCACTGTTGTAAATCACAAAACTACTAATGCTTTCAATACCAATTTTATGTTATATAATGCTGCGATCATCTTTTACAAATAATCACACCTTACTTAGCTAAAATTGTTTGCCATATTTTTTCATAAGAATTGGGTTTATCAAACAAGTTCTTTTGCAGAGCGAGAAAATCAAAATTTTAGTATTTACAATTCATTTCGTAGCTGATACTGTGATTTTACAGTACAGCACTATGCATAAAATGTAGAGGAGGCTTTGCGCTATCACATCGTGGTATTTATTTGCGTTTATCAGAAACTACTCTTTCGAAAACTAAAAATAAACATTTGCGAATGTTACCCGTGTACCAGTGGCCATCTGTTCTAGAATAAATTTGGAAGCTATACAAGCACTGCGGGCGCTGAGTTTGGGATATATTGGTCTTCTATATAAGCATCTACTAGAATTCGATCGATGGGGCAATTTCAACACTTTTCAGATTATGACTTTTCGCTCCCGTTCGCGCACTCGCATCCGAATTTCCAGTATGCGAGTACACTTGCCTTCACTACAATTCCGAAGTTTTTCCCAAATACAGTAAAAGAAAACTTCTTCTCCTCATACTGCACATTTGTCTAGAAAAGAAGCAGTTATCGCGAAGGCGTAAGAAGAATTTCATCACGACTGTTTGCATGCCACTACAGGGAACTCGCCAAGGTTTCGAAGGGCTGCTTTGAAAACCAGAAGAGGCAATCTTAAAATTTGAGAGCTGCGCTGTATTTGTGAAGTGTCGGTTCATGTGTGCACCAAGGTTTTTGTCTCTAGGTACTTTCCCTCTGGTCCTTTCCGAAAAGTTACTAGGCCTTCCAGACTTTTGCTCCACCCTGTAGATTGTTTACGCTTACTTTTACAGTATTCGAAAAGAATTCCTCTCCTTTCGACTAGCGCAGTCGGGTAATTTTCTTTCCTTTCGATTATGACATTAGCCTACTAATGGCGGTCCCAGCATTTCTGTTCGGGGAGAGGGGGAGGGGGGGGGAGAAAAAAAATTATTCACAAAGATGTGCGCACTAATCACGCACTCACTCGCACCCACAAAAATCAAACTTTTTTGGTTATTTACAAGTGCAAACAATTCACTTGCACTTGTTATTCATATAAGCGGCTTCCAAATTTTTACGACCCATTCTTGGGTCAATCAGTGTTAACAAAAGCTTTGCTGAACCCCATTTATTCTTATTATAATATCAATCGTTGACATCCTGCATCCTTGCCCAGTATAGCCCGTTCAAGAAACTCTTGAAGGACCTCTCGGAAGTCCCAGGCCTGGAATAATTGTCATATGATCGAATATATAAATAGTAGAGTGTTTACAGCCATTTATTTTTTATACATCAAACATGTAAGTCGCATCACATTGAACACAAAGCTTGAATTTACCTGTGTTTCTCGCCATTTGGAAAAGAACAAACAACTTGGATAGGTTTTCTTGGTATGATTGTAGATACGTCTACGGTAAAGTAAATGACACGTGAAGTGGAACCAGTCTTCCATGTCGTTGCATACTATAAATGAACGTATCATAAATAGATATGGAAAGTTTGATGGAGCATACGGTATGTCGTGTCACATCCGGGTGTTTTAAGGTTCGTACGTGATCGACGAAAAACTTCACATTAGAAGTGTACACTGCCCAGTACTGGAAAAGCTCATTAGTTTTACAGAAGCTGCAAATAAATCACAACCTTGGCAACAAATTCGCTGATTTTTTGTTTTCCTCTCGTCACAGTGAAAAGTCCGCTGGTCATCCAGATTTGGGGTACTCTGTACATGAGTTCCGAGGTTCTGGCGGAAACGCTGAAAAAGATTACAAAAAAAGGGCTTTTCAAAATTTTTCAGATTGAGACCAGCGCTCTCACCGTGCTGCCCGAGATGACAATGCACTTTCTATGTCAATACCGCTGCTCGACTCTGTGCTGTCCGAGTTATACGTAATGCTTCGGGAGGGAATACGTTGTCTTGAGGGTTGTCGGGGAAGAAAGACGAGTTCGCGCTCGTCCGCTGACGCTTCCGGTGACGTTCCCGTTGAGCTTGACCTCATCAAGCGGCGGTCAAAGCGTCGATAGTAGGGTATGCTGGAAATGAAAACGGTCTTTTTTTTTGCCGATTTTTAGTTTATCGTCTATCACATAAGTATGATAGAAGGTTTCGAGCAACACTAGCAACACTGTGATTTCTTTTATCACCTTTGTTCTCTGCGTGGGGATCGAATCAAACTCAAAACGCAAGAAAATCAAGATTCCACATTTCACCGCTTACAATCTGAGAATCTTCAATAGCGCAGCTGGACCAGGCACATATTTCTCACTAACTCAGGCAGGCCTTTCTCACTAAATCTCACTAACTTATCTGTTCCTATTTTCAGGTCAGCATCATGTCATTCGTGCACGAAACTGTTTAATTCTACATTGAGTGCTTGAGCTTATTTCGACTTGTTTTGGCTTTGTGGCGGTTCATGGAGTGAAATTTGTAACATAGTCCAAGAATGGTATCACTCTGATAGACGTATAGAAGGCTCGTTTTTTGCCTTTAAAAAATCATCCACGGTTGAGAATGATGATCTTTGGGCTTCGGCAACTTGGAAATTTTAGTTGTGGTTTGTGAAGCTCATAGTAATTTGTCATACTGATTACAGAATTAGATCTATACCACATGGCAGGCCTCTTTGTTTATTGTTTTTGTTTATAGGTGAGCTCTTTATAGATGCACTTAGTGGCGCTCCAGAATTACCAGAACTTCCGCTTGGGGAAGGAGGGGGGGGGGGGGGTTGAGGGGAAAGACAATTTTTTCTGATGAAGGTCGTGGCTTTAGCCACCCACTCCGAAAAACTTTTTCGTATGTTTCCTGCAATATTTGCGGGCCCGTAATCCGAAATTTCAGAAAAAGAGGGTGTGGCGGCAGTCACTCCCCCCCCCCCCCCCGCGAAAAACTTTTTGGCTAAATTGTTTTTTTAAAAATTTTTAAAAATTATATTAATGACTTACAAGTATGAGCAAGTCGCTTGTACATTTTTATAACTCACATAAGTAACTTTCAAAAACTTCGCGACCTATTTTCGAGGAAGGGGGAGGATGCTACTTATAGTTTATACGAGTTATAAAAATGTGCCACTGACTTGTATATACTTGCAAATAATCAATACAATTCTTAAAAATTCAAAAGAAATCAATTTAGGCATACAAATTTTTTTTTTCTCGGGGTGCGCTGTATACTTGGGGAAATTCGAAATTTTTTTCGAATATTCGAATATCGAATATATTCGAAAATTGAAAATTTCGAATATTCGAATATCGAATAATATTCGAAATCTCAGATTTTCGAATATTCGACTTTTCGAATCATTCGCATTCGAATGAATTATTCGAATGATCGAATAATTATTCGATTCGGTCCCAAGTATAGTGCGCTGTAAGGGATAAAGATTTTGGAATTTGGTAGAACTTCAATGTGGAGTTCTTTGTATGCCGTAAAATTATGCTTTGTTGAGAGTAGGATATTCTTCTTTACCTCTTTGCCGTAGCAGTTACTCTTTTTTACTTACTTACTTACTTAGATGCTTAGATGGCCCGGCTTCACGTGACGTGCGGGCCCCAGCTCGGAAGTTTCCATTTCTCCCTGTCCCTCGCTTCAGACATCCACAATCTTCTTGGCTGACGTCGGTGGCTGCATCCACGAGTTCCCGGTGCAAAAATCGTATCCAGCTGATTTCTCAGCTGGTCCATCCGTTCCACGAACACGTCTGCCCATCTCGTTGGAGGTCTTCCTCGGGGACGTTTTGCTTCGCGAGGAATCCACTCCGATGTTCTTAGTGTCCATCTGTCGTCTGTTCTTCTCATGATGTGACCGGCCCACTGATGTTTCGCTTTGCAACGTAATCCGCTGGGTCACGAAGACGGGACAATCTTCTTATATCCATACTGCGAAGTCCAACTAGATGTTGTTTGTGTCGGGTCATCTTCAGAAGACTACGCTCTAGCGCTCTGTGGGTGGTCCTTAAAGCTTTTGAAGTGGCTGCGGTGTCAGCCCAACTCTTAGCTGCGTAACAGAGCGCCGGGAGAACGGTTGAGTCGAACAGGTGGGCACGAAGCTCCGGGTCCGTCAGTTGGTCGGTGGCTTTCTTCAGAGGCCCGAAGGCGGCCCAGGCTGCTCTTCTTCTTCTGTTAGGTTCTTCCCTCAAGTCGTTCTCCATGTTCATCGAACGTCCGAGATACACGTAAGAAGACGTCTCCGTGATAGGGGTGCCTTCCAATTCCATTTCTGCATCTTCGCAAAGGGCGTTCTTCATAAACTAAGTCTTCTTCCGATTGATTCGCAATCCGATCTTCTTCCGTACTTCGTTCAGTTCCTTCAGCATCATCTCTGCTTCAGTGATACTGCTAGAAAAGAGAACGATGTCGTCCGCAAAACGAAGGTTCGACAGGAATCTCCTATCAACTCGTATGCCTCTCTCGCCCCAGTCCAGTGACTTCATCACCCACTGCAAGGCCGCGGTGAACAGCTTCGACGAAATTGTGTCGCCTTGTCGCCATCGGCACGGGTGTTGATGAGCGGGAGAGTTTGGTATAGAAGTTCTTCGCGATAGATTCCATCTTGTATCGGGAAGAAGTCGGAGTCCCGTCTTCGTTTAATAGTGCAGCCAGCGGTACGTGATATTCACAGAGGTCCCTTCGGCATTTCTTGAGACTTCGTCTTCCTTCTGTTGCTTCCAGTATCTTGGCTTGCCTGTACTTCCTGAGATCCTCCTGCAAAGCTGTTGTTCTGCAACTGGCGTTGGCTATCACTCGCTCGAGATGGGTTGCATTCGGATCCTGCTTCAGAAATCTTCTTCTTTCGAGCATTTCCTTGGTGGTCTTCGAAATGCGTTCCACGTTCTTCTCGGAAGTCACTGAGGCGCACTCTCCGCAGGCTCGCAATCCTTTCAGAAGCCGGTCGTTGTCGTACGTTTGGTCCTCTTCGATGGGCCAGTCACAGCTTGATATGAGCTCCTCCAGCCTGTTACCGTCATAAACGACATTCTTCCTTCTTGCGGCACTGTGGCAGACCTTCTTTTCCAGCCTTCGACTGAATCGTACCTTCGCTCGAAGGAGGCGGTGATCGGAGCCACTGCAGAATAATGGAACTACTGAGACATCGAACAAGCTCCACCTTCGGTTGGTGAGAATGTGGTCGATCTCCGCGTGAGTCGTTCCGCCGGGCGATTCCTATGTCCACCGGCGATGTTCTTTCTTCATGAAGATGGAATTTTTATGGAAAAGTCGTGCGGCGGAGAGAAGCCCAACAACCTTTTCGTTCCGGAGCCCATATGCAAGCCTCCCGATCCTATATTCCTTTTCCAGTGGCATCCCGATTTTCACGTTGAAGTCGCCCACAACAAACTTGTAAAAGGACTTCTCGTTGCGGACCTCCTCCACATCTTCGTAGAAAGCATCTAGTTCTGATTCGTCAGCTGCTGATGTTGGAGAATAGCAGTTGATGATGCTAATTGACTTCTGATGTGGAGGGCGTAGTCGTAGGATGCCTTGTCGAGGTGATAGGATCTCGTGCGAATCGACAAGATGGACGATAGATGGGTGGACGACAAAGCCGACGCCTCCCACGTTTCGTGATGGAACCGTTTTACCACGAATAATGAGGTCCCATCACTCATCTGTCGTACGTCCTTCTTCCTGGACTTCGTTTCCTGCAAAGCGATGATGTGGTACTTGATGTGCTCTGCAGCGTCGAGAAGAGCGTGGAAGTCGGCGATTGTGGAGACTGTCTTGGCGTTGTAGGTGCAGAGCATGAGGCATTCTCCATGGCGTGTCGTCCGGGCAGACGTGTCGTTTTTGTCCGATCCAAAAGGCGCCCTGAGGACCCTGACATCAGTCTTGCTACCACCCGGCGCCGTAGGCGGGACCCGATGTACAGGGTTTTTTCTATATCTTCTTGCTGTCTGAGTAATTAGATTTGTTCCCCTACAAGAGCAGACTTACTAGGCCAACTCTTGATTTCCACGGGGCGATCGCTGACCCCGGGCTTGGAGCGGGGAGAACCGCCTAGCGACCAGAAGAAGCCAGACGGCGGGGGATCTGGCGTGGCCAGTTCTTAGCTAGGCATCCGGCCGAGACCAGAAACGTCGAACTCCTTCACAGCTTGGGAGACCCTGCCAGAGTATACACTCGGCTGTGCATCATAGTTCGACACCCAATGTCACCCCCACGCCACGATGAGGCGACCGACCATTGTGGGGGATTACTCTTTACTTTTTTTGGGGATTACTCATTACTCTTTTTTTTCTCAGACGAATTTAATTCTTCATCACGATTCCGCCCTAATTATTCTCCAATACGAGTCCCTGGGTTGGATGCGTCTGACCTCATGTTGACTTGGCTGCACTCTCACCGCACGTCGCTTACCCCGCACAGTCTTGCCTACCCTCTTAGGCTGGAGTCATACTGACCGGAAGTTTCGAAAGGTCCAGCACAGTTCCCGAAGTGTGACGATACTGTATTGCATGCGCTGCGCAACCGTACTGCTATGAGCGGGACTTGGAGATTTGTGACCGTATTCAACAATTTCTCTCCAAGATTCCACTCATTTCGTTCTCATTCCTGTACCCCGTTTCCTCTCTTGGTGGAAAGATTTCGACCTTCGAGAGGGGTTGGAAAATGAGCGCCGTTCTGTCTGCATATATCTACCTGAGAAAATGTGTCTTCTTGCACTCTTCTATTCTCTCTTTATTTAGGTTCAAAACTACTTCATGTTTCCAGGAAGCCGCTGCATAGTTTACACAGCCATCTAAATTAAAGGCAGCGGCTCGGCAGAATGACAACTTTGGGATATTCATCATTCTCGCTTTCCCTGGATGAGCTAAGTCCAAGACTGTGCTTCGCAGCTCCAAAAGATTTCAGTAACCCGCTTTTCCAGATGAAAAGTGCTATATGAGGGCGGACAGCGTATCCGCCCTCTAGAGCGCGATTGGCTGGGTACAGTGGGTACAGTATCCCCACTCACGAGCCAATCGCACTCTAAAGGGCAGATACGCGGTCCGCCCTCAGCTAGCGCTTCTTGTCTAGCAAAGCGGGTTATTGATAACATTTGAAGCTGCAAAGCACAGTATTGGACTTAGCTCATCCACGGGAACCGAGAACGGTGAATATTCTAAAGCTATCATTCTGCTGAGCCGCTACCTTTGAAGGCACTAGGTCGGCAGAATGAGACCCGTGGCAAAACAAGGTCACAGGGTAGGAGCCCCCATAATGGAACCTATGGGCCAAAGTTCGATCTTTCTCTGCCACTTCTAACCCCCGAAATTTCAAAGCGAAAGCAGCGCTCATCTCCTGTCCTCTCCGAACCCGCCCACCCCATGGACGAGTGAACGCGAAGCCCGTCATGGCGAAGACGCAGAGTCGTTGGCGGCTGGCGCTCCGACCGCGGAAATCATTCTTCCATGGGATGGGCGGGTTCAGAGAAGACAGGAGATGTGCGCTGCTTTCGCTTTAAAATTTCGGGGGTTAAAAGTGGCAGAGAAAGATCGAACTTTGGCCCATAGGTTTCATCATAGGGCTCTTACCCTGTGACCTTGTTTTGCCACGGGTCTCATTCTGCCGACCCACTGCCTTTAAGCTAGGGCAGAAAAACAATTATCAGAATGAGAAACATCGAGACTTTTCAATGGTTTTCTGATGGGGTTCTTTTTCCATGAAATTGCTTACCCGTTCCTTCTTCTACCCGCTTTTTTATAGTGGGAAGCTACGAACTCGAAGAATGGTTGAAGAATAAACGCTGTCTTGCTCCATGCATCCGGGAAGATTGGAACACATGAAGTAGTTCTGAACAATAATAACGTAGAGAGAACGGAGGAGCGCATGAAGACAGATTTTCGTTGAAAGCCGAACGGCGCTCATTCTGCAACCCGCTTTAAGATAATAAAATCGATGTTACATCAAGAGAGGAAGCGAAAGAGGATTGAGGCCAAAATGGGTAAAATCCAGGAGAAAAATCGTTGAGAACGAAATCTCTAATTTTTGTCGCTCAAAACTGCATGACTGCAGCTGCAGGCGCATGCAGCATAATTCCGGCCAGTACCGGCACAGTTCGAGAGCTGTGCTGGAACTATTTGGAACTTTCGGATCAGTATGAACCCAGCCTCACTTGAGAACGCATTTGAGAGAGCAGGGAAAAGAGCGAGTCTGGGAGGCATAGAGGGACCTGCCATAACGTGCAAAATTGCACGTCCTCTGCCACTGTCTTCATGAACGCCCTGAATTAACTTACTATTGAGGACGGTCTTTTTTCTGTACCTTCCTTCGAATTTGCGGTGGACTCGATTGGGAACGCCTGCCACTGACCTAAAAAACCACAGAAAACAATTGTCAATGACACTGCCATAGACTTTGAAGGCAGGCGCGAGACTAGCTTATCCGCTTAGCAGCCTCATCCACTTCGCTGATTGGAAGTAACAGTCACGTTTATGGTTTGAGAGTCATGGTTACGAAGGAAACTGTGATCTGTGATACTATAATTTTTCCCCTTACACCATATACTTACCGTAACCCTCGCTGCAACGTGAGAATTTGGCATAACAACATCTGCACTTGTAGCCTATTTCATAGCCTACATGACCGCAAAATGTGAGTGCGTCAGGTTAAAACAGGGAAAGTTATTGGAAAAGTTGCAGAACTTAGTTTTCAGCCCAATACTAGATTGTTCCGAAAGTTCTGTTCGACTTTGAGTGCTTGGTTTATCGCAGTTGTTCTCTTAGAATCTTGCACTTAATGCAGTATCACGAATCAGGGAATCATCCTAGAACACTTTTGCTGCTAATTCCAATGCTTGCTAATTCTCGCTGAAGTAACTTCTCAGTGATGCAATTTCAATAACCGGGTTTGAGTTTCCAAATGCAGTCATTCTCAAGAAACATTCTCTGCCGGTACTGGCCAGTATACAGTACCCACACTAATTATTCGACAGAAAACGCAAAAACTGACGATCCGCGTTTTTTTCGTTTTTCCTTCGAAATTTCCTTCAGATTACATAAAATACAATTTTGAAGAAAGCATGATGTTCAGCTCGTCAAGATGAATCTTCTGATATACTGCACTCTCTTACTATTCCGTTTTCAGTCTGCTCAATTTTTGTGTGAGAACGGGTTTTCGTAGTGGTGTTAACTCAGCGAAGAGCACACATGGAAGATTCTCGTAAAAGTGATTCAATAGAGCTGTTTCCGTAGATTATCACATACTAGCGATTAGCGAAGGATTCTCTTTCCATAGACAAAGATAGGCCGGTGAAATTTTAAAAAATCGATGTCTCTAAAATTTTAGCTATCGTAACCATACAGCAAGACGCTAATTTGCAAAGCAGGTGTGTTTTTCGTGATCAGCAGGCTAGATAACCTCTATGCGCAAGTTTTCCAAGAATTTCGGGCCCTTTGCCTTCTTCTCGTTCTAGGCTGTGAAGCTCGCCGACGGGTTTTGGCTAAAATATTGATGATCTTGGTTGAATGGGAAACTTTGCCCATAGAAGTTTTCGGACTCGCTGATTGCGAAAATAGTGCTCTTTGCGCAGCGTAAGTTCTTTTAGCAGGGTTATGCTGAGAGTAGTGCTGCGATACTACGCAAATTCCTAAATTTGTACGCCCTTTTCGCGTATCTGTTGCTCAAATTACCTGCTGACCAGCCTTAGAACTGCAAATAGTGAAATGACCCACGTTCTTAACTCCACCTAGTGATGAACGGTTGCAAGGAGACGCCTACGATTTTTATGATGAGAGTGACAAACTTTAGAACTCCAACTGTAATTGTTATTATTTATCTCTAACATACTAAACTTAAATGAATGGCTCTTTGTCATGTGTCTGCGTATCATAAAATTGTATTTTATGCAATCTGAAGGAAATTTCGAAGAAGAAACGAGAAAAACGCGGATCGTCAGTTTTTGCGTTTTCTGTCGAATAATTAGTGTGAGTTTCATGAAGAAAGTTTCACAGCGTTCGTGAAACTTCCTGTGTAATATTTTATTTTAAGTAATGGGCCAATACACGCACACTCGTACCCTCACATAAAAAATTTCTTACTTTTCAAATTTATTTTCAAAATTGAAGACAAACTTCATTCTACAAGCGACAACCAGGGCCCAGCACGAGGTGGCTTACGACAAATTCAAGAACGAAGTCCCGTTTGACATTGCAGAAATTTACTAGATACCTTTTAAAGAAGCTCCAAGAATAAGCAACGACAAAAAATGAGTTGAAATGAAGAAAAGACAAGAGTAAATCAAACATTAAAGAGCGAAATGCAAAGAAGGCTGTTTTTATATTATCAAAAGCCGTAACAAAGCGTAGGGGACGAAACTTGGGTCGAGCACATATAGGTGGAGCTTGATCTAAGGAATAAACCTGTGTAAAAAAATCTGGAAATTTATGTGAGGATGGGGTAGAACTGTGAAGATTTATTATTTTTTCTGGTTTCGGCAACCTCAGGGTGCTCCCAGGTTGCGCGGGAGCAACCTAAAATCGAAAAAACAACACTGCTCTTGTTCAGGTAATTTTAACATAATTTTTCGTACTTTTCTTTTGACTATCGCCGCAGATGTACACACCAAATTTGGTGGCTTAACATTGCTTATGCGCAAACAAACCGATTGTTTATATATGGTGCGTAAAGAATGTGTTTTTGACATGTTGAAATCGTGTATAGGTCATCTATAAAATCGTGACGACAGATTTGACTGCGGACTTTGCACCCACAGGAGCATAGAACGCTCATACAAGAAGACATCACCTCAACGCTCAGCTCAGACTCTTCCCGTATCTAATTATCATACGTAAGCAAAAAAAACCATTCGATTAAGGATGAAAGCCAAGAAAATGCAGTTTCCGGAGGTGGCGTGCGTGTAGTGTGCGCTGGCACCATCGTCACGATTTTTCAAATGCCCTATACACACAGGTTTATGCACTGTCGTGTTTGTAACGTGTTAATTTACCTGTAACTGGTAATGTTGTTAAAGTGATGTTTTCTAATATTTCGGCAGGTTTTTGAGTGGGAACTTTACGGGTTCCCTTTTGCTTCTCCCTTAACATGTTTCAGAGAGCGAAATCGCACCAGGCAAAATGGAGCGTACTTTCAGCCGTTATCTAATAGAGAAACCTTATTTGGTAGACTGTGCGCTACATTCGTAATCAGCATGTCAGATAAGCTCGTACCCAAAGTTCTGAGTGAATTTAAAAAGTTCGAATTTTGCCGAGAGAGACTTTGGTGCTTTTTTGAAACACGGGAACAAATTCAATTTCTAATAGTATTAAAAAGTATCTGTGTCGCACAGGGTACACAGAATTATTGAAACTACGGTTTTTCTCTTTAGAATCAAAGCAAAGAAAAGTTGCGATGTCGTAAGCGTCGTTCACGTTGCCGCACTTCGTTGCAACTGTCGTTCGATTTGTCCTGATATCTCCTAAACAGATATCAGGCGGTCTACAGAGTCATTTGAAAAGTGGGAGCATAGGCCCTTGACTTGATAACCTTGGACTGAAAGAAAACTTTTTGTAAAAGTCAAAAAGATCCTTCAAAGCAGCGTGCTGCACCATGTGCAGCCCCGGTCCGAAACGTTAAAAAAGATATCTAGCCTATGAAAGCGCCGCCTTTGCTGAAGTCTGACGACAACAATCTACGTATAGCGACAAGTATCCAATAACGCATATGTTTGAGTAAAGCTAAAGCAAGTAGAGACCACCAGCCGATTAGCTTTTTTTTATTCCCGACAACAAGAAAAAAATTAGGGATTGAGGGCTCAAATGGAAATGTCTGCCTACCCTCATACGGGAGCCTTAGGACGTCAAAATAGACGGTTTTGATGGAAAGCTCAAAATTTTCCGAATTTTCTCGTCCTCTTACCTGGCTTTTTCATATGGCTCACTGTAATTATGACAGCCATAAACTCTCTTAATCCAGCGGAATTAACTTGTTCAAAAATTTTGATTTTGAAGGATATAAAATTTCAAGTCGGAAAATTTGCTTATCCAGAACTTTCGAAACACCTTATAAAAAAGCAAGAGAGAAAAGTGAAGTTAAGAAATAAGACAAAGACTTACATTATTCCCGTGGAGTTGATGTGTGCCACCGCCTTGATGGTGACTGCGTTTGTCGGACCTTCGCACCTTCATAAGAAATGTATTCTTAACTATGCTTTCGAAATTTTTGAAAACAAAATGGGGAAGAATTAAAAGTTGCTAGTCCTAGTGAGAAAATTGTAATCTTTGCTAACCAAGCTTCTATCAGGCTCATTTCGTAAAATTAGATCAGCCCAAAAAATTGAAGAAATTGCAAACATGACAATAAAAATTGGCTATATTCTGCGTCTTCCCAATCGAACGCGAACAAACAGTCCATAGAAATACTACTTTCCTCTTATCTGCTCGATTCAGCAGAGTGGCCATTGTGAGTCTTTAGCACGGGAGCCGTATAGTAGCATACGGTTCATAAACTTTACCCCCCCCCCCCTCACCCCGCCAGCCCCCCCCCCTCCTACCCAACCTTCTAAGATACGCAGTCGAGCTTACGACAGCATATGTACCAGTCCCAACGTTATTGTTGCGAAGGCGGAACAGTTTACTCCCCTGATTGCCCAGTGCAAGTGACAACACAATCAGCAATCTAGCTTGAATGGATTTCAGGAGCTCGATACATAGCCTACATTTCATAAAAAAAATCTGAAAATCAATCTCAAGAAAGAGCTTATTACGGACTAAGACTTAGCTCCGTATTAATCTGAGGAGTTTTTATTTACAGCTCTACATAGGAGAGTTTGTACTCAACGCGCTATAGATGTTTTTGATGTACCAGCTGTTAAAGGCAGTGGTTCGGCAAAACCAGACATCTCAAATTTTTGATATGGAAGGTTGCTTGCGTCCTAAATATTAGAACAAAGCAGGTCCGAGCGCCCTACATGCTGCCCCTGCCTAAAAAACTGCCCCTAAACCCGTGCGCGCAGGCCATTCTCACACGCGGTCGGACGAGCTTGCGGTCCCTTCCCACCGTCAGAGGCGGCATGCCGCAATGCTATAAATGTGAGGGTCCCGCAACGACTCCACGTCTCTAACCATGGCAGGGAGTGGTCCACTCGTCCAAATTCAAAATGGGTACCCTTGAAAAATGCTGGTTCTCGACATTTTCGTGCTCTTCAAAGTGTATTTTCGAAATCAGCGCGTCGAATTAACCCAGGTAAGCGAAAAAACCTCAGGTCGAGAATTTGCCGAGCCACTGCCTTTAAGGGATTTTCGAGAACCAAGAAATAGAATTTTCGGCGTCTTCTTGTTAATAAAATAAAGCGTTGCCCAGATTTTCTGCCGAACATGGGAAATGGTGTTTGTACGTCATTATGAAGAATTGATTTGCTTCGAGAAAAATTGAGTTTGATCAAAGTGTCAGGACAAGACCCTTCCTGGTATGGGCATGTCCTGCACTAAAAATTGCCGGGCGAGGAAGCTGTCAACCGACATCTGCGATCGCTTCATTCGTTCTTTGAGGGTTCAATTAGATCTTTTTGCTAATATTAGAGAATGGCAACGAAAAGCTTGAAAAAACTACTTGAAATTATCATTTTTCAACGTGCTGTTTTGGTCTATGGTTCGGGGTCAAAGAAACTGATGTTACATGCTAAGTTTGAGCTTAAACTTGATTTATTGTTGACAAGAACTTTTGAACATTTACATGAGATACACTATAGAGGTACTAACTAATTTTATGGAAAAATTCAGGAATTTCTTCAAATTTCCTTGCCAGAGCTAGAAAACGAACCATGAATACGAAAAACTTTAAGGCGAAAATTAGGCTCTGCAAAAAAAAACATACGACGGAAAGAGGCAGCTGCAACGTCGCAGAATTTCTCCATGTGTAAGAAGGTGGCCTATCTTCAGATGAGCTGCAATGAAATCCGTAAATTTACACCAGCTATGCACTGCAGATGCATGAGCTTCAACGGAAAGCAGTAAGACTTCACCTCGAAGTTTCGGCTGTTGAAGGTTTGTGTACTGGCGCAATTCTGACCGCTTCGAAATTTTTGGGTGGTGGTGGTGGAATTTTGGCTGTTTCCACATCGCCATTCTAAATATTTGTGAAAATATTAGGTTAGTCCGAAAGTTCTTGGGCATCACTTTCAAGAACATAACTTCTTCATAACTTTATGCATCTTTTGAGAGTACTTTCAGCTGAAAGCACGCTCAAGCTCTAAACAGCAGGCTTCCGATAAATTAGCGTGGAAAAATTCGAGAAATAGAAGCAATTGACCGCACTCAGTTGCACTTTTAAGCACGATTACGAAAAACTCTAAGAATGATTTGAATGGAAAGAGGAAATTTTGTTAGTATTATAGTATTAGGTTGTCCGGAAATTAGTGTCCGTTTTGAATTTCAACCGCAATAAGTCATACACTTTTCACTCTTAAATAGGCTTCAAAGTACCATTTGATAGAGCAAAGCAAGCTCTACAAGATGGCGATCTCGCTTTAGCAACAGCTCTAATCCACTTCGAGTTTCGAGCCGAAAGCTAAAATGATTTAACTGCCCGAAAAATCGGGAAAAATCATAACTCAATTCATAAGAGACCTAGAAAAATTGTAACTTGCTCACGTAAACACTATCCACATGACACATCTATGTACGCCGTTGCCGTATTTTTTCCTTTCTTAGAAATCAAGAAAACGGAAATTTTCATGCTTTTGCCAAAGTGATGCTGTGCCGTCTACACATAAGTAGGTATGCTTCAAATCTGTAGAAGTACAAACGTGAACTTTCAGCTCTCTACAAGCTTTAGTTCTCGAGAAATATCGATTATAGCTTTCATTAGTCAGATGGTCCAAGCTAAAATTCAAATGCTCGAGAACTAAAGCTTGTAAAGAGCTGAAAGTCCACGTTTTTACTTCTACAGATTTGTAGCATACATCTACTTATGTGGGGACGGCACAGCATCACTCTGGCAAAAGCATGAAAATTTCCGTTTTCTTGATTTCTAATAAAAAAAATACGGCAACGGCGTACATAGATGTGTTATGTGGATAGTGTTTACGTGAGCAAGTTACAATTTTTCTAGGTCTCTTACGAATTGAGTTATAATTTTTCCCGATTTTTCGGGCAGTTGAATCATTTTAGCTTTCGGCTCGAAACTCGAAGTGGATCAGAGCTGTTGCTAAAGCGAGATCGCCATCTTATAGAGCTTGCTTTGCTCTATCAAATGGTACTTTAAAGCATATTTAAGAGTGAAAAGTGTATGACTTATTGCGGTTGGAATTCAGAACGGACATGAACTTCCGGACAACCTAATACTTCCCCATAAAATTAATTAAGACGAGAAAGATTAAGATTTAGAAGTAAACGGAGAGAATTACTCAAGTTACGTAAATTTTGAGCATGCTCAACAAAATTCAAGAAGGTCACAGCGGAAACCATAACAGTCAAAAACAAAAGTTTTATGACCTCCTCTTTTTAACTAACAATAAGCAAAATTCGTGCCGATCGAGAGCATACTGATTTTCATGAAAATTGCAGGCATTTTTCTAAAAAATCATTACTTTCTGTAGGGACATTCGTTTAGCACGGGTTTTACTTTGCTAGTAAGAGGAGATCATAGAACATCTTTTATATCTGTGGCATTTTTGCAACGTTTTTTGATTTTGGTAAACATGCTTGAAAAGAAATTTGAGTGGCCTTCTTTCTTCATTTTTACTTTCGCGACTTGTGCTCAGTGTAAGGCAGCTGAGAAATTTGTTGCAAACAAATCCAGGCAGTTAGGAGAGGGTTACGAATTTTTGAGAAATAATGCTCAAGAAGTTTCGGACCAGCTCAAAATAATCTCTTGACTACTGAAATTACAAAACTCACGATGTTCATGTGTATGAAGACGCTTCGAATAGCTGTTGAAAGTACTTCTCGAGCAAGAGAATGGCTCTGCCATAATTCAAAGTCCATGCTAATGGTGTGTTCGGTGCCTATGTTTGGGATATGTGTCTCCAGTTTAACGGAAGTTCGCATCAATGCACATGTGATGGCGATATGCTTGAATTACTACTTTCCTCTGGTCGCAGTTCACGCTATAATATTCTTTGTGTTTTTGAAAAGTAAAAGCTTCTCTGAAAAACTAAGATATGCAGTTTGAACTAGCAAGCTTGGGAAGTTACCTGCATATACTACACGGCTTTACGAACTTTACCACGCCTCACAACCTCTTCTTCATGAGCTATAAATTTCTTTATTTTCACTTGCTTTTTGTTAATTAAGCAAAACATTCCATAGATCATATAGAAAGTATGCAGAGAATACTATAGTTGCAAGATTCGAAGCTTATAAATGGAGGATTCTGGGTATCTCTCTCAAGGGTTGACACCTCTTTATTAGAAGCTAGTTGACTTACCCGGCTCCGCCCGGCCCTGTCATTATTATATTCGTAATCAGCATGCTCGATTACCCCCCTGTGCCAACTCCCAGCCCCGTAGCTCAAATTTTGCAAAAAATCGATAAAATCGATATCGATCGATGACGAAAAGTAGCCTATGGCACCCGCCGGGGCCCGAAGTGTATGTGTGCCAAGTTTGGTCCGGATCGCAGAAATGGAATTTTCTATTCGGAACATACGTACACACAGACAGACATACAGACAGACATACAGACAGACAAACAGACATTCAGCTTTATAAATAAGATTTTTCGGTTTCTTCCTCTGCGCGAAGGGCATAGGCATTTATTGTGATAAAAAATTTTTCTGTAACCTGTTTCTTCCTGTGTCAAGAAAACAGGATTTTTTGAACGTTGGATGATTTGAACTTCTTCCATCATGTTAAGGCTGACTCGCCCATTTTCTTGAATTTCACAAGAATCAAGAATAGTTAGGGCGCATTTGAACACTTGCTTCCTCATATCTTTTTTACTTACCTGAACCAAAAATCCAAACTTTTTATATTTAACTCAATCAAAGGTCAGTTTTTTTATACAGGTTTTTTATAAGGCATGAGAAATCAGACATCCAAAAGTTAACAGACTTTCAGACATCATGGTGTGGAAGAAATGCGACAAAGTGCTACCAGAACTATTGGAGTGCTGCGACGTTATTTAGCAATATTGGCTGAAATATTAACTGAATAGATTGTTGAAATAAAAATTGAAATATACCATGACAAAATATCCGACCAAATGATATGATTTAGGCAAGTTAGAAGAATCAGGTAAGTACACAAGAATAAGTGCAATCTCTGAGAACTATTCAACTATATATCGCTAGTGTCAACACAGCGATTATGATACGATAATTCTACAAACATTTCATCGTTCTTCTGGTTTCTCTATCTCTTTAGAAAAATGGTCAAGCATTTTGATGACACCAGCCGGCGGTTCCATCGCTTCAAAGATGAAAAGTAATATTTAGCAAAAAAAAGTTCGGAAATGAAAGAACTTTTTTATGTGAGGCATTTGATACCCTACATTGGAACCCCCAAGGATCATAACTTATAATAACGGGCTAAGGGTGTTTACGTTTTTTTGTGTGTGTGTGCGTGTGTCTGTCTGTCCGTTACGAAATTCGTAGAGCGTGTTCCACCCAACGTTCTAAGCCCAAATTTTGCATAGCGCACGCTACCTGCGTGAAAGCCCACCATGCAAAATCAGGAGCGGATCCGTTGAGTGGGTCCGTTGAAAATTGCGCCTCAAACGGATCCACTTAGCTTTTGACCAGCAAAATTGGAGCGGTACCAACATTTTTTGCGAAGTCATGGATACGTTTGACAAGCTAATGTGCAAGCCATGGACGTTAACCCAAAAAATTGGACTAAAGTTGATTAGTTTACGAAAATGGCGCCAAAAAGAATAAGTTGCATAAATGTTCAATTTGCCAAGATTTTACCTGATTGTATGAGAAGATTTTTGCACAGGAGTGTAGTCCACGGTGATTATTGTCGTTATGGCGACTACCAGATCATAGAAAGTCCAAAAAATAATTCAAATTCGCATTAATTCTTCTCGAAAAAGTTTCATCTACGCGAAAATACCGATCTCACACAAAAAAGCTCTGGGAATAAGTAATTGTTTACAAATCATTCGTGATAGCCTGCATGGCTGGGTGAGTTCCAATGTCATTATTATGCGGGAATGAGTTAGGCATACAGAAAGTAGGGCCAGTGCGAACCTCTGCGAAGCAGAGGTGACGCAGTGGTAAATTTATAAATGCTTCCTGGGAAGTAAACGATTTATATTTTATTATTTGATAAGTTATTCATTTTCTCAAATTTAACAATTAGATGTCGATATAATGGCTGCATTCGGGTCATTCAGTGGAAAGATTTCATGATGCTCATCAAAGCTTGCTGCAATATAAATAGAATTTTAGAGAACGAGGGACCCCTGAGAAGAGCCACCGGCCTTTACCTCCACGAACTTCAAAGCCCAAGAAAAGATAACGATTTCCTTTGGTAAAATCTTTAAAGTGTTTATTAGCTGAGCTAATTCAGCTAGAAAGGTAAAGTTTAGACGTTAATATCGCAGAAAATGTACGTTGAGAATATTTGGATGTCGCCATCCATTCATGCAGCAACTGACTTGAGTGCTTCGGTAAGTAAAAAGTACCATGTTGGGAAATTTTCACGCAGCAAGGAAAATTCTGATAAAGCCTCAATGGTTGAGCAGTTTGTTATATTAGGTTGTCGGATAGTTTCTGTTGTGCTATTTATTTTGATCCTTAAACTTTTTGAAAGCTTCATGTCCAGGCGTGTGGGCACGGTCAAAATCTCTATTCATTGTTTATGTCGCCGCGGTTCCTGTGCAAAACACCCCTTTTGCTTGAAAATCGTCTTATGATCACTATCGTAAATGAGTTGGCATTCTTCCAGGTGATGAGCAGAGACCGGACGATGCGGTACCCAGGCAGAGCATAGTCTATAGTGTTTAGCAAATATGGGGGGACACAGAAATGCCTACACACTTTTATCTGAGCGATTCAAAACTCAATATGAGCCATGTTTGCATCGACAACAAGAAGAATTTAGAAAAGTCTTCGATTTTTCAAAATATTTTTCGCCCCTGCTATGAAAACGCCAGAAGCACCGGAGTGTTCCATGTAAGAGTCAGCCTCATATATCCTAAAAAATTACAAAAGAGGAAAAGAGAGGTAAGTGCAGCGAAAAAGATCAGGAAAAAATTGGAATCTCGAATGTGTTCACAAAATTGCCGTGAATGATGGCCATTACTCATTCGCGGAATCTGCTGATGATAGACTATGCTATGTCCTGAGTGTGCTGCAAATTTAGGTTTTCAGGAAGTTTCTGAGATTTGGAAAACAATCTAAAAAAGTGTACTAGAGATTATGCGACAACCTAATACATTCAGCGCTTAAACAGTTCTCCCAAACCTGACAGAGGAAACCTTTTCTCCTGACTACGTGATCTGGTTGTGGTAGTCTGAACACTTTTCTACTTAAAAAAAAATGCTTGCGCCGCATGTGAATCTTTTTAGAATGTTTGTATGACTCTGATTGTTTACTTGCCTCGCATGTGTATGTATCCTTTCGAAATTTTCCTCTGATTCTAATTGCTAAACTCCATCGAGCCTCAATCTTGGAAGAGAAATCAAAGAAGATGAGCAATCCAAGGACAGTAATTGCTTTCCATCTCGCTTATGTTTCCGAAGCAGCCAGCAGCATCTGGTTACTTGTCAGTTTTTCATCTCGTAATTGGCTTCATTCATTTCGACGCGATTCCATCACTTAAAGGCAGTGTCCAGGCTAAACCTAACCCCCTCCGATTAGTGTCGATCCTGAATGCAAGGCCCAGAAAAGGGGCATCTGCGTTGGTCCGGTCTTCTAACGTTGTCTCTGAATGGAGATGAGGGGCCTGAAAATTCCTGGCTGGGCGGAGTCTGATATCAGACTCCGCCCAGCAGGGACTGCTCACTACCTTGTCAATACGTGCCTCTCGACACGTATTGACAAGATAGTGAGCAGACTGCACATTGCAGTGCAACTGCACCCATGCAGTTGCAGCTCCTTCCCGCTGGCCTGCCGACGGGGACGAGCAATTCAAAACTCGTCCGCGCCCTCAAGAGTGGGTCATCAAGAATCGGGTTTTTTGGTGAATTTTGAGAGTTTGAAGTTCGGAACTGTAATCAGGGACACAAAAAGCTCCCATAATGACGAAAACATGGGGGCCAAATTCTGGGTGGACGCTGCCTTTAATAGAGATTACATTATGTTTTATGTGAAAATAGGCGATATATGTACCAAAGCAAGGATTGGGCTGAAGCTAGACTTTTCCTCGCAAATGTCTTTCAAGGACTTTTGTTTCAATGTTTTGAGGCACACAGTATTTCAGAAGCATAGTATGTGATCGGTCTGTCTTGAAAGAACGTTTGAGGCTTTCAGAATTCAAGAAATATCTCGATTGTCCATTCCAAGAAATACCCATCCTTTGAACGAAACTTTGAAAGATTTTGTCGGTTCTGTACTACAGGGAAACTAATACTTCAGGACAGGCCGAGCACATACATCGATTTGTCGAGTATGGCGGTCATTGCTATTTATTGCTGTTTGATGTTGACAATGATAAAAATCTTTATATAAAGTCTCTCAGAATAAGAACAGCGTCATTCTCATCAGTCACTACTCACCGTCTTCTCATGGGAAGACCCAACGTCAGACTCCAACTAACGTCTATCATCAAAGGAAAATACATCGTTAGTGGTGCACTGCCGTTATCAGCAGGACCTAACCACGCTCGTCTTCAGGCTTGCCGGAAACTTGGCGAAGGCGGATGCGGAGTGATCTACGAAGTTGCCCTTATTGAGTCGCCCCATCGTCGATTCGCCTGCAAAGTATGTTCCTTCTGAAAGTTCAAAGCGAGCCCTAATAGTAAATGCACCGACTAGACAGTTTGAAGAACCTCGCCATGCGGAAATAGTTGGAGATAGTGACTGAGTAAATGCATAAAGGGGAGCGTTTATGATGCGAGAGTTCACTATTAACGACTTTTCTCAATTACTGTATTTGTTACTCTGACAACCATTCAGTTTGCTCCAAAATCATCGCCAACAGAAATCGCCTATTTGTACTGCCTTCTCAGGTGTAGGGGCTTGTGTCGAAGATAGACTCCCGCGGGGACAGCTGGTAAAACACTGTGATGTCTAAACATGCATGGCGGAGACTACTGTTACAGATGTCCGCCGGGACCACCTCCCTTCGGCGACATACAGTTTTCTACCCCCCTTCTAGTCGCTTCTTCCGAAGAAAACTCGTCCGCTAGGCGAATGATACCGTAATCATTAGCCAGCTTGACGATAAAATTCTTGATAACGAATGAAGCACCTGCGCTTTAGATCCGTGCAGTCGCTTGCTTACGTTTCTCAAGTTATTTTAATAGAGGAGTTTTGATTTGCCAAGCCATTTCCCTTGACAGGCTGAAGACCAAGACAGCGGACGCGATGAAGAAATTCTCAAAATGGAAGCCAAAGTTATGAAGAAGATTAATCAAACGAAAAGCATACATTGTCCACTCTGGATTGAAGGCGGGAAGGTGAGTTGCACTTTTGCGATCTTATGAAAGAAGATATTTCGAGTGCTCATTGAGTTGGACCTGTGATTTCGCAATCAGCTAAATTTTATTAAAAAAATAAAGGATGAAGGATTTGGCGTCTATCTTCTGCGGGCATGCGCCGAACGCACTACTTCATGGTCGAAGAGGCAACTGTATGCGTGCGAGCCTTCAAATGACTTGCGGGGGCCAGCCCATAACCAGTTCAGTGCTTTTATCTTCCCAGGTTACCCTGGTACCAACTTACCGCCGCCAGAGGGTGGACGACTTGGTTGGACCAGGGAGGGGATCGAACCCGGGTCCGATCTGGTCATGGCGGCGCCTCATACCACTATGCCACTCATCCCCCATCAGCTGAATTTTGCCATGTCATTTCCTATATTTAAAGTCTCTCAGCGCAATTGTCGTGGTTGTGCAGTTCAAATTATTCGCTCCGACTCAATGAAAACATAAAACTGGTTGGCGTACAGTATCAACAGCAGACCTTTTCTTAGTTAGAAAACGAAAAATTTCCTCTGGGGACGAGGAAGGAGTAAGGGATAACCTCAAAATCCAGGTTTAAATCTAAAAGAACACAATCTTCATATTTTCAGTTTGAAAATTACAACTACTTGATTATGACATTACTTGGTCCTTCCGTCAGCGATTTGAGAAAAGCCATTCCAAGTCAAGTATGGCTCAACAAAAGCATTTAAAAAAATCAAGTTCGGCCATTTCCAGAAATTCACGCTTTTCACAGTGATAGTGATCGGAGTGCAAGCACTTGATGCTTTGAGGGAGGTGCATAACGCTGGGTAAGTGTAGGTGTTTTCGTGAGGGGGTCATCAAAAAATCTTGAATGCAATTTCAGCTTTGTCCATCGCGATATAAAACCGTCCAACTACGCGATCGGAGACACGGGAACACCCAAGGAGAAACTTATTTACATACTAGATTTTGGCCTCGCACGAGCATATAGAGTAAAATATCCAGTTATTACTACAAGCGGAAATTACAGTATTTACTAGCTTCAGGTTCAAACTCCAGAGGGGAAATGGATACTTCGAAATCCAAGAAGGACTGCACAATTCAGGTTAGACAGGGTGTAAATTAAAGCAATGGAGGTTCCGAGGGGTCTTTCAGTTATAAACATAGGATAGAAACTCATTCCTACAAAATATGAAGATGTAAGAAAGGTCCAGGCAAATTCTTGGCTCTTGACTTTTCTTAAGCATATATCGGACCCATTATGGGCTTAAAGGCACCGTCCACCCAAAATCTCGACTTCAATGTTTTTGTCGCCTTCAGGCCTTCTGAAATCCCTGATTTCGAATATGGAGTCAAAAATCTGCGAAACCCCCAAAAATCCCTGTTTCGAGAGCCCCCTGCAACAAGCGCAGGCGAGATAAAGCATGGAAGTGGGCGGGGCGACCATCTCAGACAATCGAAGGGATACCTCCGGCGGGCAAATGGGCGAGTCTGCCACTTCGCGCTTTGGAGCGCTTCGGAGCCTTGCCATTTCACCGATTTTGGTGCTCCGGGGCCCAAATCTGGCGCAACTCCGGAGCAGAGATTTGCGCGTCCCGGAGAGAGTCCCATTCGCCTGCTTGTGACGTCACCGTGACGTCACGGTGATGGTCGCCGCGCCTACTTTGCTACTTCTGGAGCGGATTTCTCGCTCCAGAAGCAGTCTTTTGCGGCGAAGCTTGGGGGTTTGCCTAGTGTGGGGGCCCACAGGCCCATAGTATGCTATCATAATCTCGCCAACCTCCAATTTGTGTGGACGGTGCCTTTAAGGGCATTCTCCCCTTCTTAAAAGGAGATGTAGTTAGTAGGAAGTCCACACTAACCCAAATTGAGGTATTTTTAATGCGATGCCTGCACAATCTACTTCTCTCAAGAGTGCAGTGTGCAGTACTTGCGCGCGCTTTCCACCTTCTCTAGTGGAGTTGTCCAAGGGGGCGGAGCTTTGGGACTTCTGCAGCAGATTTCTCGCTCCGACGCAATCTTGTGTCACTTGAACTCATTGTTGTAGAGTTTAGCATCATATACTGCTCCTCTGCCACAATCGCCTTGAAAGGATGGATGTGGTAGAAACATTCCATTACGAATCTCAATCTCAGGGGAACTACTCGCTACTGCTCCATCAATGCGCACGACAGAGAGGAACAAGGCAGGCACGATGACTTATGGTCACTTTTCTACATGCTTGTAGAAATGATTATTGGCAACTTGCCATGGTAGGTCGTCTACCCAACCGAAATGCGCTGATTTCATGATGGCCAGGAAAAATATGACCGATCACGCAACTGCAGAACGAGAAAAAACCGACAAAGAGCAGGAACTCCTAGACCAATCACCAAAAGAGTTTGAATTGTACTTGACACATGTCAAACAGCTGGGTTATGGAATTACGCCCGGTAACCGATGAGAGGATTTCTTATCCCCTACACAATGGAAGAAATGATTTTTAGACTATGAGCTTCTTCGTAACATTTTCTTAAACGTCTTCAAGAGGAACAAATTTGATTTTTCCATGAAACTCGACTGGGAAAAAGACGGAAAATATGGAAATTTGTACAGCTGGAATAGATGCTCGCTGTGAGTATGATGTAAAGCCTAGTCCCGAACGAAGGCAGATGACCATGCGAGGTCGACGCAAGCGAACGCAGCGTGCGAGCGGCACACACAATGCCGCGACATGCCATGCTTGATCCACTTGTTCTACTTGAGTCAACTCATCCACATCGCCATTGGTCGAAGTAGTGGAGTGACCCAATAGCAAAACGAAATGTCCACTTCATCCACGTCCACTTCATCCACTTCAACTGCTTTTACTGAGTTTAATGATGTAGCAAAGTGGACGAAGTGGGCAAGGTCAAGATCAAGTACATATGTCGCGTGCCTAAAGATGGCAATGTGAATCGCCGCGTTCGCGCCCGCTAAGCGCCGATAAACCATCCGCGCTTATCTGGGACTAGCCTTTATCAAAACACATTCGGTACAAACTGAAATGCTTCCAGACCGCGTGTGACCTCGAAAGATAGCACTGTGTTTACTCTTGAACAATTGCTGAAAATGCCAAAGAATTTGGTAGAAGTAACTGAAGATGTCCGTAGCTTGTACTCTTTTTTTTTTGAAAAAAAAAATGCTGAGAAAGAAGTTCTAGATGGCACTGAAAACACAAGAAAGGGAATGGTATGCTACAATTTCATCGCACGACGACACGCTTGAAGAAGAAGCTGAAAAGACAATCGAGCCAGAAGTGCAGGCAAGACTACTTAATGAGTTTTCTGATGACTTTTTTAATTCCCTTTCAACGACGAGTTCGATCTTTAAGTGAAGCTCTAGTTACTAAAAATAGCCGAAGCAAGCTCGAACACGGCCTCCAAGCATGAGCATAAATTTTGTTCATGTGAGGTTTAGGAGCCAAAAGAAAATCCAAACTTCCTTCCATAAATGTCCTACGGTCCTCCAACTCGCTTACGCTTATAAACTCGCTTATGCTTATAACTCCACAGCAGGCTTTAAAACTTACAGTCGGTCAATTTAAAAAAAAAGAAGCAAAAAATCGAGAAACAAAAGTAGTTTGGAAATACAATTGACGTCTTTCATGGTTCCTGGACTAAATTCATTTCCTCTTATGATATTTTACTGGCCTTTACTGAAGAAAATAAGCCTAGCTTTTGGAATGCTAACTTGAGCCCTCAGGAACAACACGATTTTGTCAGACTGAAAAATTGAAGGAGTGCCTAAACAGCAATCATGAGTGAAGTTTTTAGTTACCTTCACTTGCCATGGATTCCTCGCCAAGAAAAAAGTCATATGAGAACAGGAAAAAGGCATGCAAAATACCACAGCATTTTATTTGAATCAATAACCTCTGTTCAGGAACAACTTGCCACACCCAAATATACACCTCCAAAACAGGAGCAAAAGATGGATGCTCCTAAACTTGTCACACCTAAGTACACGCCGCCTAAGTCACAGGAGCAGAAACCGAATGTTCCAAAAACACCTGAAAAGAAGACTGCAGTCATACCGTTGTATATCCCAGGATTCCAGACAGCAGTAATCCAAAAAAGCCCTGTACAAAAAAAGCGTTCTACGATCGAAGAGGTCTTGAGAATGGATCCCAATTTTGAAAATGCTGATTTTGATATTTTTTTGCAGAAATCTAGAGAAAAGAAGGCTGATGCAGGCAAACATTCACCAAGTAAAGTTCAACAAAAGCAGGTGCAAGTAAGAATGCTTTCCTTCACAAAAAGAAACATCTATTTTGAAGGGTTTTTTTTTTTCAGGTTAAAACGTGAAAATTCGATGAAAAACAGATAAAACGAAGAATTAATCAACAATCTTGAAAGCTAAAAAATTTAGCGATAAAGATTGTGTTTGTTAATGAGGTGTCATGGCTGTGCAGTGAGAAAATCAGTCAAAGAAGAAAATTTATTCTGATAAATACTGTACAATCTGCTGGGATGCCATCACGGATATTTGCGCGGTCGCCCACGAGGACGGCGAGCACTTATTGAATCCTTAAATGAGATCTTCATTGGATATCGAAGTAATTTCAGAACCTACTGCATTCCGTTGACTTGAAGAATCAGATAGCCTTTCAGTCTTTGTTTGGACATTGTCTTCGTCGTCATTGAACGCGATTTGTCCGGCCGCATTCTCATGCACCATCCTAGAACCCAAAAACAAACTACCAAGTCATTCGAAAACTCTAATACCTACTTTTTGACACCCAAAGATAGTGCTCGATCACGACCCAAAGTTCTCGATTTATACAGAGCATTGCGTAGGAAGTCACCGATAGGGGGCCCATCTGCAATTTCTGTAGATAAACAGAGAACATGAGAAAAACAGAAATTGAATGCACCAGTAACTATTCACCACCACTGGTTCCACCCTTTACATCTGTTTCAAGCAAGTCATTTTGTCCGTTTTTTTCTGTATCTATCGAAGTCGTTGCTTTTGCTGGTGGTAGCTCCTCGACGGGATGTTCACTGGTTGAGCTCTCTACATCATGGACAACTTTGCGCACCTAGATTGTCGTTTTCAGCTTACATTTAAGGAGATACTCTTTTAAAAAGTTACAAATAGCAATTACTTGCCGATTACACAACCAACGTTCTCATGGAAAAGCATCACTGCACCATTTTCGTATTTCCTTTTGTGAAAGGGACAAATATGTACCAAGAGATATGAGAAGCCATTTTCCCCTACACTACTAAGTCTACACGATAGAGAACAGTAGACTTACCTTGCCAAGAATAGTCCGTTTAACAACGACCAGCTGACCGTTCTCTCCTTTGCGTACTAGAACCTTCTGCCGAAGTGGAAGACTCTGATTACTTTAAAGGAAAAAAATTGTATAGGTAAATTTAAAAGAGACTTCACACTGACTCCAGTTTGACCTCACGATCTATGGAAGAGATGGGCACTTTTTGAGAAGTGGAGGCCTGAAAATAAGCCGGGATGTACAGAACTCAAAAATGTTAAAAATTTGCACTCACTTCAGCGGTAGATAAAGAAGAGTTGGTATCTCGAGAAGGAGAGTCTTCTATGAAGATGCTTCTTTTACGTGGTCGTGCAAGCGATGCTCGGGATTCCAAAATGAAACAGAGAGAAGGATTATCGATACTGGGAGAATACTAACAAAATCATACCGCTTAGGGAGTCGTTAGCGCTTGATGGAGCACATTCAGGATCAGCCATAACATCGTCTAAGATGCCGGTAAGCCTTTCCAAATAGTGGTTCGCTGCACGAATGCAGCGAGCGTACTGCATACGCTCTTTCAACATCTGAAGCCTATTTGAGAATTTCGTATAAACCATTCAGTACAACTCACGTCGCAAGTCATTTCAAATTGCAGAACAGTGTTGTAAGTTTCTGCATCAGCAAAGTTTTCACGTCTAGTAATGTATGTGGGTATGTATGATTCCTAAAACACTGTTCAGAAGAGTATTACGAATATGAAAAAATGCAGTAACTACTTTTCAATCACAACAAAACGTATGGAATCAAGATATTCACAACACAACAAACAATGAGAAGTTACCTTAGAGCGGGCATCAACCGTTGGGGAAGAAGTGTTTCGCAGTATTAGTTGCACAGCCTGAAAACTAGCGTTAGCGTATGAATTCTGTGATTTACGCCAGAAATGATCTGCTTCCCCAGATATTCAAACAATGAAGGGAAAAGGCTTCAAACGGAAAAAATGGTCAAAATATGATTGTTCTATGACACGGCGTTATTCTTGATGCAGAATTCATACACCTAGAACTTCTCATCAGCTTGCGTTCATTGGAGTAGACCCAAAAAACCAGTGAGTAAAGCATACAACCTCTCACCTTTTGACGCTGCATACTTTTTGATGCACCGAAGACGTTGTCCCCGTTGTCTGCATATTCACTGCTTTGCTCTCCTGTGTCTCCATATACTGAAAGTATAACTGGATCAAAACCAAAGCACCATATATTTGATATAATATAATCCTACAGCGCCGTGGTAGATCGTCTCCTGCCGCGCAACCTCCTTGCCTTTGCGAGAGGTTCAATGCTAAAATAGACGAAAAATAGAGAAGTGTATAGCGTAAGCAAGTGAAAATATCCCACATTACACTTAAAGAACGTACTTAGAGACGGTGGTTGAGCTCTACGCTTAACGCGCTGTAAGCCGGTGTCCTGTATAAGCTGCTGGGTACGTTCACGTCTAGCGGCCAAATCACGCATAAATACTTCGGGAGTAAAGAGAACATCGATTGTTTTGCATTTCGGGGAATCCGCAAGTTCTGCAGCAATTGTGTGATAAAACACTAACCAAGATGAGAAACTTACCGCTATGAAGGTATTGATCCAAGCAATAGTCAACGACAACTTCAGACATTTCGCGGCGCATGACAAGCTAAAAAAACAGCTAGAAAATACCGAAATCGACTTGAAAATTTTCTGCTTTCAAGTAGCCAAGAAAAAAAAACAAAAACAGATTTTGCTAGCCTTTTTGAGCACCTCGGAAAAACACCGCTTTACTTCTTCAACTTCTTTGAGGTCTCAAAAAATTTCTTCCAAAATTGTTATTTGATCCAATAAGTTAAACCCAACTTCGGAAAACGCGTTGAAGTCAAACTCACCCTCCAGTCATGCACCCGAATGAAAGCGGTGCAATGCATGTCCACAAGAGAAGATCGACCGTGATTGGATTTAAAATGGCGATCATCGTTCTGGCAAAGATAGTACATATGCTCATCGTGAATACCCATCTTCTTCAGACGATATTTGCTATGACCCTGCAGCTCGCGAACCCATTGCTAAGAAATATTATAAAACTTAGCGCGAAAATTCTGCATCGACCTGACTACCTCAAAAAGTTCAGAATCCTCGAATGTGAAGCGACTGATTGTTGAAGTTTTCCTGCCATGATCGAAGAACATATGTTCGAGGAGCTGATCTTGTGACGGTAACTCGGGCGTGCTTCGAAATTCAGCCGAGCAGCTCATACACAGCGACTAGAAGCAAGAATACAGTGAATGGATAAAATGAATGGGCAGCTCACAAACCGGTGGAAATGGCTTCGTTCTTTTGAATTTGGCTGCGTTGTCAACGAATAAATCGAAATATATTGAATTTGTGTCCGATTCTCGAGCTTCCAAAGCAAACCTTCTGCGGTAGGTCTGAAGAACCTTTTGCCATATTGTAAAGTTCGAAGATTGTCGGGTGCATAATGTTTATAAATTGTTAGTTCAGATTGCGACTGTTTCAAGAGCTTACATGATTTGCTCGATGATCTTCTAGGTTTGATTTTAAGGCTTCAAATGGAGGGAATAGATCGACAAGATCGTTGTGCTCTACCATAACTTTGTCCACTGTAAGGCAATAATCTTACAGAAAAAAGGAATACAAAAAACAACAAAATCTTCCCACTCACTGTACGCATGATATAGAGCATCAAGTGGTACCTCAGTGAACTCAGCCATCAACCGAAGGTCATAAATTGTTATGCGCAACCTTATCTGCAATCTGTCCACAGTCCTATCACACAACAATAACTAGCTTTTTCAGGGAAAAAAGACTAGCACAACCAATGAGTCAGAGCAGCAGACCTGAACATCATCAGGAGTGCAAGTGCTACGGTGTGAGTCGCGCACGCGTAGTTCGGTTATGTTGGGTGATGTGCGAATGGCACCGTTGCAAGAAGGATTTACACATCTCCAAAAATTCCAGTTTGACGGTTTCACCTGTAAAGGGCATATCAACCAAACAAAAATGAAGTGAGACTGAAGGCGAACAGTATGGGAATAGAATTTGAAAACATACGAATCCGTCGATATTGTATAGGTGACCTTCAAAAGCCAGCTGCTTGCGACACTTTTTCGAGAAACAAATGAACATCTTGGATCCGTTCGTGAAGGTGACCGTTCGACTAAGCAAATCAGGCAAATTCAAGCTCACATCGTTGCTCGAGGTGGGGACATGGGCGTAAAATACATCCGCACCTAAATTTACTAGCCCACTACCAGATAAATGCAACCAAAAAAAAATTCAATTGACAATATAAAAAGAAATAGGCAAAAGACCAAACTGCATTCGGACCTTCACTGTGATAATTTTGTGCTACAGAAATTTCTGCCGATAAAAATTGACACCTAGAAAACCTCAAAGAAAGTGGTCTGTCAAATACGAACGCTGTCAGACACGAAGTAGCTTCCCTACACCGCCCCCACGCCACCCTCCAATATGCGCTAAATTCTAAAAGCATGCAAAATTTTGTCACTGGCGCCCACTTTCGATGGGTGAACATGGCTGGTGGAGACTTGGAGCACTTTCAGGATTTAACGCATTGGTAAATGACGTGGAGCTATGATGTACTTGGGTTACCTCTTACCAATTTGGGATTTATGCTGCCGAGCCTTTGAAGGCACCGTCCACCGAACTTGAGGATAATGAGGTCTTGATATCAGATAATGGAGGGGCCTCTAAGTAAGTCATCGCCCAAGCCTCGCTGCAAGATGAATTCCGAAGAGAGAAAAACTCTCCAAAAAGTAATTCCACGTAGGCCCCGCCCATCAAGCTGGGTAAGAAGATAAAAAAGCACAAAATCATGTTTTAATATTATGAATGTCAAATTTTCGATATTTTACCCTGAAGCCCGATTTTGAACTGTTCATCTTCAGACCACCCATGATAGACGGAGCGAACATGGCGCTTCTACCTTCTGAAGTGGTTTTCTCGCTTCGGAATTCATCTTCTGAGACTTCGCAATCCTTACAAGGGAATGGTCAGAAATCGAAGTGGCCAATCCAGACAAGCTGCATACCATGAGATGCAGCATGAAGTGCTGACTCTAAATCTTCCTTACCTGCTTATCGCTTTTCTGGACGAAGCTATAAGCCATTAAAGACCATTATTTTGCTAAGAAATTATGCGTGAAATTGAAAATTTAGCCGTACAGAGCCACGTTCGCCTTAATGCTGGGCCAAAACATGCAGCTAGCTTACTTCAAATTTTCAAAGCCAGAAGCTGAGCTAAAAGTGCACAATGTGCTCAATTTCGCTGTTTTTATGTACGATTTTTCCACAATAAAACCGCTTGTAGCTTCGCCCACAGAAGCGATAAGCAGATAAGGAAGACAGATTTGAAGTCAGCGTTTTATACTGCATCGAATGATATACTTGTTTGGTTTGGCCACTTCGACTTCTGACCATTCCCTTGTTAGTTAAAGGCAGTGTCCAAGCAAAAAGTCGATTTTGAGATTTTGTGCTTACCGGGGCCTATTCGCCATGCTGAATCCCTTAAACAACATTGAAGAGCGCGAAAACAACGAATAAAGGCTCTAACGCAGGAGGGAAATCGCAAGTGGGCGGGACCGTTCACACCGTGACGTCACTCTTCCAGGCTTTAGGAGCGATCTTCTCGGTTCCGATTTTATGTCATGCGTTTCGCAGTCGGCTGGTGGTGATGTTAGGGCGATTAGCGTAAGGGAGAAGATCGCTCCTGAAGCTGGGAGAGTAATGCCACTATGCGAGCAGCTCCGCCCATCTGCAGTTTTCCTCCTCCGTTAAATCCTTTTTTTGCCGTTTTTGAGCTCTCCAATGTTGATTTTCGGATTCAGCATAGCGAATAGGCCCAGGTAAGCAAATCTCGAAATCGACTTTTTGACTGAACATTGCCTTTAAGAGTCCCTCATGACATCAAAATCTCATTACCCTCAATTTTGGTGGACGGTGCCTTCAACAATAACCTGTATAGCGACACATTTCAGATGGAACGATGATGTAAGCGTTTTGATGCGCAAACCGAAAACTAATAGTGCGACTAATGAACCAGTAACTAAACGTGCTAGATTGCATCCGCGCGTGCTCGGACCGCCACGCGGTTTCCCGCTATTTGCAGATTTTTGTTGCGCTTGTGATTCTTTATATATTAGACTAGTGAACCAGTAATCTAAAAGTGCTGTGTCAGGTGCGCGCTTCGGGACCGCACTGCGGTTTCCCGCTATTTGCACATTTTTAAACTGCGCTTACGATTCTTTATATATTAGATTAGATAGATGAAGTACAGACATCAGCTGTGATTGGAACATGGAAAAAACCGCAGTAACAAAAAAGTAAACTCACCATTGCGGAGAGTACGGGGAACAGTATCTCCTCGAAGCAGTACGGTTTGCTGCATATCGTGATCATCAACAATGCCATCAACTTCAATGTACTCTTCCACTTCTTCTTCGTTAACAGCCTAGAACAGCCATGATTTGGGACAAACTGCACTGAGGCAATACAAGCTTAAAAAGGATTTTACTTCCGGTGCTATGGTCTCCTCATGTTCCACTTGCTCGATCCACTGATCGTCATCAGTTCCCTCATCGACGCTTCCGCATGGATCTGCCACGCTCATTTGCGCTCCAAAGCAAGAGCAAGATCTTAAAGTGATAATCAATTCAGTGCTTCACCTAATACTTTCATCTGTATGGCAGAACCAATATCGTGGTTATGAGGAAGAGAAAAGAAAGTTAGAACTGCATGTTTTCTCTTTATTGAATCTAATGACAACTAAGAAAAGACGAAAGAAAAGGAGGAACCCCTGAAGTAGGAGAGATATTCAAACATGAACAAAAACACCTTCTAGTACACTTAAAAATGTACCTAAAACGGAAGAACAAATGGAGATGTGTTTATAGATTACAGAGACCACGAAGTAACAAATGTAAACACTAACTATAGCGGGGGATGGCATTTGCAATACAACTTTCCTAACTTTTTGAAGAAAACATAGAGCAGACAAGTTGAAAATTTGACTCAAAAAGGAGAATACGCAAATGCACCCTCGCTGTGACGATGACGGCATTCGTCGCAACGTTCCTGCTTTTTGCTCTTTGTTCTAGTTTGGATCTTCTGTTAAATCTGAAAAATTGTTTTAGCAATAAAGCGATCTGCCCCTAGAGTCTAGACTTTAAAATGTCGAATCCATCCATCCATACTTGCAAACCACACTTCGCAATAAACATGACGTTTGTCAGCATTTCTCTAAGTCTGCCTCTAAAACAGCTTGCCAAAGTTTGAATCTTCAGTCACGGTGAGTTTAACTTCATAGTATCTATAGTCTGTGGTCTTATCAGGCGTGTGCAAAGCTTACCAGGCTGGTACCGTTCTTAGAAAAAGAGCAGGGGAGGGTGCGGGGATCAAAGCACAACGGAAAAATAACAGAGATAGAAACGCATTGCAGTCTGGATATTGTTGAGTGCCGAAAACCCACCAGTTCAAAAAAAAAAATAGACAAGACCATCCTTAACATGCTCTGGCACGATCTATCACAAGGCGGGAATTCAAAATTGCTCCCCTAAAAAAATCTTGTACCATTCGGTGTGCCTGGCGAAAGACGACGAAGGAAGTTTGTAAAAACCTGTGCAAATGATAGGTGACGAATTTCTTGGCCATCAGTGTGCTAGCTGAATGCCAGTCGACCTGATAATGCAGTAGTACTAACCCTTTGCTCTCATATCTATCTCATTCGTAAAAATCCAATTGCATCTAGGAAGCTACATAGTACCAAAAGTACCAAAAAACGGGTTCAGACCTTCCTATCCGCAGTTTTTTTTATAGCCTTTAGTTCTCAATGGTGGCCCAATTCTGCTTCAAGAGCAGTGGCAAATCGAGACCCCCCCCCCTCCCCGCAAAAATGGGTTGCTAACTGTGCATCAACTTGTTTTTTTCGTAAACGTAAACTTATACAAATCCAAATGCTTTGCAAAGAAGAAGTTTTCGGGCGTACTCCTGCCATGCCCCGTATCAATGAAGTTTCGAGATCACAGACCCACGAAACTTTGGAAACATGGTTTTTTCTCGAAGGGTGGCTAACAGGACGTCTCCCTTCATTCGAGCAATGTCGCTTCCTCCCGAAAATTTCTTGGACCGCTACTGATTTGCACTAAAGAATCCAGCTTACGTTTATTTATGCAAGTTTGAAGAGATCCAAGTTACTTGGGTGTATGTCAAGAGGCGCGATTTTTATTGCCAGCTGGACACTAAATAGCACATAATAAGTATTTTGCAACTTTTTAAAAGTAAATAAAATCTAGAAGAAGATCTATTAGATAGTTGCATGAGTTGTTCAATCTTGATACTCTAGAAAAAATTCAAAAGAGCAATTTTGAAGGTCAAAAACTCATGAAAATACATTTCAGAACAAATTCGTAAATATTTCAGTTCGATTTATAGCAAAAACCATGAAACTCAGCAAATGGTGACCTCAAACAGATAGTAAGCTGATGCACTTCATCCGGTAATTTTCTGAAGACTAGCACAGCACTAAACTGGAGTTTTAGTTAGTGACAGCCAAAGAAATCGCGCCTCTTGACCGTCTCCCAAGTTACTTAACGAATCTCTACAGTATGACATCATTGCAAAAAATGGAGTGTGATTTGCAATTTAGGCCGAAAATTTTAAACTTTGGAATTCCGTAATTTTGCTTCTGTCAACTCTAAGCCCCTCCCACTTTGAACATACATACTACAGGTCTACCGAGTAATACCATCTCGAATAAAATGACGTGTACATCGAATAATAAATTCTCAAAATCTCAAAGATGTAGTGTAGCGAGAAAACAGATGTATTTTTCTTCGTGTGCCTACCGTATCATTAGGAAATGCTAACATTGAAGAGCTAGTACAAGCAGCACATCAAACAATCCCTCTGATCGTGAGCACTTCTCTCACATTTCAATCTACTCTTTACCTACACCTGTCATACTAAAAAAATCACGAGGACGCTGTGCATAAAAAATACGTCTCGCAAACCTAAAGATCTTTCTCTTTCAGCAATAAACTATCTTTTTCCAACAATAAGACAATCAAGGTGAAGTGCCGCAAATTGCCACAAAGACTAAAACTATAATATTAGTCCTAGGCGCGATTTGGATGGACCTTTTTGCATGCATTAGTGACGTCGCATTATTCCTTGTATTAGGTTGATGCATAATTTTTGCACCAAAACTCTCGAAGTTCTGGTACTTCATCCAGCTTCAATGGAATCCTCTGCTTCGATATATAATAGAAAAAAATCTTTCGCTTTTTGAAGGTGTTCGAGTGAAAACTTCTCGAGGGCATGCGAGATATGAAGTGATTAAGAGAATTACTACTAAAATTCAAATTTATTTTTGATCTTAGTCTTATGACATACTCTTTTGACTAAGAGAAATTGATAGTGATTGGATGTTTCTACAAATAGTAGTTACGAATTTCGTTCTGTAATTGGATTATTGATTTTCTTTCATCTGATTTTCTGAAATATACTATGAAATACTACTTTTGATATAAATAACAATAAATCTATTCTTTAGATCGACTAGTTTGTTCAAGCATTCTTAAAACAATTTTTGTTCTACTTTTGGTGCAAGAATTGTGCATCAACCTAATACTATACAGCGTATATACAACTATTCTATGTGTGTATTTGTGTTTGTAGTCATATTTGCACACTTTCTCACAAACAATTTTGTGGCATCTTGCTAGATTTTTGCTCATGAACTGCTAAAACTGCTGAGAGTAGGAAGTTATTCGCAGCTGATAAGAGGCTTTTCTACTCTATTTTAGTGGCTTGCGTAGTCTCTCAAGTTCCTGCATCCTGTTAGAAGGAAGGTGAACAAAAGTGAACGTCACATGAATTTTCGATTTGATTTTGAAATTTGTATTCTGTATTTCTGCACATTTGGTTTGGTGACGCATGCTGTACTACATATTACCTATTCTTCTTATCTTACTTCAGCTGTAATGCTCAGCGGGCGCTTTAATTATGACAATCTTATCCTTCTTATATCTTATAAATAAAGCTGAATGTCTGTTTGTCTGTCTGTCTGTCTGTATGTCTGTATGTATGTCTGTACGTATGTTCCGAATAGAAAATTCCATTTCTGAACCGATCCGGACCAAACTTGGCACACATACACTACGGCCCCGGCGGGTGTCATAGGCTACTTTTCGTCATCGATCGATATCGATTTTATCGATTTTTATCGATTTTTTGCTGAGTTCACCTACGGGGCTGGGAGTTGGCACAGGGGGGTAATCGAGCATGGGGATTCCGAATACAATATTGGTTTTCAGGATTATCGATTACTTTTATCGATTTTATCGATTTTTTTGCAAAGTTTGAGCTACGGGGCTGGGAGTTGGCACAGGGGGGTAATCGAGCATGGGGATTCCGAATACAATATTGGTTTTCAGGATTATCGATTAGTTTTATCGATTTTATCGATTTTTTGCAAAGTTTGAGCTACGGGGCTGGGAGTTCGCACAGGGGGGAGTAATTCTGAAATCTTTATCGTGCCATTTTCAATTAAATGAACTTTAGTTTTGGCAGAGTACTTCCGACTGGCAGACTTAAAATATTTAGGCCGTCATTCGTGTTCATTCAAAAGAAGACTTTCTCTGGTCTCCATTTATCTAATCAAATTTTTCACTGCCCCCTTTTTCAGTCCATATTTTTTTTAGTCTCACAAAGCATTTCAAGAAGAATCTCTTCACTCAACTACTTTATCCGTAATTTCAAGCTAACATCATTAATTGTCAATAAAATGCACAATCTTTGCTAGTTGCTTTGTTTTGTCCTTTTCTAGTTATACAGAATTCCTTGTCCCCTTTTGATTTTGTTGCTGAAAAGAATGATTGCTAGATCACCAGACAAGAGACACGTTCTCCTTTAGCATTTGCTTATTTGTAAGCGAATGCGTAGACGAAATCGCGCAAAAGTGAAAACGAGCGGTCAGGTGAAACCACCTGCATCGGCCTAGGGAACCAGTCCGAAACGTCATCGTCAACCAAAAGGATTGGCGATCGATGTTTTAGCGATCCCACATCCATAGAGAGCAATGCTCGTTATCCTGTTTGAACGTCCCCGTATCTGTCCAGGCATTTTCTTTGTGCATGAGTCGTCTTATATTTTTTTATAGAGATGAGCGAGACTAATGGCTGCAGTAATCTTTACCCGGATATACATGAGAAGCCGGTTTCATCATCTAAAAAGTTCCTGGATAATGTACCGGAAGACATGGCGCTGCTCATGAAAGCGAACGACTTTGCCGCTCGTAGACATAGATTTCAAAAACGGAAGGATCACCATGGAACACCGTACATCAATCATCCCATAGGTATATCATCGAATTACTCGCAGCTTAATGTGCTTTTTGCACATCATGCGCGCTACTTGACGACTTGTAATATAAGACACACTCATTCTAGTGATTTTTGCTTGTTTCATTGTCTCTCTTGAAATTGAATGTGGATTAGTTAGTTGTTCATTTTTACAATTTGTTACGCTAGGGAACTTTCCACCAAGAGTTACAGCCAGATGTCGTCGGTTGCCACGCATATTGTGCAGACTCACGGCCCCATTTAAATCTACATAGTCGGCTGCGCGGGCGGTCGCGTCGCGCAGCCACTTTGTGTGCTTGGGTCACGCTTGCTCAGGTCGCGCTCAGGAGAGAACATTTCACTGTCCATTCAGGATAGAACTCAATCAGGAATGAATGTTTTTATTATGGGTTTGATTTGCCGACTGCTTCTGCACTACTTCTTTAGAATCACCTTTTAATCTCTCGATACTTGAACCCGTGCAGGATTGTCGGTTTGTGGGTTGAATTGACGCTTTGATTTACCAAGTCGGAACGTGCATATAAGGCAACACAAGTACGGAGAAGTGTCTAGTCGGCCCGAGGTGTGGATTAACGCGATATTGTAAGAGGATCAAGGCATTCGAATCTTACGGTCTAAGAAGTTCTTTGCTGTTTCCTTATAAGTGGATGTTTACTGAAAGTTTTCGATCGCATTCACCGCCAACTTTTGTTCAGTTCTGAGTTATCCTTCCTTGCTCATTACTTTTGAACATGTCTGATATGCTACCGTCCATTTTGAGACTTGGATACGAGTATGCTTTGCATACGTATAACTAACGAGTTAATGCAGCGCTTCACCTCGTTTTTTGTGTAACTGCATCTGGAGTTTGAAAGACATCGTCATCTAAGGCAGCATATGACTCTGTTCCTGAGTATTTCACAGAAAAGTTGACCATTTATTCTGACAATGAGACTAAAAGACTCAGGCGCGCTTTGCATACACTATCTAAACAAGCTCTTCTGTGTGATTAGCAACTTCACACTTGTGATCGATCTATGTACTAGTCTGAACTAGGGAAGAACAAAAGTACAAAGGCTTGCTGAGACAATGTGTGTAAAGCGTACTCGACTTTCCTAGTTCAGAATAGATGATACCTATTTTCGATCCAAACGTGATACCAGCTTCAAGAATGTGCACGTCGTAGCAACTCACACTCAGAACACGATAACCCCATAAAAAATTGGCGTTCCAGCAACCTGAGCAACGATAACATGACCAAAGAAGCTTACTTAAGACGGAAAAATACCAAGACTAGTTTTTCCTTCTATGGTTTTGACATGAGAAAAGTTCATCTGTGATAGCGTAGCTCTCGAAAGCTATGGAAATACCAGACATTCACTCTTGCTTCTGCAAACACGCTGTTTACGCGATCCCAGTGGCACGCGCTTGCTTGCACAAATATGTGAATCCTTCACACTCTTCAAGCCGGTGAATCATCAAATATAAGAACAAAATTTTCGAAAAACGCATGAAGTGGTCTGACATAAGTGTCATTCTGCTATCTAGTGGTCGAAAATGATGAGACCTAGCAAGCGTGACCTGGTGACAAAACTGTGCGCGCGACGCGACCGCCCGCGCAGCCGACTATGTAGATTTAAATGGGGCCCAGACTCACTTATCAATTGCACATTTGAGGATGTATTGCTTGATGCACAAACTCTCAGATAGATACACGGATACAAGTCTTGCACCAAGAGATATGGGGAATTTGTTCTAAAAAGGTTCGAACTTTCTGATTCATTTCGGGTACAGATACTAGCTATCTTTGCGGCATGAATTTTTTTCGAGCACTCCAGAAAAAATTCTGTGAATTGTGTGAAATTAAAAGATTTTGCAGAAGCAGAGAGATTATGATTTCATCTTGGTGCAAGACTTGCAGATCTATAGACCTTACAATATGTTAGACTTAGAGCAAAGTTTGCCATTATTTTAGATCTTGTATTTCTTGTACTTTTTTGAACTCAGTGGTGGTTTCTTCTAGATCTTGTTATTTAGGTGTAGCCTATATCCTGACAAACGAAGCTAAAGTCTTTGATGCTGTCACACTTGCTGCTGCTCTTCTGCACGATACCGTAGAGGACACCAAGACCACGTTGGAAGAAATTAAAGAGCAATTCGGACAGGAGGTACTGTTTTCGGTGCAAGACTTGAGTAAATCCTTTTCAAGATGTTTTTTTTTTCAGGTTCATGATATCGTAAAGGAATGCACTGATGACAAGACACTACCAAAAGAGGCTAGGAAAAAAGCTCAAATTGAGAATGCACCCCATCATTCACATAAGGTAAATGCTGAGGTCTTAATATGCGCAGCAAGGTGAATGCGCAAAAATATATAGGTCGTTCCGAAAGTAATGTCGCTTTTTTTACACGTACGCCACATTTCGTAAAACAAAGATGTGTAAGAGATTCTGGTAGCATTTGATGCAGCATTTCATTCTCTTTCTAAACGTTATATAACTACCGCACAAATTTGAATAACCTCTGGGAAAATTATCGGAATCTGCGACCCATGCTTTTTGAGAAGGTCAAGTTTCACAATTTTTCCAAATTTTTATAACAACCCCCGGAAGGAGTCCAAGTTATGTATGGATAGAGCAAACCCTACGGGAAACAGCACAACTTTTTTTCTACTTTTCAGAGCTCGTCATAATTTCTGTATAGATTTTTTGATGGAACCACCGAATTTTAGCAGGCTCGTCTTAGACACAAATGCACCAAACACCAAGAAATCGTCGGATTTCGAAACTTACAAAAATGAATTATGGTTTTACACTAATTTGCAAAGCAAATGAGCGTTTACCGCTTCAGATTAGCAACTTTCGAAAATTCCGGGTACAGCCGGAGGCGCCCTGGAAAACCTGAATTATGATGATTTTATCTCGGAATACTTGATGAATCGGAAACCAAAAACAACTGGTAAAAAGAGGAGAAAAAGCTGCGTCGAATGACACCCGAGTTGCTTGCCGGTTGTTGTTCTGTGAGGTTTGAGTTGACCAAATATGGAATTTGATGGCGTTTTAAAACTGATTCCAGAAACTCTAAGAAGCAAGCTAAGGGAAAAAAATTACTCTGTGTCCTATAGGGTTTGCTCTATCTACCTGCCACTTGTTCTTCTTTGGAGAATAGGTACAAGAATTTTAAAAAATTGCCGAACTTGACCATGGCAAAAGGATGAGTTGCAGATTTTGTTAATTTTTCGAAAGTTTAATGAGAATTATGCAATGAAATTACAACCATTAGAAAGAGAATGAAATGCTGCATCGAATGCTTTTAAGATCTCTTGAAAATCTTGATTCCATGAAATGTGGCGTTCATTTGAAAAAAGCGACATTACCTTCGGAACCACCTAATAACATCACGCAGACCTATGCTCATGTCTTTTGATCGACCGAGCACAGCTTTTGGAAAAACATAATTTGTGTAATAAATCCACAACTTTTATAGAATAGTGGTGGGTTTGATCTTGCGGAAAAAACTTTCTTCATAGTTCTAAATGTTTCTTTTGCTTTTGTCCGTTAGAAAAACGCATTCCTACAGATGGTTAGAGAGATAGCGCAATCTTTGTTATGTCATCATCAGCAACTAATCTGTTTTTGATTGTGAATATTGAAAATCTTCAGAATTTAACTGCAGATTAGCAGAAAGTAACAACCTCACGCCTTCTTCTTACATTTTCTGGATTACAAGCTTGCAAGGACTGGAAAGCTTCCCGTTTTCACTGAATTGCTTGGGTAACTTCTTTACCTGAAAAAATTACTTGTTGCTTCTTTTACCTAGAGCAAAATCTGCGACCGAAGCTCACCTGTTTCAAAATAACCTACTTGAAACGATCACTATATATGAAACTCAATCTTGGTAGTAGGAAAGGGGTGGGGGAGGAAATGCGCATTGCTGGTCATTTTTCAAAATGTTTTAGGTGCAGCACTGTAGCACACTATATTATAGTACGATCGCACCCCAATCATACTTGTGCTAGGGCTTCATACCCGATGGAATTATAGTATGCTCCAAGCCAATCGTTGCTCAATGATAGACAAATTCTCTCATAAGGTTCTTGCCAATCTGTACTGCATTCAAAAGTTTCCCGTCTTTCAAGCACTACTGCGAACGCCTAGTCACCCCTCCTTTTTGCTGTACTATCCAAAATTTCCATCAAACTTTAAAAACTTTTCGTGATCATCGATTGCTATTCGAATTGGAGCTAATTTTCCTTTTAGATAGACTTGGCGCTGTCTGAGGAGTAACAAAGTTAGCTGTTCGCGCCAAGCCCAATGCGAATTTATGTCCGGTTGAGCCTCCATCCTTTTATCTTCCTGAAATCCAGACCAGCTGTTATTTGAGTTGCGCGAAGAATTCGTATTTCACCATGGTTTGAAGCCTCTACAACAAATGTTTCGGCTTAGTTGAAATCGAGCGTGCATCGAGATGTTAGCATGAAGTATCAGAAGATCTAAATATGAATCGGTCTGGGGAGTACTTTCTCTAAGCTACATAGCTTTATTGTGTCTAATATAATGTATTAGGTTGTCCCGAAAGTTTTGTCGGTTTTTTCATCGGTCGCTAGAACTCATAGCATCGATCGGTGGACGATTTAGGTATCATACAATTCAGATTTTCATCCTCTTTCTTATAGCTATATTTTTTCTCTGACCTACGCTGTCTTTGCGATGTTATCGCCATGGTATTTGAGCAGCCCAGCAGTAACGCCAAATCTTCCTTGAAGTTTAAAAAATCTTATTCCAATATTTTCGAAGAACGCTGGTAACTGTTATGTAGAGTAAACCTTTAGCTACATTATGCTCAACTCAGATTACACAGGTCACGTTTATTAAGTCTGTAATGATCATTTAGTTGGGTAAAACGGCACTTTTTTGATCACGTTTAACGCATAGAAGTACCAAAAATTTCAAAAAGGCGATTCTTCAAAGCAAATCTAACCTGGATGTGTTGCATAAACAATGTTCAATGGTAATCAAATCTCAGCTCGGAGAAACTTTGGAAGCTTAAACGATTTTGCAGCAGTTGCCTTTTTCACGACTTTATCAAAACTGAGATCTCCGAAAAATTTTTTGAAGCTAACCACTGCACATCAGGAAAGTCTAAAAATACCCCCGTATAGTCCGAGATTCGCTCTATTTCTGTCTTAGCTCATTTCCAAAGCTTTGGAGTACAATTTGTAACAAGTAGCCGAACTTGAGCAGATAGAAATGGCGGATGAAGAATGTTGACAATTACCAAAAAATACGTAGAGGACTCTGGTTTGAAAATGTATCCATAAGAAAGAGAAGGAAAAGCTGCATCGAATGCATGTTGAAACTCATGTAGAACTTCATTGTACTTGGTTTTGTAGTCATTTGCGATAGCCGACAAAACTTTCGACACATCCTATATATAATAGTATATTAGGGTGCCTGTGATGAATCCGATTTTGCGTTCTTCAAAGTTGAGTAAATTTTTGTGAATATGCAAGTGACTTGTTATCCTTTTAAATGATTGAATCAACTCCTAAAATTTTTCAAAAATTGAAATTAGCATTGTAAAAAAATTTCTTTAGGGGCGTAGCTGCCGCCCGCAGCCTTTCTAGAATTTATGGGTTATGGGCCCGCAAAAGTTTTTCGTAGTGTGTTGAAACCATTTGAGGTTTTGGGAGGATAGTCAACATGACGTTTCAGAATGAAAATCAAGAAGCCTCCATCTCAGCAGCATATCTTATTTTCATTACTTGGCAACGTTCAATAGCGATTGCAAACATTTCTTGCGTCAAGTCGGTTTGCATTAGCGATCATTTTCATTCAAAAAAGTCAGACTTAGCTGCGCCTTCCGAGAGTCATTTCGGAGGTTTCCTGAAATTTGCAAAAACTTTTGACTTTGTGTAGGACTAGACAAAACAGCCATTATGAGCATTAGAATGCCTGAAGAGACGTGACAGTTTGAAAGGAAAACATCTTTCCCGCTTTGTTTGAAAATGAAGGACTTAATGTTGGCCTTCCCTAATTCTCTTAACGTTATTTTTATGCTTTTTCGAGGCTTATCTTAACTGTAGTAATAGATGCAGCATTGTAGGGCTCTGCGTGACCGCGAGAGTCGATGAAGTTGCGGCCATTGCTCGCGCATTGAGCTTTCTCGGTTTTTTCTCCTTTCGAACGTTTTTCTGCTATCAGATATAAGCTTCCAATTATTTGAGGCAATTCTGAAAAGTACGGGTTGTTTGAGTGGTTTGAGGTCTTGTAGCATCCTGCTTGCGCAATGGCCGCAAACTCACCGACTCTCGCGATCATGCAGAGCCCTATATCTTGATCATGTACAAAAATCGACAACTTATCGGCTTTTATACACCTCCCCCTCTCTTTTGCATTCGAAGCTATGGGTGTCCGATTCGATCCCTGCTACGTCTAACTTTCATCGCCCTAGCTCGCTGAGAAACTCGTAAACTAGCTGGTTTCGAACATGCATTGGCGTTCTGCTATCGGGCAGATCTTCATCATTGTAGTTTTGGTATTGACTAACTGCCTCCTAGGGTCAATGAAAAATGGGAGCGCTATCGTATGAAGGCAATCACAAGCACGACTCTGTTCCTATGCTTTGTTGAGAGCCCGAGTAGGCATAATTCCGTGACGGCGATGTTCATTCACGGGACTTTTGTACCGAAGAACGTGTCACGGTGCGAGCCCTCGACAACACTCGAAGTTTTCGAGGTCACTCTCGTAACAACGAAACAATGGTCAACAACTGTCGTCATGATTTTCCTATTATGGAATGCTCAAAGATCAGATCGTCGCTGCTGCTTGGTGTTTTAGACCAGCCAGCTGCGGCAAGTTCGGCCTTGCCTTTTTGATTGTATCTTGTAGCCAAATGCTAGCGCCAAAACTAACAAGTTTTTCGAATGCTGAACATCGCCCCTTAGGAAATAAATTCTTCTGTGAAATTTTTCGGGTCAAATTGTTTTCATGCAGACGATGGCTGTTCTTAGCATGCCCCATTAAACGTTGACAAGAATGGGAACGGCACAGCCAAAGTTGCTCGATGCGATTTGCATGGCTCATTCTAGGCGAAACTCGTTCATCTAGCCGACAAACTCTACAATTTGCGAGATTTGGAGAGAGCCACTCCAGTTGGATGGGATCGTCGCCGAGTCAAGGAGTACTTTAAATGGTCCAAAGAGGTGCAACAAATTTTTGTGCTCTTTCTGGAATGAATGGAAAATTTCAGGTGATTGCTGGAATGAAAGGAACGAATGAGAATCTCGAAATGCTGCTCGATGATATCATTAATAAGCATTTGTCTTGAGCCTTACAAAAAATCCTGTGATTTCCTCGCACTTGCAGGTCTCTGAATACATTCGCATTTTCGAAAAATTAATTCCTGCCTAGGTTATGTGCCTATTGAAGTGTTATACATAATTATTCTATAAATATTTGAGAGGAGTTGTTGGCAGCTATGGTCTTGCAGCGAGTATGAACATTTCAATATGACCACTATATTATGGTTATAGGAGGCTAAAAGCATCTGTCAGCTCCTTTTCAAGGTTCGCTCGTTGGTTGTAGGCTGGTTTTGAATGATACTCGTTGTAAAAAAAATATTGTTGAACTTTCAAGGATAGCCAGGATGCCATTGCTTCATGGTCACATGCAAATTCAATCTCTTTTAGATAAAAAAAATGTTTTTTTTTTCTAGCTAAGAAAAAACATTTTTTGTGAACCTATTCCTCTTGTAGTTTGTGCCGAACTGCCGGCAAGGAAAAAACGTGGTGGCCGTGGCCTTATGAAATGAGATGAGACCAAAAAATGCTTTTACAAAAACGCCGATCAAATTTTGCATTTATCTATGAATCGCTTCCACGCAAAGAGTTACGGTAGCGTTTTCTGATAAGGTATATACCCCTGCTGAAAGAGTTGACTCTTGTGATGCGGAATAAATTAAGACAGACCACTAAGTTATTCAATCACGCCTGAGCTGGCGGATAAAAAGTAAAAAATCTTTGCATTATTGGTTTTAACCTTCAGCAACGGTACACTCGCAAATGTTTTCAACAAACAGTCTTTCAAAGGATCTTGCGTTATAGAATACAGGTCTCTATGAATCTGATAATGAATGATAATGTCATCGAAAATTGCCGCCTTATAGGGTAGCTAAGCCGCTTGAAATGGTGTCTTGGTCCTTGGAAAGATTTTATGATATAATGCGCTTAAATGACATGATTGACTGATTATGCATGAACAGAAAGGTCTAGCTCTGGATTGCATTCTTTGAGTGCTTTGTGAAAAAAAAAGTTCTGACTACCACCAGCTCATTTTAGTTACAGTATAAGAGTCGTCATGTTTTTGAACCAGTATGAGCTCATTCAAGCTCTGCAATCAACTGGTAACTTGGAGATCAAAAGTGAAATTTCGAAAAGCTGGGACTGATGGTGTTTAGCTTCTGATCTAGATTTTACTACGTCAGAGGCATTCATCAAATACAAGTAACAAAATTTGTAAACAGACAGCATACATGTAGAGAATTTCTCTTTTTTATGTGTTTGTCGCATCTACCTACCGTATGTGACGTAAAAGTGATGTTTGTGTCTTCAAGCTCAACTAAAACTTCCATGCAATGTAAAGTTAGCCAGATTAAATCTAAGAATCAAGTGGAGATGCAGGATTTTACGCACGTTCTTCACCTCTCACTCAGCTAGTTTAATATTTTCCTGCACCGAAGTTATAGTCTCTTGCTTCATTATGAAGAGCGATGCTTGCATATAACTACTTGGTAAATCGATCGAAACCTTTGCAAGAGGTACCACTCGAAACATTCATGGTATGAGTAAAGCATTTTATTCAAAATATTACAAATAGTAACGCAATATTCTCTTATAGATGGACGACTTATTGCTTATACATAACATAGAAGAAAGTGCCGTCAGTGATTTAGTCAGAATTTACGATTATAAGCTCCAGATAGAAGCAGCAAACATAAATACCCATTATTGCAACCGTCTGGATTTATTGAAATAAAGACAGATTAGTAACAAAATTATATAATAAATCTGATAATTTTGACTTTAATGTAAAAAGATTTATACATTCTACACAAATATCTCGATTAATATCAAAAAGCACTATGTGTACAGAAGCTCTGAGAATAGCAAGAACAGCACTTATTTTATCGATTTTCTGCTAAAAATATCACAAAGCATATCTGGATCAAAAATGGGTATAATACTCATAAGACATTATCTTCTAATTTCGAATGCCTTAACAGATATCCATTTATATGTACTTTCATTAAAGCATATTCGACTACAAGTCCATAGAACTTTAAGAATCAAAATTATCTTATCTTGCAAATTAGATGCATCAATTATGTACAACCAAAAAATATAAAATGATATTATGAATGATATACTAAAATGATAACATAATGAAAACAAAATGTTAAAACCAGTTCATTCTTTCACTATCCACAGAAGATCGTCGAAGACTAACAATATGCATGAGTTTTTCAAAAAATTTTCAGATTACTTTCATCCAAATCAATCTAGACCCTTTTTCCTAATTGAGGAGTCCCGAAGAGGGTCTAGAAACAAAAACCTGTCTAAGGGGACGAAGCGGAAAACCGTATATTTTTCTTTTTATTCATCACACTCTATCAAACAAGCGGCTCAGCGAAAACTTGCTGTATTTAGTTCTTAGCCCCCTCTGTTCCTACGTAGTTTATTACTAAGTACAGACAATACAATAATTCAAAATTTCGAATATGCCTTCTGCATTTGAACCAGAGTGATCCTAGACAATCCTGTGGAGCATATGTTACCCACTAAACTGCGACACAACTAAGGAATCGATGGAAGTTTTCAATTAATTTAAGTGTCTAATGTGAAGAAAAAGGCAGCCGTCAGTGCATTTTAACATTATTCTAGCATTTGCTCTTTTATTTCCCATGTTCAGGGAATATTAGGTAAATTTACAATCTCATCATAGGAGGTAGTATAAGCGCAGCGTCAGAGACATATTTTTGTGGCACGAATGTCCTATCTTAACATTGTTATAAAATTCTATAGGTAAATTCAAAATGTTGGCTTTGAAAATTCAAAATCATGACTGACGCTTTTCAGCATGTTTTTATTGAAAAGTGAGAAGTCGACTTGAGTGTTTCTATCTACCAGCTTTATTTCTGTTATATTTGATACATTCTAAGAAGTGAATGTTATCCTTCCAACCTACAATACCACTCGTATTTTCGAAAAAAAAAACGACGCAATGTTGCCCGATTCGTGTGACATCACCGTATGTTGCCATATCTCACTTAGAGTGGACGTATTTCTTCAATTCGAAGGCATCTTTCGACTCAGCTCGGCGCGGCGCATCTTCCATTTACAGAAGTTCCCACTTGGACACAGTAGGAGGCCAAATTCCACGATCGTTTCAGATTTTTGCTTATGGTGGGTCACCCAGTGTGGCTTGTTCATTGCGCTCACTCGGCAACCTACAGTAAGCAAAAATCTGAAACGATTCGTGGAATCTGGCCTCCTACTGTGTCCAAACAGGCACTTCCATATATCAAAAGTTGCGCCGCACCCAGTTGAGTCGAATGGTGGCTTTGGATTGAGATTACGTCCACTCTGAAGCGAGATGGCCAGGCTACGGTGATGCCACATGAATCAGGCGGCTTTGCGTCTTTCAAAAAAAAAACGCGAGTGCATAGTGAAGCAAATAATTTCGTTGAAACTTGAAATAACTAAATTTCATAATTTTGGCGCAAGATCATGGACTAATCGAATACGTCTAGTTGTTATTTCCCACAAAAATGACTGTCTGCAAAGGTGCGACTCCGAAGTGATTTTAGCACCTGACAACTTACGATTTACAATCTTACTTGCGAATTAGACTCCTTATAAACAGATCTTCGTTTGTTTGGCGTCTAGAGTCCCGCCCTAATTGGTGATGTTGACTGCGGGAAAGAAGTGGTCGTAGTGGTTCCTGATTTTGAGTTTGTTATGCCGAAGACAGGTCGACGGCGGCGGCGCGGCCACGGTCAAAACGGGCTTCCGCGCCCCGCCCCGAGCGTGGCGAGTCACGGCAAACTCTCTTACATCAGTAGCTCTGCACTCTTTCTTTCTTGTGTCTTTTTTCGGCAGTCATCATTACGTTCAGTTCTATATCACCTTCCTTATCATATATTTTGCTGACTTTCAGAAAAGTAAAAGTAGGTCTATAAACCATTTTTTTACCTTCCTATGCATTTAATAATTCTAAGCGGTAATGCCGATCTTAAATGTGTGCCAAGCCGAACCCTCTTGAACATGGCCGGTTATGAAAAGTGTTGCTACAGTATCTCTGCAAACTGCAAAGAGTCCATGGTGGACTTCTGCGAAATTGCATTTGTCAAATAAAAGCGCCTATCGTTGCTTAGAACAAAATAGAAATAAAATCACCTGAAAATAGTCCACATCAATTAACTGCTCAATATCGATAATAAATGTTGAAAGTTCTATTATTATTGGTAGAAAAGTTACCACCGCTTGTTCCTGCCCTTAGAAGGAATAAAATAATTTACAAACTTTTCCTGAAACTCTTCAGCAAGGCAAGATGGTCTATAAACGTTTTTGTCTTGGGAATGTATATATAAGTAGTTTGGTATGAAGATTTTGGCTTGTAAATTGTCATAATCGTTGAAAGAGGATTAGGTTTGTGTATCAATTTATAAGATCACTTCTAGTGTCCTGGAGTAGACTTCTTATTGTATTTTACGCAATCTTTCAAATCATAGAAAATGTTTTACTACTTTATAAAAAATGCCAGAAGTCCTCTATAGCCATTGTTCAAAGGCACAAGGGAAAATCGATATATCGATTGGGGCTGCAATGTGGGTTACGGTAGCGGGCAAGTTTGGAGGAGTCAAGAGGGAGGTAGGTAGGTGGAGCAGTTACCAGTGATAAGGCTACACAGTTCGTGAGCCAACTCAGCTTTTTACCCTTCGATATATATGAATGTACAGTAAAACCGAGGATAAAAGCTGAATTGGTTAGCGGAAAACCCCTCATAAGTTGGTGTTTTTGTCATGCATCTGAGCCCTTCAAAAAAAAAATCAGACGTATTATCCCACAGATCGAAGACAAAATGGTTTTACATCCTTAACGAATGGACATTCGCATCCAGAAGCCAAATTACACAGCTATGGCCCCTGCTCCCGGCTAGGGAATTAGTTTCCCTCCAACTCCATGAGTCAACCAGTCAAGGGCGCGCCCCCTCACAAACCTCTTCCCATTTGAAATTGTTCAAGCATAACGACCTTGTCACTTCTTCCACCCACCAAAGTTGTTGATGCCTCTTTCATTTCCTGTAAAGTAATGTGTTCCATTTCCACCTCATCACCCTGAACTCCTTTGTTGGGTATTGCTAAATGGGTCAGACAGAACAAATGTTTCGTAAATCTTAGATCAA